CCTCATTTCTCGGGTGGCTGCAGCATGGGGGGGCCGGCGGGGCTGGTCATGGCACCCCCCACCCTGGTGGCACCCGGGGCGGACCGCCCCCCCTTAGTACGCCACTGCTGGAATCTACTTACATGTTTCAACTGCTGCAACTCTGCAAGATCCTGTAAGCAATCTGTACGCCACTGCTGGAATCTACTTACATGTTTCAACTGCTGCAACTCTGCAAGATCCTGTAAGCAATCTGTACTATATTATACTGAAAGTACTTACCAGCTTTAACCATTTCAACCCTGTATCATCCTGGCTGCAGTGTGACATTCCACAGTTTACTAATCTATTTGGGAATAACAGTTAAAATTGTACAGAAAGATTGGAGAGGCGGAGATTTTAATAGAAAGATAGGGGAAGAAGAAATGAAGTGTATTTACAATTTTAAAACTCTTATTCCCCATGGTCTTAACCAAGATTTTGAGTTATGTCACTTTTTAGTATAACACTGCCTGCGATATATATTAAGATTTTAGGAATGTTTTTAATATAGGTGTCTATTTATCATTATTATATTTATATTAAATTTTTATATATTTTTTATATGTGTTTTTTTTTTATTATAAAAGAATATATATATATTTTTTTTAAGATGATGTATTTTTATTTGGCTATATTGTATTTTATTTTAAAATTAGACTGTGGGCAATACCTGATGTTTTATATAATTTTGCTTTTAGACATCTCTATTATCCTTTTTCTATTATCTTATATGTTCTTATTACCATTAGCTATAATCTATGTAAGACTGTATATTGTTGGAAAACAATATTGGCTCAAAGCATTTTTGACAGGGATATTTTATTGGACATTTTCAATAATAATACTGTTTTTTAAAAAAAAATTGAGGACAGTAAACACAGTATGGAACGCATATGCGTTCCAATGACGCTGAGAAGAGATGTATGCCTGTATGGGTTCGGCGAGACCGGAAATGACGTCACAGAACTAGGAAATTAACCGTGGAACGCATGGGTGAGTTCCACCGAACATATTGAACTGTTGCCGAAACCGGAAGTGACGCAGACGCCACAAAGGGGACGGAACCCGGAAGTAGAAGGTGGAACGCATATGCGTTCCACCGGAAGTTTGACCGCGAACTTTGAGAGGATTTAAAGGATTAAGAGGACACTACTACTGTATGCCAACTGAGGAAGCCACACTGGCGAAACGCGTTTTGGCAAGCATATTGGACACTAAAAGGTTTTATTTATTGCATTACTTTTACCTATATTTATTTTTTATTTATTTATTTATTTTTTGAATAAATATTTTGGTTTTGGAATATACCATTCTTCCATTGTTCATCATTGAGGGAAGACTTACCACAACAAGCATCAAAGAGGTCTGGGGATCACCCAATTAAGATCCCAAAGGAAATCCACACCAGAGCCAGGTTGCACTATATGGCTCTCCCATTGTGTGTGTATATGATACATATCTTACCAAGATTTTGTGTATAGCAATATTTGCACTATTTTGTACCTCTCTATCTCTTACAGCTAAAATTTAGAAGAGAGAGAAGTATATTTTTTATTCATTATCACCATTTGCTCCACCTATTTCTTTGTGTGTTATATATTTGGGAATAACGTCAAACCTACTTGTACATAAAATACTTTATTCATTTACTTCAATATATCCTGTTTGGGGCATATTGCCTTTATTCTGTTTTAACTCTGAAAGTATGCTTTTTGTGGTATATTGCCTTAATTATTGCTTTCAAGTAAATTATGTCTAAAAAGACAAAGTTTCAACCAATAACCCTGGCAATTGTCTCCTCTCTGTTCAGTAACATGACAATTGAGCTGACATAGAAAGGCACAAGAGGTGTTCCAGGTGTGCCCATCATAATGGGTCCCCCTATTTAGTTTTTCATTATCAGATAAAATGCATGAAAACTAAGCATTTTGTTGTGTACAGCTGGTTATGTAAAAAAAAATTCTATTTTGTACCTAAGATTTTAAGTACAAATAAGTTGCTAATTCTAAAAAAACAAAAAACATTTCATTTGATTGTTTATCTAAAATGCAAAAATAGACACAAATAGATGCTACAAGGTCCCAAAAGAAAAACAGAATTGAGACCCTAAGCATCACCTGGATATACGTATAGCATGTAGGGGTAAACCAAGTATGTAAGTGTATATATCAACCCTAAAAGAGCAAAAAGCAAAAATCGTGAAAAAATAAAACATAAATAGTGATAAACTAAGGTATATACAAAGAACTCATGCCACTAAATCTCGTAGAGGAGAGTAAACAAGAAAAGACCACGCTGTCAGATCACAGATGATACTCCATACAAAATAAAGCTTTAATAGGAAAAACAGGCTAACTTGTGAGTATCAATCCTGATAGTGTGTCTATACACCTCTTATCCGAATAACTGGCTAGGAAGTCCCAGATAATACTGAGATGTAGTCTTAGTATAGCATAATAACACAATATATTAAATCCAGGGGGGGGGGCCCCCCCTTTTTTTTAAATCAAATCCTACAGCCAAAGAGAAAAGTCCCTAGATCCCAGGACCAAAAGTATAATATATAGGATCCTATATGCCAGAAAGAGGGCAGAAATCAATAGTAAGATAATAGGGAGGAGGAATAAGAAGTAAAGGAATCAGTTCAAAATGAGCTGATAATATCGATTATAAAGCCTCTCTCCCTGTTAAACTAACTAGATAGATGAAGTGGTAGAGAAAAGGGGAATACAGTCAAGGGAAAAAACACAATAGTAGTCATAGTAGTAATGATCAATGGATTATACTATTGAGCATAATTAAATACCCCATTCCCATTAAAAATAAAAGAAATAATGTAATAGAAACGCACTTCATCTATCTAGTTAGTTTAACAGGGAGAGAGGCTTTATAATCGATATTATCAGCTCATTTTGAACTGATTCCTTTACTTCTTATTCCTCCTCCCTATTATCTTACTATTGATTTCTGCCCTCTTTCTGGCATTTAGGATCCTATATATTATACCTTTGGTCCTGGGATCTAGGGACTTTTTTCCTCCAGCCTATCTCTTTGGCTGTAGGATTTGATTTAAAAAAAAAGGGGGGCCCCCCCCCCTGGATTTAATATATTGTGTTATTATGCTATACTAAGACTACATCTCAGTATTATCTGGGACTTCCTAGCCAGTTATTCGGATAAGAGGTGTATAGACACACTATCAGGATTGATACTCACAAGTTAGCCTGTTTTTCCTATTAAAGCTTTATTTTGTATGGAGTATCATCTGTGATCTGACAGCGTGGTCTTTTCCTGTTTACTCTCCTCTACGAGATTTAGTGGCATGAGTTCTTTGTATATACCTTAGTTTATCACTATTTATGTTTTATTTTTTCACGATTTTTGCTTTTTGCTCTTTTAGGGTTGATATATACACTTACATACTTGGTTTACCCCTACATGCTATACGTATATCCAGGTGATGCTTAGGGTCTCAATTCTGTTTTTCTTTTGGGACCTTGTAGCATCTATTTGTGTCTATTTTTTCATTTAATTGGGGTTAAGCCCCTGGAGACCCCTGGAGTCTCTGTGCGGTACACAGGTTGTGAGCGTAGAACAGCACTTTGTCCTATTTGGATCTAGTGTCTTGTCTTTTTCGCTCACTGCCCTGTATTGTTTTCTGTTTGTTTATCTAAAATGCAAGTATTTTGTGATTTAATAACTAATACATGTTTGCCTTTTATACATTAAAATATCACTATGACACACATACAAAAGGGACACTCACAACACTGCCCAAACTAAAAAAAAAGTTAACAAAGATTATTAATAAAGAACCCTAGAAATTACGTCAGTCAAGAAAGAAAGCATACGAAAAAGCCCTTGAAATAAGAAGCCAGATGTTTTCTTTCTGTAGGCAGCACGTTCTACGATCCTACCATTGTCTTAAAATAACCATAACCAATAATTGTGAACCCGATACGGAAGAAAAAAGGTGCATTGACAAACATTGGGCACAATGATAGCAGAAAAGACCTCGCACCCAATGCTCCATTTTTCAGGACTTGCTATTCCCTTATCACAACTCACCTTGAATGCAAAAAAACAAAACAATAGCTACCAACCTGGGAAGGGAGCGTTTTAAGATTTAAAACAGAATTGTCATCTGCAACCCCATCAACATCTAAAGGGAAATTGTCCCAAAAAATGCATTTGATAAAGGCATATGATTCATTGTTGCAAAAAATATAAATTTACTTAGATTTGTACTTATATTTCATGATTACTAAAAACTTTACTTTTATTACCTGAAGACCTGGCCAGACTAGAATGGTTCTTATCTGCCACCACATTCTATGTTTCTATATATGCATTATACATATATAAGAAATAAAAGTGTGTGTGTGTGTGTATATATAATATATATTAACAAAAAGATGATGGCTGCACTCCACGGTCTTCTTATATTAAAAATATATATTGCTTTATTAAATATACATTAAAAAGATCGACGTTTCAGCCCCATGTTGGGCTTTCTTCAGGATCAGAAAAAACAAACAAGTATATCACACATACTGATTCAACTTATATACCATAAGTAAAGATGAATAGACTCACCACAGCTGATGTGTCTGCTCGCCCGGCGTCCTGCCGATCGCTGTGCAGCAGAGTCAATACATAAACATAATTAAAAACAAATTAAATGGGAAAATGGACTATAATCTAAGTAAATATTATAAGTCTAGTATATCCATCCATAGTGATTACATACCTTATATATCAAAACATACGTTTCAATTTAGGATCACCAGTTGTTACACACACTAAAAAATTTTTGTCAAAGGAGTGAATACTCCCATATTTTATATGGACCAAACAATATCCCAATTATTCAAGAATTAAAGTGCTTCTAAGTGCTCTCATGTATTTAAATACAGAAAAGTGAGCTGTGCTGTGCAAATAAAGGACCGAATATGTGCTAATATGTGCAAATAGCTAGAAAAAGTGCCTTGCTGGCAACTATATGCCGGATCAATACTATTTTATTTTAAAAGTGCCAAATATATTTAGTTTATTTCATTATGAGTTTCTATTGTCTATTTGTTATTTGTTATTGTTTATTGAAGCACTTTAATTCTCGAATAACTGGGATATTGTTTGGTCCGTATAAAATATGGGAGTATTGTGATAGAATTTATCTTGATTCCAAGGCTCAAGCTTATAGGTGTCATATAATGATATCCTATATTAAAATTGGCTAACTTGGACTCAGGAAATGCTTGATGCTTAAACAACACTTAAGACCAAATATGTCTAAGTTCCTGGAGCAGAGAGCCCCCACCTAAGATGTCTCTGCTCTAATCATTTTGTTCTCTCTTACCTTGAACCTTATTTGTTATGTGTACATGACATTCATCCCTATGTCTTATCTGTATTCTCTTCCTATTACTGTTCTAAGAGTATTTGCACGTAAGCACTTACTTTTTAATGTATAAAACCCAGCTGATGAATAAAACGTCAGAGGCTTATTTTGAATACCAACAGGTGTCTGGTGTCTAATTCTCGCTTCTCCAAGTGCACTTGTAACAACAATTTGGGCTTCCTCTGAATATAACAAAGATCAACATTCTGATCCACAACAATTTGGTGCCGTGACCCCGGGATCTGACGGTCGAGAGACTCGGACACTAGTGTACAGGTGGACGTCCCTCTGACAGTGAAATCAGCTGTACAGCAAGGTAAGAAAAACTTTTTTTCTACCTTTATCAATTTCGCTCTCAGATCCACATCCTACTAGTCTGTCTGGGCAAAGAACGACTTAAAAACGTCTGATCTAAAGAAATAGTTTCTGTGGTTTTATGGTTATATTCAGGTGGAGGTTGTGTTATGTCTTGTGAAAGGAATCTTGAGATAGTGGAATATATCTGTGGGTTGTAAGTTATTTTTATTGTTTGCCTTGTCATTTGTTTTATAATTGAGTTAGACTCCTCCAAGGGCAGATCTCCTGATCTGTGTTTAGAAGACAAAACTGGGAAAATTCCACTGCAGTGGTCCTAAGTGTCTAATACACTGTTTTTGTACAGTTTGTCTTGTGTAAGGAAGTAATTAACCCTTACAAGTTTTAAGATGGGTAGCTCTGAAAGTACCCAAGGGGGATTTACAGCTTTGACTATTGTTAAGCACCACAAAGGACAAGGAGCAATTAAGAATGTTAAGAGGTTACTTAAGAAAGCTGGCATGCCCTCAGAAGGCACTCTAGACCCACATATATGGAGTGAATTTATGGCAAATTACAGAGGTTGGTTAGAAGATAATGACTTAGTAGAAGTCGCACAAAAATGGCAAAAAAACTTGCTGTACTCAGGATCTCCTGTTTAGCCCTTCTATACCCTTAAGATACTGCTGTTGAATTAACTAAACGTGGTTTCCCTTTTACGGAGATCAAAACTGCTCTTTCCAGTAATATTACGCAGTGTGACTTCATATGGTGTCCCAGTAAGACCTATGGGTTCATTAGAGCAGGAAGGTAATCCTGACTTAAAGGAACCCCTAGTTGCCCCCACAGACACCCCAGTGGGGCCAATAGCTCCACAATTTTCTACTCCCATGATACCCAAAGTTGAGAGCGTATACCATGAGAACAGACAGCTGAGCTCAGGTATCCAATACTGGGAAGAATATAAGCCCTTGACACCCAGTGAACAAGTGGCAATAATACAGCAGCTGGCAGATTTTGAAAAGGCCCCCTTAGCTCTAGTCCAGTCTCTATCCACAATTAAACTACTTACCAGTGTACTTGGATGGATTTAAAACAGATTGTGGCACTAAAAGCTGGCCCCATTTGGGCTAGAATAATTGCTAAATATACTGATGCCCATGAAGATAACCTCAGAAAAAGCAACATGCAAACAGATGAATGGTTTAGAACCAAGTCTGCATCTGGAGCATGCTATGTCACTGCAATGAGAGAATGGGCTAAGGTAAAGACAGAGGAACTAGCCCATAAATTAGGAGATATACTACAAGGGAAAGATGAATCTGTAGAAACATTCTTCACCAGACTACAAATGGCATGGGAGGCATTGGGTTACACTGCTGTTGCAACCACTTCCACCAGACTGCTTATTAACTGCTTCATGGATGGTATCCACATACCCATAAGGACTGGTCTACAAAATCCTAGACCTGAGTGGAGAAGTTTAACCTATGGTGATCTGGTGAAGGTGGCTAGGGGAGTGGAAGCTAATCTAAATACTAGAAAGAGGAGCACAGCTCTAATGGCTGTAACTGTCCCTAGAGCTGGTGGAGACAGAAGGCAGGTAGACTGCTGAAATTGTGGCAAGAAAGGACACATTAAACGTAACTGCAAGTGTCCTCCTAAAAATAGAAAACCCCAAGATTCTAATGATAACTCCCATGACAGCCATCCACCACCACCACCCCCCCCCCCAATAGGAAATTAGCAAACCAGTGTCCCTACATATCATCAATATCCCTGACTCTGCAGGACCCTCACCCATTATCAATGTTACACTGCCTGGGGACCGAATAGTCCCTTTCCTGTTGGACACTGGCGCTGCTAAATCAATGTTACAGGAAAGATATGTGTTCCCGTATGAGAAATGATGTAATGATGTATTATCATGTGTAGGGGTGGATGGTATCGAAAATGACATTCCCCTTACCCACAAGCTGAAATTGAAGCTACACGACTCTACTGCCCTTGTAACCAGGCTACTTGTCAGCCCTCATGCCCCTGCTAATCTACTAGGCAGTGATATACTGTCTGCTCTTAGTGCAAATATCCAGTATAGCCCCACTGGAAAACTAACATTGTCTGTGCCTTTGGAGGACAAACAAATTATATCTCTTTCAAATGTTCTGGCAACTCTCAATATGACCAGCCATGAGCCAGAACCTACCATTGACTTGTCCTCAGTCCCTGATTCCTTATGGGCTACAGGGAAGACAGATACAGGCAGACTCTCTGTGCCCCCAGTCAAAGTGAATCTCCTGCCCGGAGCCATACCTCCCTATCAAAAACAATACCCACTAAACCCAGCACAGGAAGATGCTATTTTGCAATCTGTGCAAGAGTTTCTGCAGGCAGGGGTAGTTGTCCAGACCACCTCCCCTTATAACACACCATTGTATCCAATTAAGAAAAAGCAAGAGAAAGGGAAACCTGTGGTCTACCGTATGGTGCATGATTTGAGGGCAATTAATGCTGTAACTGAACTCATTGCCCCTAATGTTCCCAACCCACACACCTTGTTGGCACAAATACCACCTTCCTCTAAGGTATTTACTGTTATTGACTTGGCAAATGCATTTTTCAGTGTCCCCCTGGATCCCGACAGTCAGTTTTTATTTGCATTTACACATTAACACAAGCAGTACACTTGGACAGTATTGCCACAGGGCGCACAAAACTCACCCACTATGTACAGCATGGCTATGGCTCAGATTCTTGAAGAGTGGTAAAGGCCATATAACGTAATTTTATTGCAGTGTATTGAGGACCTAATCCTATGTTGCGATAATATGGAGACTTGTATTATAAACACTCTTTCCTTACTGAAATTCTTGGCAGAGGCAGACTGCAGTTCAAAATATTACATTCCCCCCACACCACTCCCGCCCCCGCAGCCTAGCCCAGCTACTTTCATTCTGCTAACCTTGGCTTCTACAGCAATCTACAGGCAGCTGCTGTATGATTGTCTCGCCAACAAAAACAAAATCTTTCAATTAACTCATGGAGCAGAAAATGCTACATCTGTCCTTACACAGGACCATGGTGGTAAACAAAGACCAATAGCTTACTACTCCACCAGATTGGACCCTGTTTCCAGGGGTGCCCCCTCATGTGTTAGGGCAGTGGCGGCTGTTACTGCCCTCCTGGACAAAGCCACTGATATTGTTTTAGATAATCCGGTGACCATATACACACCGCATGATATCAACAGCATACTCTCACAAGTTCAACCAAAACACATACATACTGCAAGGCATCTCAGAATGCAATGTGCCTTGCTTATGCCACCTAATGTTACTCTTAAAAGTGTATGGTGTTAAATCCATCTACATTGCTTCCCCTGGATTTAAAAGAGGGGAGTGGGGATGTGGGGATAGTGGGAATGGTACTTGTACTTCTGATCTTTTTGTAAATTCACTTTCACCAGATGAGTTAGCTGATGCCCAGGTACCCCATGATTGTGCAGCACTAATGGCACAAGAAACAGCAGATTTTTACATGTAATTGATTCTCCATATCTAATGCAGATTTTGAGTTTTTTGTAGATGGTTCCAGATATGCTGATGAGAAGGGTAAATTCCACACCGGATATGCTGTAGTCTCTGCACATGAGGTAATAAAAGCTGAACCACTCGCTCCTCACTGCTCTGCACAGGAGGCAGAGCTGAAGGCACTCGCTGAAGCGTGTAAAATGGCTTCTGGTAAGACTGTTAATATTTATACAGACTCTCACTATGCTTTTGGTATAGCCCTTGATTTTGGCCCTATATGGCGGGCTCGTGATTTTCTCACCTCAGCAGGAACTCCAATCAAGAATTCTGAAGCCGTGAGTGCACTTATGGACGCTATCCTGCTACCCACTCAAGTAGGCATCATCAAGGTGGCAGCTCACGTGAAGATCACAGATGAAATCTCAAGAGGAAACCACAAAGCAGACGAAGCTGCCAAGCAAGCAGCAATCCAAGTTCATCCCTCTACAGGTAATAGCTTCCTACAAGTTGTTCTTACAGATGACGCCGTTGACTACAATATACTGTTGAGCTTACAAAGACAGGCAAGCAAGGAAGACCATGACCTCTGGAGGAAACAAGATGCAGAACTTGATGATGACAGAATGTGGAGGAAAGGTAAAAGACTGTGTTTGCCACAAGTGTTGTACCCCATGATGGCCCAGATTGCCCATGGACCTACACATCTATCCAAGATGCACATGAACAGCATAGTAAACACCCATTGGGTAGCACCCGGATTTACTGTTGTAGCAGCTAAACACACCCAAGCTTGCATGATTTGTGCTAGAAACAATCCAGGACAGGCTGTCAAAAAACCAAGTAAGCACACACCAAGGCCACTTTACCCGTTTCAAAGACTGCAGATAGACTTTATTCAACTACCTAAGGTAGGAGTGTATGAATATGTGTTGGTGTGCATTGATCTCTTTTCATTTTGGCCTGAGGCCTACCCAGTGTCGAAAGCCACAACAAAGGTCACAGCAAGTAAACTTCTGAAGGAATTGGTATGTAGATATGGAGTACCTGAAGTGATTGAAAGTGACAGAGGTAGCCATTTCACTGGGGAAATAATGCAAGAAATTATGAAAGCCTTAGGGATCAGTCAGGCCTTCCACACCCCTATCACCCCCAGAGTAGTGGGAAAGTAGAAAGGGCAAATGGCACCTTAAAGAACAAGATTGCAAAAGCCATGCAAGACACAGGGAAGCCCTGGACTGAATGCCTTCCCCTAGCACTCTTTTCTATGAGATTCACCCCCAATTCCAGACATGGTCTATCCCCTTTTGAGATCCTGTTTGGATGTGCCCCAAAGACAGGCCTCTATTTTCCCCAAACTCTCCAGATGCAGCATGGTAGTATGACTGCCTATGTTCAGGCCCTACACCAAAGATTAGGCAGGGTGCATAAACAAGTCTTTGATTCTATTCCAGATCCAGACTCTGATTCTGCAACTCACAAACTGCAACCTGGTGATTGGGTGGTGATAAAGAGGCATGTGAGGAAAGGACTTGAACCACGCTTTGACGGTCCATTCCAAGTGCTCTTGACTACAGCTACCTCGGTGAAACTAGAAGGAAAAGCCACATGGATACATGCCAGTCACTGTAAACAAGTCACTCCGACTGATCCATCGACATGAAGCTGTTCTTATCCTTTACCATTTTATGCTGTGTTCGGATATGCTACTCTGACTTGAGACCAGAAAATAATAATACATGGCAGGAAAATATATGGTTGCAGATAGCAAAGGCTTTTAATTTAACCTCCTTTTGCCTCAACCCTCTCCTCAGTACTGAAAACGCCATAGAATCTTGTCTTATAGCTGTCCCTACCCCCATCTCACTGTTGAGGAAGTACCTACATACCCATAGACCCCATAAATCTCTACAACTATATTCTTATGCCTTCAACCCACTGGTAGGCAAGCCTCCTCTAGCCCTGAAGACAATTAATGTGACAGGCGCTGTACTATGTTAGTCTTTTTCATGTAATTGTTCAAGAGACCCTAATACTGAATCCCTGTTTTGCCCCACATGATGGAAAAATACCACGAATTGTAGAGCCCTGAGCACCACTATGAATTGTACCAAAACTCACCAAGTTATGAGTTACCACTACAATGTCTATTTTCCTAAAGGATGGACTTTCTCCTGTGGAAATATTACTTATGCTTATGTCCAGGTAACATTACAGGAGGTCCCTGTGCAATCTCTCGCCTAACCATGACCATGTTTTCCAAATCTGACCTGATCACTAAAACCACCCAGCTATACAAACTGCTGAGAGATGTTAAAAACACCCTTAATGCAGATTGCAACCCTGAAATAACTCTTATCTAAATACTCTGCCCTAGCGTACACCTTGGTAGGCGTCCCAGGCTTAGCATTGTATAATACCCGACTAGTTAATGCTGTAGCCTGTTCCCTTGCAAAAGGTTTAAATGCCACTTCACAGGCCCTAGAAGAGCTACTTATGGACAACCAGGCAATTAAGAAGGCAATCCTTGAGAATAGAGCAGCCATTGACTACTTACTAATGAAACATGACTTAGGCTGTGAAGCTATTGAAGGTATGTGCTGTTTTAACCTATCTGACCATGGCACTATGATCCATAAACATATAAAAGATTTACATGACTTAGTACAGGATATCAAACCGTATACTGGCTTCTTTGGGGATTGGGATTGGACATTTGGGCTAGGAACATGGTTGACTTTACTAATTAAGAAAATTTTGTACTTTTTGCTATTAGTTGTATTTGTCATTATGGCTATTTTTCTAACCTTTAGATTTTTTTCATGTCTACTAACCTCTCTACAGGGAGTGCAGAATTATTAGGCAAATGAGTATTTTGACCACATCATCCTCTTTATGCATGTTGTCTTACTCCAAGCTGTATAGGCTCGAAAGCCTACTACCAATTAAGCATATTAGGTGATGTGCATCTCTGTAATGAGAAGGGGTGTGGTCTAATGACATCAACACCCTATATCAGGTGTGCATAATTATTAGGCAACTTCCTTTCCTTTGGCAAAATGGGTCAAAAGAAGGACTTGACAGGCTCAGAAAAGTCAAAAATAGTGAGATATCTTGCAGAGGGATGCAGCACTCTTAAAATTGCAAAGCTTCTGAAGCGTGATCATCGAACAATCAAGCGTTTCATTCAAAATAGTCAACAGGGTCGCAAGAAGCGTGTGGAAAAACCAAGGCGCAAAATAACTGCCCATGAACTGAGAAAAGTCAAGCGTGCAGCTGCCACGATGCCACTTGCCACCAGTTTGGCCATATTTCAGAGCTGCAACATCACTGGAGTGCCCAAAAGCACAAGGTGTGCAATACTCAGAGACATGGCCAAGGTAAGAAAGGCTGAAAGACGACCACCACTGAACAAGACACACAAGCTGAAACGTCAAGACTGGGCCAAGAAATATCTCAAGACTGATTTTTCTAAGGTTTTATGGACTGATGAAATGAGAGTGAGTCTTGATGGGCCAGATGGATGGGCCCGTGGCTGGATTGGTAAAGGGCAGAGAGCTCCAGTCCGACTCAGACGCCAGCAAGGTGGAGGTGGAGTACTGGTTTGGGCTGGTATCATCAAAGATGAGCTTGTGGGGCCTTTTCGGGTTGAGGATGGAGTCAAGCTCAACTCCCAGTCCTACTGCCAGTTCCTGGAAGACACCTTCTTCAAGCAGTGGTACAGGAAGAAGTCTGCATCCTTCAAGAAAAACATGATTTTCATGCAGGACAATGCTCCATCACACGCGTCCAAGTACTCCACAGCGTGGCTGGCAAGAAAGGGTATAAAAGAAGAAAATCTAATGACATGGCCTCCTTGTTCACCTGATCTGAACCCCATTGAGAACCTGTGGTCCATCATCAAATGTGAGATTTACAAGGAGGGAAAACAGTACACCTCTCTGAACAGTGTCTGGGAGGCTGTGGTTGCTGCTGCACGCAATGTTGATGGTGAACAGATCAAAACACTGACAGAATCCATGGATGGCAGGCTTTTGAGTGTCCTTGCAAAGAAAGGTGGCTATATTGGTCACTGATTTGTTTTTGTTTTGTTTTTGAATGTCAGAAATGTATATTTGTGAATGTTGAGATGTTATATTGGTTTCACTGGTAATAATAAATAATTGAAATGGGTATATATTTGTTTTTTGTTAAGTTGCCTAATAATTATGCACAGTAATAGTCACCTGCACACACAGATATCCCCCTAACATAGCTATAACTAAAACAAACTAAAAACTACTTCCAAAAATATTCAGCTTTGATATTAATGAGTTTTTTGGGTTCATTGAGAACATGGTTGTTGTTCAATAATAAAATTAATCCTCAAAAATACAACTTGCCTAATAATTCTGCACTCCCTGTATGTAAAAGCAAACCTACTGTTGGTCGTATCTTAACTTACATTCCAGCTCCGACTTCGGAAAGGTTTTATGATGTTACCTCGCCTAACAAATGAAGGAACTCTCCTCCGCTGATTCTGGTGGTCTCTCAGTCCAAGGGAACCGTGGTGAAGCAATAAATGAAAGTCCCACAGGCTTTGGCTAGCAGGCCTGGATATACCTTGGACATTTGGGTGACCCTTGGATCAAAAGAGGGGATTGTGATAGAATTTATCTTGATTCCAAGGCTCAAGCTTATAGGTGTCATATAATGATATCCTATATTAAAACTGGCTAACTTGGACTCAGGAAATGCTTGATGCTTAAACAACACTTAAGACCAAATATGTCTAAGTTCCGGGAGCAGAGAGCCTCCACCTAAGATGTCTCTGCTCTAATCATTTTGTTCTCTCTTACCTTGAAACTTATTTGTTATGTGTACATGACGCTCATCCCTATGTCTTATCTGTACTCTCTTCCTATTACTGTTCTAAGAGTATTTGCACGTAAGCACTTACTTTTTAATGTATAAAACCCAGCTGATGAATAAAATGTCAGAGGCTTATTTTGAATACCAACAGGTGTCTGGTGTCTAATTCTCGCTTCTCCAAGTGCACTTGTAACAACAATTTGGGCTTCCTCTGAATATAACCAATATCAACATTTCTGATCCACAACAGTATTCACTCCTTTGACAAAACATTTTTAGTGTGTGTAACAACTGGTGATCCTAAATTGAAATGTATGTTTTGATATATAAGGTATGTAATCACTATGGATGGATATACTAGACTTATAATATTTACTTAGATTATAGTCCATTTTCCCATTTAATTTGTTTTTAATTATGTTTATGTATTGACTCTGCTGCATTGCTTTATATGCTTTTACATAGGATGTGCAGTTCGTCCGGAGTCTGCTGGTCGCTATGGTAACGCGGCACGGTTGTTTGGTTTCCAAGGAAACACAGACTGCGTCATGCCGAACATAGTCTTTGATAGGATAGCTGCGCACATGCGCACAGCGATCGGCAGGACGCCGGGCGAGCAGACACATCAGCTGTGGTGAGTCTATTCATCTTTACTTATGGTATATAAGTTTAATCAGTATGTGTGATATACTTGTTTGTTTTTTCTGATCCTGAAAAAAGCCCAACATGGGGCTGAAATGTCGTTCTTTTTAATGTATATTTAATAAAGCAATTTGTATTTTTAATATAAGAAGACCGTGGAGTGCAGCCATCATCTTTTTGTTACTATATTTGCATTGTCAGCTGGCTCATGCACCTGGCATTACCAAGGATTACGTGAGTGCAAGGAATCTTTCTGGTCTTATATATATATATATAATTTTTTTTTTTTTTTTTAACTATTAACTACATAATTATTTGATTTTATTAATTATAATTTGAGGGACCTTGAGCAGACAGTCCAGAGAATTTACTTGGCAAGCCCTATATTTAACTCTGTAACTTTCTAAAACATCATAAAACCTTTACATGGGGGGTATTGTTATACTCGAGAGACTTTGCTGAACACAAATATGAGTGTGTTAAAAAGTAAAACTTATCATGGGGGGCGTGGCTGACCAGCTAACAAGCCAGACGTGTAAATGTGGAGCTCCGTACCGAAGCGAGACAAAACAAAGCCAAAAAGGGTAACCTGACTCCATACCAGCGACTAAAAACACGCTCCATCACCAGAGACAGTAATGGGGTGAAGGCATAAAAAATCCCACCTGCCAGAGACGTCCAAACAAGCTGACATCAGGCTCTCGTTCGAGAAGCCTATACAGCCGACCAAAAAAACCAAGATGGAGCCGGAGACGTGCAGAGAGGAAGAGGCTTCGCAGGATTCTCCAGATGACAGAGAGAGCTTCGCCACCACCCGTGGGGGCCCACTACTGGGACCCAGAGTCAGAGGAAGACTCATCTCCTGTGACCAAGAGAGACATCAGGCACCTCATGCAAGAAATGAGGGAAGTTTGGAAAGCAGACCTCAAAGAAACTCAGAAGATGATGGGGGCCCTCCAGACAAGAATCACTGAGGTGGAGGACAGAGAAGGTTCTAGGGATCGCAACCTACAAGCCACCCAAGATCAGTTACAAGACCTCACACAACAGGTCCACAAACTAACCAGGACATTCACAGTGCACAGGAAGAGGAATGTCCGCCTCCAAGGCATCCCAGAATGCGTCACCGGGGATGCCATAATGCCATATATCCAGAGACTACTAACCACAATAGGCATCCAAGGCAGTAAAGACCCAGGTACACTGCTTTCTGCATTTCGAACCTGGAAGGCAGCGGCCGCCCCAGACGTCACACCTAGGGACACTATAGTTGTAACTAGGGATGTAGCGGTGCGAACCACGATACGGTCATGTTCAAGGGAACTACACAACATAAAACTTGAGGGACATACTGTGGCTATCTATGGAGCTCTCCCTTTTGCTGCACTGCTGGTGTTGAGGCAAGTTGAACCGATAGCTAAACCGCTCCGAGAGGCAATGATCCGCTACAGATGGGGAACTGACGGCTCACTGCAGGTCCAGAAGGGGGACCAGACACTCACACTAACCTCAGTGGACGATCGAGTTCCATTCCTCCAGCAACTAAATCTGCCCGCCAGGGACACTACTCAGAATAAATGCAAAGACATAAGGGCAAAGCAGATGCACAGAAGTGGACTAACTCTAGCACAGACAAAACAGAACCCTACCTGACACATCCATGAACTTGTTCCCCCTAGATACCTCCTGGTGAGGGGACCAGATATAAAACACCTCCAAATATGCCACCCCACGAGCAGGCACTACAAGGATACACTAAGAGTCACACAATGCTTATTTAATATGTAATTTGCATGTTTAGCAATGTTTATTACTGTTTGCACGTATTTATTTCACCATTAGATGGCTATATTCCTTGTCAACTTCCATACCGACAGTATCACAGTGAATACCTGACACGCCGGTTAACATATTGCTATGTTTATTTAATATACTGTGACTCAGATTAATTTATTTTTCTCTGAGCTGTAAAACTCTAATAAAATACAAATAATAAAAGAAAGTTAAACTTATCACAACGATGATATCACCACTAAAAGTGCAGTTTTTGTTTAAAAAATAAAAAATAAAAAAATAAAACCTAACCTAACGTGGCTAAGTGGCTACTACAAAAGACTGGAAATACCTCATTATCAATACCCGGGGTTGTCTACATTTGGAAATGGTATGCCATGATAAGGTTAATTCACATTCCTGGGCTATCATATGGTCTCAAAAGGCAGCATAGACCCAGCAAACCAATCTGGTAAACTGAAATGGGCAAGCCCTATATTGACCCTGTAACTTTCCAAAACACCATAAAACCTTTACATGGAGGGTATTGTTATACTCAGAAAAATTCACTGAACACAAATATGAGTTTTTTTTAAAAAGTAAAACTTATCATCATGATGATATAACCAGTAAAAGTGCAGTTTTTGTTTAAACAAATATGAACACTTCAAAAATGTCCCAAATAGGACATGGGTGCATGATGACCAGCTGAGAAAATTCCAAATTGGAAAACTGGAATGCGCATCCTCCAAATAAGGTCTTTTAGCCCCCAGAGAACCTATCACACCTATACATGGATGATTTCACTGTACTCAGGAGATGTTGCTGAACACATATTGCGGTGTTCTTTGGCAGTAACCCTTAAAGATGTCTGTACATGTATTCTTAAATTGCTATGCGTGTCAAAAAAAAAAAAATCACAATTTTTTTTTTTGCATAGATTGGTGGTAAAATGGTTGCATGAAAAGAGTCAAAATACCCCAAGTGTAATACCTTAGGTTGTCTTTTTAAAAAAAAAATACATACATGTGAAGGATTATTCAGGGATTCTTGACAGATATCAGTGTTACAATGTAACGTTTCTTTAATTCTGAAAAAAAATGGTTTGAAATAGCAAAGTGCTACTTGTACTTATTGCCATATAACTTGCAAAAAAAAAGCTCATCTCCTGCAAAATTAAACCTATAAAGCTTACAAAACGTGATTATGAGGGAAATTACTTGCCTGTATCTGTGACCCACGAAGTGAACGGGCTGCCTGAGCTGAGGAGAGGCTTGCTCCTGGAGTTCTAGTCCCTCGGAGGGGAGATCCCTGCTGCACCAGGTGAGACCTCACCTGGCGGTGAGTGGAGTGGACGGCCACCGCTCCACTATCCTGCCTGACAGAGCCCGACAAACATGTGGACCATCGGCGGATCCAGAGGGGGGGTGATCCTGGTCCAAGCCTCACAGCCACACTCGGAGGCAGTGACACGGCATCATGCAGGCCCAGAGCCCACGTTAAAGATGGCAGAGGCCATGTACACAGAGCCAAAAACTGATTACAGCTCTCACCTGGCTCAGCGCACAGGGCAACAAGCATCAACGGACCCACACCGAGCAGCAGTCCCCAAGTTCGGAGACATGCGTGGCGCATGTAACTCACCACCCACATGGTTCATGCCGACAAGATGGCCGCTCACCCTTCATCTGAGCTGGGCGCTCACAAGGAGGAACCCCTTTCACAGCCTGTAATACCCCCCAGGGAGAAGTTCGGGATCCGGAGGAACCCTGGGCCCACAATCCTGCTGATGGAATCAATGGCGACAGGGCACGAGCGCCTATTAAGGTCTCAGGCAAGTGGCTCCTTGACGCAGAGACACCACGACAGTGGAAACACCGTGGATGCCCACACCAGTAGTGTCCAACTGAAGACCCGGCGGATGTGTGAACCCGGTCGGCAGGAAAAGCACATGGACTAACCTACAGCATTGGAATGGCACGGCACACCTACAAGTTAGACCGTATGGCTAAACGACACCTGCCTTCATCCTGCCACAATAAGACAGACTGGTGATTTATGCAGCCCCTGTGACGAACTAAGGAGGCTTCATGCCAGGTTACTCATGTCACCATGCATACTATGACTATCGTGTTCTCTGGCTTGCCTGACTTTGCTTGACGAGCACTTGTGCAAATTCAGAGTGCGGTGTAGTGCTCTATCCGAAGTAACCTGAATGTTAGCTAAACAATTGAACCGATGGGCAGGCATTGCTGTTGATAACCTTAAGAGATGTATATTTTGCTGTGTTTTCATATAGCGATGTGGGGAACCTAGCAAGGGGGGTCAGACCATACACGCATCTAGCACATTAGCTACTACAAATAGCTTGTGCTTAACATGACGTGACATACCTACCCACCTGCGGAGATATGCTCAGTTGTTCTTGCGATCTCCTTTAGTCCGCTCCCCTTAAATCAACATGTGAGCACTCAATGAAACTAGCCTATGAGAATAGATGACATGCCGCTGCGACATTAACCGAGACAAAGCGACTAGCCTGTTTACTGATATAACAATATAGTATTATATGGCGAGCTAATCAGACAAAGCGACATTTCATAAAACATAAAATGAAGCAGACATAACTGTGAATGTGTATCTATGATATAAGCTCTTGCAAATGTATGAAAATTCGCTGATATATCATTCATCCGTTTCTTCCCTTCTGTAATGAACATAAAACGCTTTAATAAAACAAAGATTTACATTTTTTTTTAAAAATTTCCCATCATATTTGATAAAAAATTTTCATAGTAAATTATATGATATGATGAAAATAATGGTATCTGTAGAAAGACCATTTAATGGCGTGAAATAATAATTAATATGTGTGGGTACAGTAAATGAGTAAGCGGAAAATTACAGCTAAACACAAACACCGCAAAATGTAAAAACAGCCCTGGTCCTTAACGGTAAGAAAATTGAAAACAAGCTGGTCATTAAAGGGTTAAGCAAGTCCCTTTAGCTATGATAATAATGATTGTAGGTTCTATATTGTATATTTCATTTTGCTGCATCATATATTTTTGTATATGTCTTGATATTTTTACTTTTGCCTAATTTTATGAGTTATAATAAGGTGCATTTTTTTTTATGAGTGCTTGTTGCTGGAGCTACAGAGTCTTGTTAACTTTAGATTTTTAAGTTTAGTGCTTCATTATTGGGTATCAATAAATCTAGGAAGACTGACTTGTTGATAGCTTTGAATATATAGAGCTTCTTGTTATTGGACAATATTATTAAGAATCGATTATTCAGACATTGATTGAAAATGCCTTGTGCAGACATCATAATAGATATATGTGATCTAACAGAGCCAGTAAGGAAGGGAGGTCAGGTCTCTGTATCTCCGTTTAAACCAGGAAGAAGCGCGTAAGTAACTTTTTGTGAAAAAGTTTCTGTGTGAAAAGTGTAGACACTGGCATTTACTGTTTTTTTTTTTTTTAATTGTCACACTTGCTGTGTATCACATTTTCCACATTTGAATGTATATTTGATTTATTTGATATATTTGAATAAAGTGTATCGATACTGGTTAAGTGAGAATATTTTCTAAATGTATTTAAAATGTTGCTAAAGGAACACTATAGTGTTAGGAATACAAACTTGCATCCTAACACTATATAGTGCTATAATAACTATTTAGATGATCACCCCTCCATATGCATTAACTCATTCAGGACAGGGGCAATTGTACACGTTCTGATCTAAAACAAATTAAACAAATTCTGGTGTTTGTGTTTATATATATATATATATATATATATATATATATATATGTCTGTTCAACTGTGATTCACCTCTTTCATATTAAGTGCACTTATTATATAAAATTCGGTTCAGGAGAAACCAGGCTTTAATTTCACATTAAATATCTATATATGAAACATAATTTAATATCAGTAAACTTGCATACCGTTTGCTAAAGTAGACAACCCAAGGTATTCAAAGTGGGGTGTGTCTAGTCTAACCCTGGTCAAAGTTAGTGTTCATATATATTTTTTTTCACACTAAAATGGCATTTTTACCAATGATATCATCATTATATGTTTTACTTTTTAAAACACTCATATTTGTATTCAGCAAAGTATACAACAATACCCCCCACCATGTACAGTTTTTATTGTGTTTTGGAACATTACAGGGTCAAATTTTGTGCTGGCCCATATTAGTTTGCCAGTTTGGTTTGCTGGACCTATGGCATACCATTTCAAATATACCCCGGGTATTCAAAATTAGTTATGTCCAGTCTTTTGTAGTAGCTAATTAGTCACAAACCCTGGCCAAAGTTAGTATTTATATTTCTTTTTTTGCACTTGTTACACAAAAACTGCACTTTCAAAGATGATATCATCATCATGATACATTTTACCATTTTACACTCATCTGTTTTAACATTAATTTTTGTTTAAACAAATGCCAAAAACAAATCTGAACATTTACAAAATTTCCCAAATAGGACATGGGTGCATGATAATCAGCTGAGAAAATTCCAAGTTAGAAAACCGGAATGCGCTCCCTCCAAATAAGCTCTTTTAGACCCCAGAGAACCCGACACACCTATACATGGGTGGTATCACTGTACTCAGGAGATGTTGCTGAACACATATTGGGGTGTTATTTGGCAGTAACCCTTAAAGTTTCTGTCTGGAGTCAGACAGGTCCCTCAAAATATAATGACTATAATCACGTCATTATGTAAAAAAAAATAAAAAATTATATATATATATATATATATATATATATTGTGACCCTTGTGTGCAGGTAGCACAGTCCTCTAGGGTAAACAACAGGCACAGTCCTTTTATTTGCATATAACCCAGGCACTTTATTTGTAAGTCCACACAGGAGACAGCAGCAAATGAAAACATAAATATAACACAAATCCCTATAAACAAAAACCTAGCTCGTCTGAGCACTTACTAACTTCAGGTTCCCTATCTCTCAGAGGTTAAACTAGACCAAAACAATATTAGTTTCACCAACCTAGTGTCTTTGTCAGCTCTCTGCACTCTAGTGCCTAGTCAGCCTGTTGCTTTCCTTTCTGCACTCCCAGTGCTCCAAGCCAGCCTTAACTGCTTTCCTTTCTGCACTCCCAGTGCTCCAAGCCAGCCTTGACTGCTTTCCTTTTGCACTCCCAGTGCTCAGTCTCATTGACTCTCTCACTGGAGAGAACAGCCTCTCTCCTACCTGCTTCCAGGGGGGAAGCCAGCAATCCCCCTTTACCTGCCCAGCAGGGAGGGGTTTATTCCCACTGCTACAGCTGATTATCTGCAGCTGATCAGTGGGTTGGAGACAGTTCCAAAAAACTCTGGCCTGGAACTTATTTCTCCCAGTTGTGTATAAACTGAGGAGTGGAGCATTGGCCCACCCTGTTCTCCAAATGTTTCACCCCAGGGGCCCATAACTAAGTGGTGGATTGTGTTGCCTACAACACATACTACACATACTCCCCCTGGGGTTAAATGTTATAGGCCTATCTGCCTTCACTTTATCACTATATATATACATAGAACTTACGTGTGTGTGTGTGTGTGAATATATATATATTTATTTGTGCTCGGGACAATAAAACCGTATTTGTATTGATCCCTTATCATACCTGTAGAGGTATACAATATTCGGTTGAGGTGTGCTGAAACCGACGTATCGGTAGACCCATACTGGTTTTAGTATGTTGTGGCGAGAGTAAATGGTGGTCTTCATGTTTGATGATGTGAGAAATTTTGATGCATGACCTTAATTCAGTAGTATTGATGGCAGTGAACTCCCTGGGCCTCAGGAATCCGTAAATAGCTAAGTATATAGCGGCTTTTAAGGTTTGATTAGTCTTGGGTTCAAATGGTGATTTATCCAAAAGGTCTGATAGCAACCCGAACAAGTTCCCATTAATAGGTAATCTCTGCAGTGTTTGTGATGTACTGCACCTCTGGATTCCCTTTAATAAGGTCTTAATCTGCTAAGATGATAAGGTTTGTTTGGGAGTAGTGTAAGCATGTTGTATTATAAACCCTGTGAGATACAGTTTGATTGTGTTGTAGGATAGATGTAAATTGAGGTGGCAAAAGGAAGTGAAAGCCACTAAAGATTCCATTGTGAACATATCTACCACCTGGAATTCCTTAGTAAATTTCATGAAAATATTTAAAGCTCTTTTGTATGATCGTCTGGTGTTTTCAGATAAAGCGCATTGCGATAGCATTCTACCGTGAGCTAGGAGTTGGCTTAATCCAAGATGAGGTCTTGAAACTGAGGGGCTGGAGTTCCTATTGTTGAGGGATTGGGGTGTAGTTGGAGGAATTCCTGAAAAAAGAAGCGGTATAAATGGTCAGCTGCCGTGTTGTGAACAGCAGGAACGTGTATACAACATATAAAGAATTGATGGGTCGCAGCCAGCCAAGCTAAGTGTCTAACGAAACTCAGATAACTAGAGAAGGCTAACGGCCTTTGTTAATGATATGAGATGTTGCCTGATTGTCAGAAAAACAATGTACCATGTGTCCTGAACAGGAGTGCCCCCAGGTTGCTGCCACGGCCACAATAGGATACATTTCCAACAATGCTGTAGTCTGATTAAAGGCCTCCAATGTTTTGGTTTTGGGCGGCCGACTGCCCCACAGCCACTGGTCACCACAAATGGCTGCAAAACCAGTGGAAGCCGCTGCATCCAACCACAGCATTGGAGAATTGTTGGAAAGTGGAGGTATGAACATGGATTTCCCATTACATTGACATAAGAATTTCTGCCACATATGCAAATATGCTGTGGCCTGGTAATTAAGAGAAACCTCACTGTCCTCGGAGGGCAGACTATGTAATAAAGCCTAGAAACGAATGACCTGACATATTGCACTATCAGGTCGCTCTGTCTTTTCTTTTTTCCACATACAGAGACTGAGAAGACCCAGACCCTTAACATCCCTCAAGTACAAAGAACGAAGATACCAAAGCTGGAGTTACCTATTTATCAATTTATTTATTTTACCTTGAGACTATTCTAATTCTGTATATCATATTTTATTGGGAATATATTTTAATATATTTTAGTACCTTTTTTGTGGTGCAGCCCTTCCCCATTTGTTTTCTTTTCTGTTATTTTGAAGGGTTCAGAGGGATCCCCTTCTTAGGGTTGCTGCCTTATTTTACCTTTTTTATTTAGCACTGACCCTTTCAGTTTTTTATGTTGATGTTTCCGCTAGACCCCTCCCCTGCTTCAGAGTTGTCGGTGTGTGTCTGCATTAATCTGAACAACTCTGCTTTCCTGGCAGTAGCCGGGAATGGAATGCTTCTTCTCCTGAGTTCGGCTTGTATGTGTGGTATAGTCCAGGACCTGATAGATGAACGACTGCCCGAATCTTGTCTCCTAGATGGTGAACCCGACCTAGCTGGGGTGCTAGGGAGTAAAGGTCATCTCCCCCTTCCGGAGCTTGTGACATACTAAAATGAGAATTGAAATTAGGATCTTATCTCCAGGGTACTGGCTGCTAAATAGTGCCAAGTGGTGAAGACGTTCACTAAGTGGTGACAGGTGAGGCCCTACTAATGCCAAGCGGCTTGAGAGGCTCTATCTATGAATTGGACCAAGGTGCTATTTTCCACGGAAAGTAGTGGTGGGATGTTGGCCTCTATGTCATATTAAGAGAAAAATAGAATTGGGTGTGACAAGTGAGGCCCTCTCTATGTAACTTGCGAGGCGGCTAGCTATGTGTTGGACCGAGGGCCGTATACCTCTGAGTATGAGGATGGTTGTTTTCCTCGCAGGACCCCTAGTATGAGGCATAGAAGGCCTTAGAAAGCTAAATATGGAACCTATTTCCCTGACAGCCAGTAATTCCTTTAGTCTAAGGGACTGATATAAACAGGGAAGTTCAAATATAAGCCACTGGGGAACGTACCTGTGTGACTGAATTTGAATTCGCAAGCCAAGGGATTGAAGGTTCATTGGTTACTGGTGCACCTACGGGTACGTGGAAGGGAGAATCATGTCTGAGACAAAATGAACCGTAACACAACAGTATCTCAAATGAGTAACGGGCATACCTGGTAATTAGTATCAGTATAAGCGTATTTGATACGTAAGCAAGACAAGTCATATGCCTTTCAATAGGAACTAGTTAGGCTCAGACTAACCCACAACCTAATTGTTTAAAGACCGTAATGTTATTTGCGAGTTGTCACCATAATTCTACCAGTGTAGCCACCGTGAAGCTTAAACTTATACTTTAACAATATACAAGTAGATGTAGCCCACCATCTGTGCTAGGGGAATATGTGTATATTCAAGTGATATACGTTATATTGACGTGACCAAGCAACCGGGAAGTATGTTTACCAGGAGGGAGGGGGAAAAAGGAGTATGTAACCAACACCAACATATCGAGAGTCAGACTTACATCTTAAAACAAACTCCTCCTAACTATATATACCAGCGGCTGTTTAACCCCTTAAGGATCAAACTAATGGAATAAAAGGGAATCCTGATATGTCACACATGTCATGTGCCCTTAAGGGGTTAAAAGTGTTGTCAAGTGAGCCAGTGCAGGCTTGTGATAAGAAACATGTTGCTGCTTATCCACGTACCAATTAATAAGCAGAAAAGACACGTGGACTTCTGATTTGGCTAATGTTTCACAAACTGCAAACCTACAGAGCCTGAAGCAACAGAAAAACGGTAAATACAGGATTAACAGGAATATGACTAAAGTTGTAGGAGCTATAGTGCTTATAACATCCCTCTAAATCAACCATTCTGACTGAAGAATCAACCTCAGTCAGAAAACTGCACAAATAAAACACAGTAATTAATACCAATCAGTATTGTACAAGGTCACAAGGGAAATTAGGGAAATAGCAGTGCTCAAATCGAAAGTGTCGAACGCAGTACAAATAGGAAGATGCCTATGCAATGTACTGTTTGGTGACGGGTTTAATGTACCGAACAGTTGTTTGTCTAAATGAAAGCCGGTATGCGGCAAGTATCAAAGGGAATTCCTTTACCCGCCGTAACCCTGCGTGTTCGTGGGGGGTCTGAATGGAGTGTTAACTCTTTGCCGGGGATCCCAGAGAGTCAGAGGGTTCCCCAGCTAACGGTAAAGACGGCGTGCTTGAGGCACCCGTCTGTCAACTCAGTATTCCGCAGGAAGACAGCTTCGTGAGGCAGCCAGGCGCCCAACAGCGGCAGGACGTCGTGTGACGATCTCCTCACCCTGGTTTAACCAGGAGGTGACGACATGAAATGGACCGATGTCAAGCAAGGAGGAGTCTAGTGCTAATGGGGAGTTTTTATATCAGCCCTTCCCACAACTCCAGGCCCTGCCTTTTACATATATATATAGAACATTGTATTATTTAAAAAAAAATTGTATTCTTTATTTTCATCTTGACTGCAAATAAGCAATACAACAGAGTCATAAAAGTATACACAGGTTACATTTTTCACATAGCATAAGATTTTCCTTTAACCCCTTAACGCCGTCACAGCGTTCTATGCTGCCCTGCATTAAGTGGGCTTTAAAGCCATTGCGACTTGCCGCCCTTGAGCCTCGGGAATACTTGCATGACAGCCCAGACAGCCCTCCCACTGCAAATCAGGCACCCAGGGGCCATGTGATCGCTCTCAAAGAGCAATCACATGGCCCCTATTGCTGCCTGTGGATCTGCCAGCAGGGGACTGTCTGGGCTGTCAGACAGTCCCACTGCTGGTGGGAAAAGCTAAAGAAAAATAATGAAACATATAAAAATAAATTAAATGTATTTATATGTGTATATATATATATATATATATATATATATATACATTGCTCAAAAAAAATAAAGGGAATACTTAAACAACACAATGTAACTCCAAGTCAATCACACTTCTGTGAAATCAAACTGTCCACTTAGGAAGCAACACTGAGTGACAATCAATTTCACATGCTGTTGTGCAAATGGGATAGACAACAGATGGAAATTATGGGCAATTAGCAAGACACCCCCAATAATGGAGTGCTTCTGCAGATGGTGACCACAGACCACTTCTCAGTTCCTATGCTTCCTAGCTGATGTTTTGGTCACTTTTGAATGCTGGGGGTGCTTTCACTCCAGTGGTAGCATGAGTCTACAACCCACACAAGTGGCTCAGGTAGTGCAGCTGATCCAGGATGGCACATCAATGTGAGCTGTGGCAAGAAGGTTTGCTGTGTCTATCAGCATAGTGTCGAGAGCATGGAGGCGCTACCAGGAGACGTGGAGGAGGCATGGTGTGGGGTGGCATTTCTTTGGGGGCCGCACAGACCTCCATGTGCTCGCCAGAGGTAGCCTGACTGCCATTAGGTACCGAGATGAGATCCTCAGACCCCTTGTGAGACCATATGCTGGTGCGGTTGGCCCTGGTTTCCTCCTAATGCAAGACAATGCTAGACCTCCTGTGGCTGGAGTGTGTCAGCAGTTCCTGCAAGACGAAGACAATGATGCTATGGACTGGCCTGCCCATTCCCCAGACCTGAATCCAATTGAGCACATCTGGGACATCATGTCTCGCTCCATCCACCGATGTAACGTTGCACCACAGACTGTCCAGGAGTTGACAGATGCTTTAGTCCAGGTCTGGGAGGAGATCCCTCAGGAGACCATCCGCCACCTCATCAGGAGCATGCACAGGCGAAGAAATGATTTGTTACAGTAAGGGTTTGTTACAGTAAGAACAATAAAGATGCGATAAACAGCCGTGCCCCCATCCCGGTATGAGTTCATATAACCTTCTAATAATCATTGTTTTGTTGTTGGCAGATGAAGAGGAATGTATGGAGAACCCAGAAGTTCATGGAGTTATATATTGTTGCCAATCACAGCTTGGTGAGTGTGACATATTATATCAATGTACATTTCATCACATGTTACTAGTTCTCCAGACAGTCAATTCATTCTCACAGGAGATCAGCACACTCTCTGCATCTCTTATAAATGTATCTCCCTCAATCTCCCACACACTCTCCCTCCATCTCCCACACTCTCCCCCTCCATCTCCCACACACTCTCCCTCCATCTCCAACACACTCTTCCTCCATCTCCCACACTTCCCTCCATCTCCCACACACTCTCCTCCATCTCCACACTTCCTTCCTCCATCTCCCACACCTCCCTTCCATCTCCCACACTCTCCCTCCATCTCCCACACTCTCACTCCATCTCCCACACATTCTCCTCCATCTTCCACACTCTCCCTCCATCTCCCACACTCTCCCCCTCCATCTCCCACACACTCCCTCCATCTCCCACACTCTCACTCTCTCCCTCCATCTCCCACACACTCTCCCTCCATCTTCCACACTCTCCCTCCATCTCCCACACTCTCCCCCTCCATCTCCCACACACTCCCCCTCCATCTCCCACACACTCTCCCTCCATCTCCCACACACTCTCCCATTTATCGCATCTTTCTTGTTCTTACTGTAACAAACCCTTTTTCTTCTACTGTAAATCATGCACTGAGCCTCATTTTGACTTGTTTTAAGGACATTACATCAAAGTTGGATCAGCTCCCACACATTCTCCCTCCATCTCACACACTCTCCCTCCAAAAATAAAGTATATACAAATGTTTTAACCCTAACCAAGGGAACAATGATACATAGTACTTATCGTCATTAGCTAAATATAATATAGCAAACATAAATAAATATTGTCAGTGCAATTCTGAAGCATGATACGATATGGACTACTTTCATCATGGAGTTACGGCAAATAACTGTACCATATTAATGCATTCTGTAAAACCTAGCTCAATGATATATTATCTTCTAGGTAAAAAACAATATAATGAGTTCTTCTCATTTAAACCAGATGGTGATATTGTTTCCAATGTGTATATCCAGAAAGCTTCACGTTACTCCACCCCCTGCGCGTGCATTCAAACCGCCCATAGGAAAGCATTACTCAATGCTTTCCTATGGACGTCCATCGTGGAAGCGCCTCTAGCGGCTGTCAGTGAGACAGCCACTAGAGGCTGGATTAACCCTCAGTGAAACATAACAGTTTCTCTGAAACTGCTATGTTTTCAGCGGCAGGGTTAAAACTAGGGCGACCTGGCACCCAGACCACTTCATTGAGCTGAAGTGGTCTGGGTGCCTATAGTGGTCCTTCAAAAAATACACAACAAGTGGCCGGAAATAATGCTTACTAGATGGTGATAAGCTGAAACAAAGTGACAAAAGAAAAGCACTAGAATTATGTGTGGATAGTAATACTAAACTAATCATGAGGTGTTATAAGGTATGCAATGCTGCCAGATTGAGGTCAGTAGTATGTAAAATGGATGCGAGAGGCCAAATGAGGACCGAACAGGAATGCAATAGGAAACGAGTAGTGCAGCCATAAAGTACTTGATAGGGGAAGTATAGCTGAACGTAGTACAGGAAGTAATGAACAGTGTGGCTTAAAGAGGGCCATCAGCAGAACTGTAATATACAAATAAGGACCGAGATAAATAAAACAAATTATTAACATTTTTCTATTTTTTTTTTTTATTATTATTACACACATATGTGACAGTCAACCTTTGTTAGGTTACGATAACATAAATACAAGCTAAATGGAGCTGCACGTCATAATCGTGACCTTAACAAACCAGACCATGTGCTAAAACCAGTACCAACCCTTAAACTGGTGGATAACAACATTTGCCCAAATGTAAACATAAAATCCTCATTAGTCAATGTAATGACTTAAACCGGGCACCAGAGGGCCAACCATAATTAAAATAATAGAAAACATCAAATGCCATGATTTACACAAATTCAATAATACACATAGGGATGAATGATGTACATGAGAGAATGACCGTGAAGGTTGCAACTAAGATGGGACGTACAGTACTAGTGTTTGGCAGCAAAAATGGGTCCGACTAAAGTAGGGATGCATATATACCCTGTAAGAAACGTACCGGGTGAGCCCTACGATGGACCAGCCGAGAGGAGAGTGCTGAAGGCCGTGCGGCCAGTAACCGAACCTACTGAACAATCCGCCACAAGGTGCCAATGGACAGTCCGGAAAAGCAGGCATCGGAACAGGACCAGGAAGGTAAGTAAGCATGGTACCCAGAAACTGGAACTAAAAATCCAGGACTGGTGAATTGTTAGGCAATGACCCCGATGAGGGTGTTGCCCGGGTATTTATAGCTGGGTAAACCCTCCCACAACTACAGGCTATTAATATATATATATATATATATATATATATATATCTGTATAAGTGCAAACTTTGGAGGTGTTTCCTTTACAAAAGCTCTTCTCTGGTCTCCCTGCCAAACCTCTTTCCATTCGTTGTGGAGTAGTTACCTACTTAGCATACTCATCTCATCCTGCATATATGATCCAGTGGTAATGAGGCTTTAATTGATTTTGACAAAATGATGGTGGGCTCCCTCTGCGTGAAAAATGCAGCAACTCTGAATAATTTTAACCTTTTTTGATCCTCATCAGCAATGCGTACATCTCTAGGTAGTCTCTCTAGGTAGTGAGCGCAGGATAATATATTACAAATAACATGTTCTGAGTGTGGATTTAGGTGTGCAGATCTAAAGTATTTAAAATGTCTCTCACCTTTGCAGATCCTGCACATACAGTTTGATTTGTAATTGCTTCAAATCAAACTTACCCGTTTAAAATTACCCTCTCAATAAGGGAAGAAGATACGGGTCTTCAAAATGGGGTCAAAAAATGGTAAGTAGCATTTGCACAACTTGAACAATTCTTATATATTTGACACAATACATTTATACAATGTACATGCACAAAGTATCTTTTATTAAACTCAGGCTTGAACATAATTTAAATGAACCAGTCATCTCATTTTTTTTCAAAAAGTGTTATTTGCTTTATGATAACATGGTATTGTTTATTAAATTTTAAATACATTTATAAGATTGACAGGTTTCTCTGGCACTGAAAGGTTGAACCAGCTTTCGTCAAAAGGTCAATACTGGGGTTTAAACAATGTAAGGAATCAGAGCCGAGGTTGGCATAATGGATATCAGAGTAGTCAGGATAAGCCAAAAGTCAAAACCAGGAACCCAACCTCAGCAGATCACACATTCTCAGGCACATAAACCACGGCATGATGAAGCAACAAGGAAGAAGGGGGCTTATATTGATGCAAAGTGTTCTCTTTTAGCCGCTGTCAGCGGTAGAATGTGCATGGAAATTGACACTGGAATGGTGCCATGTGCATCAGAACCATCATCTATAAAGGTATCAGTGTGGTAGCAAGGGAAGACATGGGAATCAGTGTATTTGCATCCTTATTGCAGCTGGATCCATGAATGTTCCTCTGGTCTGTTCCCTTTGAATGGACTAAATGCTGTAGACTATCTCTACAGATACGTGAATCAATGATTGCATTTCATGTTCCTCCTGCCCATCCACCAATACAGGAGAAGGAGCTACTGAAAGAATAATAATCCTTTCACAGATTAAAGGTTCCAGGAGAGAAGTGTGGAAGGTATTATGTATCTTAAGATTGGCAAGCCATTTTAATAGTTATTTGCGTTAAAAGGCATATCCGCTTAATTGGCTCAATATAGCGAGGAACAAATTTCATGGAGGAGACCGGGAGATGGATATTTTTAATAGATAACTACCATCTGTCTCCAGGTTGGTACATTGTAGCCACATGGTGATGTTTATCAGTTGCCTCCAAGTAGTCTGCAAGACTTTTAGATGGCAGTCCAACGTTTATATTTCTTTATCGGAAAAGGGTGCAGGAAAGACCTCGGGATATAAGTCATACAAGACAACAAAGTGGTATGCTAGATGTCTCACATGTCTCATTATTCTGAGAATACCAGGGAAGCCAGTTGAACGAGTATGGGAAACAAAACACCCCAAATACTGCTGCAGGGACTGATTGGCCCAGTTATGTTAGTTTGTGGGTGATAGATGGAAGAGAAGGCTAATTCAATACCCATCGCCAATCAAAAAAAATTATATATTTAAATTGTCTCTCTCTTTCAGACTCGATCCGGGTAGGAATGCCATTTAACCTAATCATAGATCTATAAGATTAGGCAGAAAGAGGCTAAGTAAGTTATAAGAGCTTCCAAATCACACACAGAAGAGAAAATAGAACAGTCAGTAAAAAGATGGGCCAAAACATTTTTTAGATACATAAATGAGAAAAGGAAAGTGAAACAAGGATTAGTTATATTAAAAACAAAAGAAGGAAGGTATGTAGAAGAAGATAAAGGTCTAGTTGACTGCCTCAATTAATATTTTTGTTCAGTATTTACAGATGAAAATGAAGGAAAGGGACCTCAGTTAGGAAAAAGGACAAATTAATCATTTTTTACATGTGAGTTTACATCGGATGAGGTTCTATTTCAACTGTCAAAAGTAAAGACAAATAAGTCAGTGGGGCCTGATGGAATACTCCCAAAGTTATTTAAAGAGCTTAGTGATGTACTAGCAAAACCATTAACGTATTTAACTGGTCATTGTGAACAGGAGTAGTCCCAGAAGATTGGAAGTTAGCGAATTATGTGCCCATTCACAAGAAAGGTAGTAGGGAGGAGTCATGCAACTATAGGCCAGTAAGCCTTACTTCAGTAGTGGGGAAAGTAATGGAAACCACGTTAAAGGATAGGATTGTTGAACATCTAAAAACACATAGATTTCAAGATCAGAGACCACATGGGTTTACTTCAGGGAGATCATGCCAAACTAATCTAATGGATTTTTTTGATTAAATACCTAAAATTATAGATCTGGGTGGTGCAGTAGACATTGCTTACCTAGGTTTTAGTAAGGTTTTTGACACTGTTGCACATAGAAGGCTTATCAATAAACTGCAATCTTTAAGTTTGAATGGGTAAGGCAGTGGCTGAGTGAAAGGCAACAGAGAGTCGTAGTCAATGGAGTATATTCAAAGCATGATCTTGTAACCAGTGGGTTACCTTAGGGATCTGTACTTGGACCCTTTTCTTTAATATTTTTATTAGTGATATTGCAGTAGGTCTTGATGGTAAGGTATGTCTTTTTGCTGATGATACTAAGATATGTAACAAGGATAAGCCAACTGGCAAATGATTTAGGTAAACTAGAAAAATAGTTAGAGCTGTGGCAGCTGACATTTAATGTGGATAACTGCAAGATAATTCATATTGGATGTAAATACCCAAGGGCAGAGTACAGAATATTTGATACCTATGACGGACCGCCTGGCACTCCAACTGAGTACCTATGCCAATCGATGCTCCTAGTGCTTTCCGAGGGCTCCAAGAACTCCACCAGACACCGTAAGCACTGTAGACCCCATGAACCGCCGCAGCTTGGTTGGGGTCTTGCCGTCCTCCACCCACCCTGGACCCAAAACCAAGATCCAGCTCCCATTGGGTAGACCTCTCCTCCTCCAGAGAGTGTAGCAGCCCCTGTCTCTGCATTTTCCCTGTATTTTAGTAGGGAGGAATCCTCTCTAGTCGACTTCCCAAACTCCTCAGGGGTGTCCCAAGCTATCACGGTCTGGGGGTTAGTCACAGTCGGGGGTGTCTTACCTGGGTCTCCCGAGCTGGTGAACTGGTCCTTTCGGTTCTTGCTTGTGCCCTGGTCATCACAGGGTGAGCAGCTGCGGTAGAGGTGGGTACATAGGCAGAAGTGAGGGGACCCAAATCGTTGCCCAGAAGGACTTCTGCTGGCAAATGATCCATTATCCCGACTTTTACTACGCCGGATCAGGCTTCCCAGTCTAGGTGAACGCGGGCAGTAGGCAGGCGAAATACGGCTCCCCCAGCCACTTGAACAGCTACAGTTTGGCCCGTATGCTTATGGGCTGGAACCAAGTGCATCTGTACCAGTGTAATAGTAACCCCAGTGTCCCGTAATCCTTGGGCAGCATGCCCGTCGATCTTGACCTCTTGTCGGTGCTGCTGTCTATTATCCCCGGAATCGGCCTGGATGGGATTGACCTCGTACAATACCCCCATATGTTTCTCAGGGTGAGTATCAGTGTCCAAGCAGTGGACAGCCAGGGTATGGAATGCCGCAGGGGTTGGCACCAGTGGTGCGTTGTTCCAGGAAGATCTGGGAGGACCAAAAGGGCAATTGGCCACCAGGTGTCCTGGTTCGTGGCATTGGTGACATTTCACCTTGGAATGCTCCGAACTGTTTCTGCAGGGACCAGCATAACAAGTGGGGCCGGATGGAACAGGGGCCCTAAACTCCGGTCATGGAGAGGGTCTTGGCACAAGGGGGCCCCGGGAATCCACTTGAGGGTTAGGTCGGCATAACGCAGGATCTAGTCGCCTTGCATCCACATACTCATCAGCCAGACGGGCCGCTTCCATGTAGGGACGTCAGTCTCGTACCCATTACTTAAGTCCTGCTGTAAAATATTAAAGAAATGCTCTAGGAGAAACAGCTGCAGCACCTCCTCTGCAGATACGGCTTGGCATCCTTCGATCCAATGGGTAGCGGTGCGGTGCAGCCTGTTAGCCCATTCCATGTGGGTATCACATCCTCGCTTCTTGGTGTCCCAGAATTTCCGCCAGTATGCCTCAGGGGTTATGGCATACCGTTTACGTAAGGTGTCTTTGACAAGGTGGTATTGTTTTACCTCGTCCTCTGGGATGGCCCAGAAGGCTTCCGCGGCTTTCCCGGATAGGATGGTGGCCCATTCCTCTGTGGGTACCTGGTGAAGCGCACACTGCCTTTCAAAGTCCGCCAAATAGCTGTCGATCTCCCCCTCTGCTTCCAGGAACTGTTTAAATGCAGCAAATGGTACCTTTCGCACCTGCGAGACTCACATATGGAAGCCATGCTTGCCTACCGGACCCCGCCAGAGGGTCTCCGCGGGGATACCCCCCCTTTTCCCCACCCACCCCACCCATCACCGACGGACACCGGACTGACTGATAGGCGAAGTCACACTAGAACCTTCGCTCACCCTTGCACCGAACGCATCGAAAACTGACAAAAACACTGAAATACACGGATATATGTAGAGCCCCATAGACAGGCACAACGGGACCTGCAGGCCCCAGACAATACATGGCACACTGACCGCTTGAGACCCAAGGGTCTCCCACAACGGGCAATTGGACGAAGTAGGGGCCAGAGAGCCCTCACATAAGTCATACTCTTAGTAGGACATATAAGCACTGTTAACAGCACTGTATACGATATAATTGTGCAATATAACTTTTACTCACATAATTGTATCTTACGCTCTGTACTGCCTTAGACTTACATAATCTGGCACAGTATTTGCATATCTATTGTTCATTGTTGTACACTTACCTTGCGAAATTATCCTCTGCGCAGGCAACTCCATGCTTTTACATCGCAATGTTGTGTGTTTAACATTATTATGCCATCAAAATAAAAACACTTCAATTTGAAAAAAAAAAAAAAAAATGGTACCTTTCGCTTCTCCGTGTTGGCAGGAGCAAGGGTGACTGTGTGTGGCTCTGCAGGGCACTAGGCAATAATCCTTTGTAGCTCGTATTCCCTCTTTTCTCGAGCTTCCACTGCTACCTCGGCAAAAATCTGAGCAATCCGATCCTCCGAGGGGTTTGGCCCATACACTGCCAAGCGCTCCCTCACTATACGGACCATTTCGTCTCCAGACATGGTAGGAGGTTCAGCCCTGGTTCCGATCCAGCTGATGTAACTCCGCAATCAGCTCCCTTTTAGGTCGGTTGCTGGCAATCCCTCCACGGCTTTCCAGTAGATCCTTGTCGGTCGTCCTTTTTAGCTGCTCATATTGGCTTTCTATCTGACCTGCACGCCTCCCGGGGTAGAAGGACTATCCCACTGCTGCCATCAAATGTGACTGTTACCCCTATAGAGTGAGGGTATCTACCGTCTGGACATCCTTCTTCCCATAGATGGAGAGCGCTGCAAGGTCCCAACCCGATATCCTGGAGAGCTAGTATAGCTGAAGAGAGCTCTTACACGAACTAGCAGTGATATAGCAGTTATAGCTGTTCCCTACAACACGAGACAAGGCTGCGAGTTGAGGGTAAGAAGGTCTGGTTTATTGAGCAACTTGCATTTCTTTTACACAGATTTTCAGGCCAGAGGCTCACCCCCAGGGACACAAGGAACATAAACTAATGGGAACAATAATTATTACTGTAACACTCCGACATACAGTCAGCAATACCTCCCCTCTGCCTGTGATATAATTAAGATAGCTAATGGAATGACTTAAATTAGCCACAGGCAGAAAATACCCATTTTTACCCAAAGTACAGAAACACCCCAAAACTCAAACATAGCCCCATAAATTATACATCCCTGGATAGCTCTGATCTGGGCGAACAACATATCCAAAAATCACCCAGATCAGAGCAGGGGTTCCCAAATTCTGTGGAAGTCACATTTGACTGACCAGATCCGTTCGTGCAATTTATACATTATTTGAATGAGAAGATAGACTGGCCGACAGCCTAATTCTCTGGAACTCTTTTGGGCATGAAATCAAACATGCGGTCGGTGAGGGAGGCTGTTCTTGCAGCTTCTCATTCCTCCCTTGTGCACCCTCTGTGATGCCGGGAGCTGGAATATGACGTCATTCCAGCCCCGGCACACTAAACAGCATGCTGGAGGATTGGGAAGCTGACCCATACTGGACCCCAGGGAGGTAGGGAGGCTGAATTTGCCTCAAAAAAATAAAATTGTCTGAGTCTGTGTGTGTTTGACTGTCAGTGAGTCTGACAATTGTTGTGGATCAGAATGCTGATCTTTGTTATATTCAGAGGAAGCCCAAATTGTTGTTACAAGTGCACTTGGAGAAGCGAGAATTAGACACCAGACACCTGTTGGTATTCAAAATAAGCCTCTGACGTTTTATTCATCAGCTGGGTTTTATACATTAAAAAGTAAGTGCTTACGTGCAAATACTCTTAGAACAGTAATAGGAAGAGAGTACAGATAAGACATAGGGATGAGCGTCGTGTACACATAACAAATAAGTTTCAAGGTAAGAGAGAACAAAATTATTAGAGCAGAGACATCTTAGGTGGAGGCTCTCTGCTCCCGGAACTTAGACATATTTGGTCTTAAGTGTTGTTTAAGCATCAAGCATTTCCTGAGTCCAAGTTAGCCAGTTTTAATATAGGATATCATTATATGACACCTATAAGCTTGAGCCTTGGAATCAAGATAAATTCTATCACAATCCCCTCTTTTGATCCAAGGGTCACCCAAATGTCCAAGGTATATCCAGGACTGCTAGCCAAAGTCTGTGGGACTTTCATTTATTGCTTCACCACGGTTCCCTTGGACTGAGAGACCACCAGAATCAGCAGAGGAGAGTTCCTTCATTTGTTAGGCGAGGTAACATCATAAAACCTTTCCGAAGTCGGAGCGGGAATGTAAGTTAAGGTACGACCAACAGTAGGTTTGCTTTTACATAGAGAGGTTAGTAGACATGAAAAAAATCTAAAGGTTAGAAAAATAGCCATAATGACAAATACAGCTAATAGCAAAAAGTACAACATTTTCTTAATTAGTAAAGTCAACCATGTTCCTAGCCCAAATGTCCAATAAGGGTGTTTTTAACATCTCTCCTGTCTCTCAGCAGTTTGTGTAGCTGGGTGGTTTTAGTGATCAAGTCAGATTTGGAAAACATGGTCATGGTTAGGTGAGAGATTGCACAGGGACCTCCTGTAATGTTACCTGGGACATAAGCATAAGTAATATTTCCACAGGAGAAAGTCCATCCTTTAGGAAGATAGACATTGTAGTGGTAACTCATAACTTGGTGAGTTTTGGTACAATTCATAGTGGTGCTTAGGGCTCTACAATTCCTGGTATTTTTCCACCATGTGGGGCAAAACAGGGATTCAGTATTAGGGTCTCTTGAACAATTACATGAAAAAGACCAACAGTTCAGCGCCTGTCACATTAATTGTCTTCAGAGCTAGAGGAGGCTTGCCTACGAGTGGGTTGAAGGCATAAGAATATAGTTGTAGAGATATATGGGGTCTATGGGTATGTAGGTACTTCCTTAACAGTGAGATGGGGGTAGGGACAGCTATAAGACAAGATTCTATGGCGTTTTCAGTACTGGGGAGAGGGATGAGGCAAAAGGAGGTTAAATTAAAAGCCTTTGCTATCTGCAATTATATATGTCCCTGCTATGCATTATTATCTTCTGGTCTTAAGTCAGAGTAGCATATCTGAACAGAGCATACAATGGTAAAGGATAAGAACAGCTTCATGTCGGTGGATCAGACGGAGTGACTTGTTTACAGTGACTGGCGTGTATCCACGTGGCTTTTCCTTCTAGTTTCACTGAGGTAGCCGTAGTCAAGAGCACTTGGAATAGACCGTCAAAGCGTGGTTCAAGTCCTTTCCTCACATGCCTCTTTATCATCACCCAATCACCAGTTTGCAGTTTGTGAGTTGCAGAATCTGAGTCTGGATCTGGAATAGAATCAAAGACTTGTTTATGCACCCTGCCTAATCTTTGGTGTAGGGCCTGTACATAGGCAGTCATACTACCATGCTGCATCTGGAGGGTTTGGGGAAAATAGAGGCCTGTCTTTGGGGCACATCCAAACAGGATCTCAAAAGGGGATAGGCCATGTCTGGAATTGGGGGTGAATCTCATAGAAAAGAGTGCTAGGGGAAGGCATTCAGTCCAGGGCTTCTCTGTGTCTTGCATGGCTTTTGCAATCTTGTTCTTTAAGGTGCCATTTGCCCTTTCTACTTTCCCACTACTCTGGGGTTGATAGGGAGTGTGGAAGGCCTTACTGATCCCTAAGGCTTTCATAATTTCTTGCATTATTTCCCCAGTGAAATGGTTACATCTGTCACTTTCAATCACTTCAGGTACTCCATAGCTACATACCAGTTCCTTTAGAAGCTTACTTGCTGTGACCTTCGTTGTGGCTTTCGACACTGGGTAGGCCTCAGGCCAACCTGAAAAAAGATCAATGCACACCAACACATATTCCTACACTCCTACCTTAGGTAGTTGAATAAAGTCTATCTGCAGTCTTTGAAACGGGTAAAGTGGCCTTGGTGTGTGCTTACTTGGTGTTTTCACAGCTTGTCCTGGATTGTTTCTAGCACAAATCATGCAAGCTTGGGTGTGTTTAGCTGCTACAACAGTAAATCCGGGTGCTACCCAATGGGTGTTTACTATGCTGTTCATGTGCATCTTGGATAGATGTGTAGGTCCATGGGCAATCTGGGCCATCATGGGGTGCAACATTCGTGGTAAACACAGTCTTTTACCTTTCCTCCACATTCTGTCATCATCAGGTTCTGCATCTTGTTTCCTCCAGAGGTCAGGTTCTTCCTTGCTTGCCTGTCTTTGTAAGCTCAACAGTATATTGTAGTCAACGGCATCATCTGTAAGAACAACTTGTAGGAAGCTATTACCTGTAGAGGGATGAACTTGGATTTCTGCTTGCTTGGCAGCTTCGTCTGCTTTGTGGTTTCCTCTTGAGATTCCATCTGTGATCTTCACGTGAGCTGCCACCTTGATGATGCCTACTTGAGTGGGTAGCAGGATAGTGTCCATAAATGCACTCACGGCTTCGGATTCTTGATTGGAGTTCCTGCTGAGGTGAGAAAATCACGAGCCCGCCATATAGGGCCAAAATCAAGGGCTATACCAAAAGCATAGCAAGAGTCTGTATAAATATTAGCAATCTTACCAGAAGCCATTTTACACGCTTCAGCGAGTGCCTTCAGCTCTGCCTCCTGTGCAGAGCAGTGAGGAGCAAGTGGTTCAGCTTTTATTACCTCATGTGCAGAGACTACAGCATATCCAGTGTGGAAATTACCGTTCTCATCAGCATATCTGGAACCATCTACAAAAAACTCAAAATCTGCATTAGATAATGGAGAATCAATTACATGCAAAAAACCTGCTGTCTCTTGTGCCATTAGTGCTGCACAATCATGGGGTACCTGGGCATCAGCTAACTCATCTGGTGAAAGTGAATTTACAAAAAGATCAGAAGTACAAGTACCATTCACACTATCCCCACTCCCCTCTTTTAAATCCAGGGGAAGCAATGTAGATGGATTTAACACCATACACCTTTTAAGAGTAACATTAGGTGGCATAAGCAAGGCACATTGCATTCTGAGATGCCTTGCAGTATGTATGTGTTTTGGTTGAACTTGTGAGAGTATGCTGTTGATATCATGCAGTGTGTATATGGTCACCAGATTATCTAAAACAATATCAGTGGCTTTGTCCAGGAGGGCAGTAACAGCCGCCACTGCCCTAACACATGAGGGGGCACCCCTTGCAACAGGGTCCAATCTGGTGGAGTAGTATGCTATTGGTCTTTGTTTACCACCATGGTCCTGTGTAAGGACAGATGTAGCATAACCTGATTGCTCAGTACAGAACAGGTTAAAATTCTTTCTGTAATCTGGGAGACCCAGTGCCATTACCAGTAACTTAAGGGTATAGAAGGCATTTTCTGCCGCATGGGTTAATTTAAATGGTTTGTTTTCGTTGGCAAGACAATCATACAGTGGTTGCATGTAGATAGCTACGGAACGCAGCCAAGGACGGCTGTAAGAAATCAAACCGAGAAATGTACGAACCTGGGCTAGACTGCGGGGGGTGGGGTGGTCTAATATTTTGAACTGCAGTCTTTCTACTTTCCGTGAGATGTTTTATGCCCTGGGAAATGCAATGTCCTAGGAAAATAACTTTCTCTACACATGCTTGCAGTTTCGTTTTTGTCGCTTTACAGCCTGCTTTTTCCAGGAATTTCAGCAAGGAAAGAGTGTTTACAATACAAGATTCCATATTATCGCAACATAGGAGTAGGTCATCGATATACTGCAATAAAATTACATTATTTGGCCTTTTCCACTCTTCAAGAATCTGGGCCATAGCCATGCTGTACATAGTGGGTGAGTTTTGTGCGCCCTGTGGCAATACTGTCCAAGTGTACTGCTTGTGTTTATGTGTAAATGCAAATAAAAACTGACTGTCGGGAGCCAGGGGGACACTGAAAAATGCATTTGCCAAGTCAATAACAGTAAATACCTTAGAGGAAGGTGGTATTTGTGCCAACAAGGTGTGTGGGTTGGGAACATTAGGGGCAATGAGTTCAGTTACAGCATTAATTGCCCTCAAATCATGTACCATACGGTAGACCACAGGTTTCCCTTTCTCTTGCTTTTTCTTAATTGGGTACAATGATGTGTTACAAGGGGAGGTGGTCTGGACAACTACCCCTGCCTGCAGAAACTCTTGCACAGATTGCAAAATAGCATCTTCCTGTGCTGGGCTTAGGGGGTATTGTTTTTGATAGGGAGGTTTGGCTCCGGGCAGGAGATTCACTTGGGCGCACAGAGAGTCTGCCTGTATCTGTCTTCCCTGTAGCCCCTAAGGAATCAGGGACTGAGGACAAGTCAATGGTAGGTTCTGGCACATAGCTGGGCATAGTGAGAGTTGCCAGAACATTTCTGTTTGTCCTCTAAAGGCACATACAATGTTACTTTTCCAGTGGGGCTATACTGGATATTTGCACTGCCTAGTAGATTAGCAGGGGCATGAGGGCTGACAAGTAGCCTTGTTACAAGGGCAGTAGAGTTGTGTAGCTTCAATTTCAACTTGTGGGTAAGGGGAATGTCATTTTCGATACCATCTACCCCTACACATGATAATACATCATTAGATTTCTCATACGGGAATACATATTTTTCCTGTAACATTGATTTAGCAGCGCCAGTGTCCAACAGGAAAGGGACTATTCGGTCCCCAGGCAGTGTAACATTGATAATGGGTGAGGGTCCTGCAGAGTCAGGGATATTTATGATATGTAGGGACACTGGTTTGCCAATTTCCTATTGGGGTGGGGGGGAGGTGGTGGTGGTTGGCTGTCATGGGAGTTATCATTAGAATCCTGGGGTTTTCTATTTTTAGGAGGACACTTGCAGTTACGTTTAATGTGTCCTTTCCTGCCACAATTCCAGCAGTCTACCTGCCTTCTGTCCCCACCAGCTCTAGGGACAGTTACAGCCATTAGAGGTGTGCTCCTCTTTCTAGTATTTAGATTAGCTTCCACTCCCCTAGCCACCTTCACCAGATCACCATAGGTTAAACTTCTCCACTCAGGTCTAGCATTTTGGAGACCAGTCCTTATGGGTATGTGGATACCATCCATGAAGCAGTTAATAAGCAGTCTGGTGGAAGTGGTTACAACATCAGTGTAACCCAATGCCTCCCAAGCCATTTGTAGTCTGGTGAAGAATGTTTCTACAGATTCATCTTTCCCTTGTAGTATATCTCCTAATTTATGGGCTAGTTCCTCTGTCTTTACCTTAGCTCATTCTCTTATTGCAGTGACATAGCATGCTCCAGATGCAGACTTGGTTCTAAACCATTCATCTGTTGGCATGTTGCTTTTTCTGAGGTTATCTTCATGGGCATCTGTATATTTAGCAATTATTCTAGCCCAAGTGGGGCCAGCTTTTAGTGCCACAATCTGTTTTAAATCCATCCAAGTACACTGGTAAGTAGCATGAATTGTGGATAGAGACTGGACTAGAGCTAAGGGGGCCTTTTCAACATCTGCCAGCTGCTGTATTATTGCCAGTTGTTCACTGGGTGTCCAGGGCTTATATTCTTCCCAGTATTGGATACCTGAGCTCGGCTTTCTGTGCTCATGGTATACACTCTCAACTTTGGGTATCATGGGAGTAGAAAATTGTGGAGCTAATGACCTCACTGGGGTGTCTGTGGGGGCAACTAGGGGTTCCTTTAAGTCTGGACTACCTTCCTGCTCTAATGAACCCATAGGTCACCATATGAAGTCCCACTGCGTAATATTACTGAAAAGAGAGGTTTTGATCCCCGTAAAAGGGAAATCGCCTTGTCTTTTGGGACCAAAGGAGTCCCTGCAGTATCCTGGTAAAGGGGTGGGTTTACAAGATTTTTCCCAGGATCTTGCCTACTCTGGGACCCTAGTGGTCCAAAACATTGATAATATGGTACACCTTTTCTGGTGGTTTCTCTACAACCACATTTAGTTAATTCAACAGCAGTATCATGCCATTTTTGTGCGACTTCTACTAAGTCATTATCTTCTAACCAACCTCTGTAATTTGCCATAAATTCTCTCCATATATGTGGGTCTAGAGTGCCTTCTGAGGGCATGCCAGCTTTCTTAAGTAACCTCTTAACATTCTTAATTGCTCCTTGTCCTTTGTGATGCTTGACAATAGTCAAAGCTGTAAATCCCCCTTGGGTACTTTCAGAGCTACCCATCTTAAAACTTGTAAGGGTTAATTACTTCCTTACACAAGACAAACTGTACAAAAACAGTGTATTTGACACTTAGGACTGCTGCAGTGGAATTTTCCAGTTTTGTCTTCTAAACACAGATCAGGAGATCTGCCCTTGGAGGATTCTAACTCAAATTATAAAACAAATGACAAGGCAAACAATAAAAATAACTTACAACCCACAGTTATATTCCACTATCTCAAGATTCCTTTCACAAGACATAACACAACCTCCACCTGAATATAACCATAAAACCACAGAAAACAAGTTCTTTAGATCAGACGTTTTTAAGTCGTTCTTTGCCCAGACAGACTAGTAGGACGTGGATCTGAGAGCGAAATTGATAAAGGTAGAAAAAATGTTTTCCTTACCTTGCTGTACAGCTGATTTCACTGTCAGAGGGACGTCCACCTGTACGCTAGTGTCCGAGTCTCTCGACCGTCAGATCCCGGGGTCACGGCACCAAATTGTTGTGGATCAGAAATGTTGATATTGGTTATATTCAGAGGAAGCCCAAATTGTTGTTACAAGTGCACTTGGAGAAGCGAGAATTAGACACCAGACACCTGTTGGTATTCAAACTAAGCCTCTGACGTTTTATTCATCAGCTGGGTTTTTACATTAAAAAGTAAGTGCTTACGTGCAAATACTCTTAGAACAGTAATAGGAAGAGAATACAGATAAGACATAGGGATGAGCGTCGTGTACACATAACAATTAAGTTTCAAGGTAAGAGAGAACAAAATGATTAGAGCAGAGACATCTTAGGTGGGGGCTCTCTGCTCCCGGAACTTAGACATATATGGTCTTAAGTGTTGTTTAAGCATCAAGCATTTCCTGAGTCTAAGTTAGCCAATTTTAATATAGGATATCATTATATGACACCTATAAGCTTGAGCCTTGGAATCAGCTTAATGAAGTGGTCTGGGTGCCTGGTCCCTCTAGGATTAACCCTTTTTTTCTATAAACATAGCAGTTTCAGAGAAACTGCTATGTTTATATTAGGGTTAATCCAGCCTCTAGTGGCTGTCTCATTGACAGCCGCTAGAGGCGCTTGTGTGCTTCTCACTGTGAAAATCACAGTGAGCAGACACCAGCGTAAATGCTTTTGTAAATGCTTTCCTATGAGACTGGCTGAATGCGCGCGTGGCTGTTGCCGCGCATGCTCATTCAGCCAAAGAGGAGGAGAGGAGGCGGAGAGGAGGCGGAGAGGAGGAGGAGAGCTCCCCGTCCGGCGCTGGAGAAAGAGGTAAGTTTAACCCCTTCCTCTCCATCCAGCCAGGCAGGAGGGGGACCTTGAGGGTGGGGGCAGTATGTTTTCCTGGCACTATAGTGGTCCTTTAAACAGTTTGTATATGAATGCATGTATTAGGCAGTGTATGTGTATGGATGCAGGTATTATGCAGTTTGTGTGCATGGATGCCTGTATTAGACAGTATGTGTGTATGGATGCATGTATTAGACATTGTGTGTGTTTATGGATGCATGTATTAGACATTGTGTGTGTTTATGGATGCATGTATTAGGCAGTATGCGTGTTTATGGATGCATGTATTAGGCAGTATGTGTGTTTATGGATGTATGTATTAGGTAGTATGTGTGTATGGATGCATTTATTAGGCAGTATGTGTATGGATGTAGGTATTAGGCAGTATGTCTTAAAGGTAGGCAGACAATGTAATAGAGCAGCAGGAAATGCTAGCAGAATGCTTGGTTGTATAGGGAGAGGTATTAGCAGTAGAAAGAGGGAAGTGCTCATGCCATTGTACAGAACACTGGTGAGACCTCTCTTGGAGTATTGCACACAGTACTGGAGACCGTATCTTCAGAAGGATATTGATACCTTAGAGAGAGTTCAGAGAAGAGCTACTAAACTGGTTCATGGATTGCGGGATAAAACTTACCAGGAAAGGTTAAAGGATCTCAACATGTATAACTTGGAGGAAAGACGAGACAGGGGGGATATGATAGAAACATTTAAATATATAAAGGGAATCAACACAGTAAAGGAGGAGACTATATTTAAAAGAAGAAAAACTACCACAACAAGAGGACATAGTCTTAAATTAGAGGGACAAAGGTTTAAAAATAATATCAGGAAGTATTACTTTACTGAGAGGGTAGTGGATGCATGGAATAGCCTTCCAGCTGAAGTGGTAGAGGTTAACACAGTAAAGGAGTTTAAGCATGCGTGGGATAGGCATAAGGCTATCCTAACTATAAGATAAGGCCAGGGACTAATGAAAATATTTAGAAAATTGGGCAGACTAGATGGGCCGAATGGTTCTTATCTGCCGTCACATTCATGTTTCTATGTTTCAATGTCTTTATAAATTCCGTATTAGGCACTGTGTGTGTATTGATGCATTGATGTGTTTATGGATGTATGTATTAGGTAGTATGTGTGTATGAATGCATGTATTAGGCAGTATGTGTGTATGGATGCATGTATTAGGCAGTATGTAAAGAGAGAAATCAGCGCTAGGCTGCCACACAAGGAAATAATAATAGTAGTAAGGCTGCAATCCTCAAAGGGGAGTCCCCTATAATCCCCTAATGGTAAGAAAAAATACAAAACAAAATAATGTTGCGCCTAAAATATACAATAAAACCTATAAAAATTGTATATAATAAATAGTATAAAATAGTAAAATTTTATATAAAATATTAAATGAATTGTAAAATAAGTAGTTGGCAATAGTCCAAAAGACTTATCATAAGTCCGGAATGGTAGATGCCACGTGTAAGAACAGGGATTCTGAGACGTAGAGTAGAGTGTGTCTTCACAGTAGTGTGCTTGAAATCCAGTAGAACATATGTGGAGAAAAGACAAAAGGGAACTCCAATGGCACAGTATATGGATGAATAAAATAGTATGTAAAATAAAAATAATCTTACTCACACTTTTCAGAGCTAAAACCTAGCTCTGATATAGCACACGTGAAGTGGAATAATCCCCACTCAAGGATATGCGGAGTAATATTTGATTGACGAGTATCTAGCTCAGATTCGACGTCCAAGTTGGTATTATTCGACCCAGGAAAGAGAAATAAAATATATAGTGCTCTCTGTATAATAGTTAAAAGGTGTAAAAAAGTATATAATATGCTACTCACAGTATATAGATCAGACTTGTACTGCTCGATGTAAGCGCTTGGGTGGTGTAATCCCCACCTAAGGATTCTTTAAGCTTCTCGTCAGATAGGCAGTATATGTATAGTCAGGTGAAAAAAGAATAAAGAAAATGGCTATAAAGTATTTTATGCCAAAAATAATTTTTTTATTATAAAGTAATTAAAATAATATCTAAATGCGTTTTGCCTCAAGGGCTTCTTCAAGTAGATAATAGTAAAAAAGACCATTACTATTACTATTATCTACTTGAAGAAGCCCTTGAGGCGAAACGCGTTTAGATATTATTTTTATTACTTTATAATAAAGAAATTATTTTTGGCATAAAATACTTTATAGCCATTTTCTTTATTCTTTTTTCACCTGACTATACATATACTGCCTATCTGACGAATCTGAGCCAGATACTCGTCAATCAAATATTACTCCGCATATCCTTGAGTGGTGATTATTCCACTTCACGTGCGCTATATCAGAGCTAGGTTTTAGCTCTGAAAAGTGTGAGTAAGATTATTTTTATTTTACATACTATTTTATTCATCTATATACTGTGCCATTGGAGTTCCTTTTTGTCTTTTCTCCACATATGTTCTACTGGATTTCAAGCACACTACTGTGAAGACACATTCTACTCTACGTCTCAGAATCCCTGTTCTTACACATGGCATCTACCATTACGGACTTATGATAAGTGTTTTGGACTATTGCCAACTACTTATTTTACAATTCAATTAATATTTTATATTAAATTTTATACTATTTATTATATACAATTTTTATATGTTTTATTGTATATTTTAGGCGCAACCTTATTTTGTTTTGTTTTGTATTAGGCAGTATGTGTATGGATGTAGGTATTAGGCAGTATGTGTGTATAGATGCTGTATTAGGCACTATGTGTGTATTGATGCATGTATTAGGCAGTATGTGTGTATGGATGTAGGTATTAGGCAGTATGTGTGTATAGATGCTGTATTAGGCACTGTGTGTGTATTGATGCATGTATTAGGCAGTATGTGTGTACGGATGTATGCATTAAGCAGTATGTGTGTATGGATGTAGGTATTAAGCAGTATGTGTGTATGGATGCATGTATTAGGCGGTATGTGTGTATGAATGTAGGTATTTAGCAGTGTGTATTTATGGATGCACACATTAAGCAGTATGTGTTTATGGATGTATGCATCAAGCAGTATGTGTGTATTAGGTAGACCTAACTGGAATCCATATGGCAAAATGTAGGCCAAAATAGCTAAACTAGAAGAATTCTCCAATTCGTCTATAGTCACAGTTCGGGTGTTTTTGCTTTGAAATTTGGTTTTCAACTCTAGGCAGAAATCCTTGCACCAGCCCTGCCTGGCTGTGACTCACACAGCCTGCATGAAAAAATATGGTTTCATTTTTAACCAGATGTTAACTTTATGCAGCCCTAAATGGCAGAGAATTGAGCAGTGAGACTGCATGGGCATGATCTATATACCAAAACTGCTTCATTAAACTAAAGTTATTTTGGTGTCTATAGTGTCCCCTTAAGTTGATATTTTAGTCAATACAGCAGAGGAGGGTAATTTAAGGCTATGGAATGAGTGTCCCATTTTAGAAGATCTGTCTACAATAGGGAAGATTACAGTGTGTACCACTGGAAGGAGGCAAGTGCACCACAAAGTCCATTGCAATTTGGGGCCAGGATCTTTCAGAAATAGGCAAGGCATGTAACAATCCCACTGGTAACTGTGTTGAGGAGTTAGTGGTTGCAGGCTTTGATGTAGTCATTAACATCTTAAACCTGTCTGGATACGCCTGGATGACCAGAAATTTCGCTATGAAGAAACAAGGTAAATATTTGCCCTTGATCCAAAGGGGATACATGCAAACTCAATTTTCAGTGGGAGACAAATTTTGAGAAGCTTCAATCTTTTTAAACAACAAAGAGGAAATTGATAACACTGTAACGGTTCACCTTTTCTGCCCCACACAATCTTTTGTAGATAACTTATTACAACAGATTCGTACTAGTACATTATACTTCAATGTTTTGTGTGTAAGAAATTGTCATATTGTGTTATGAAACAAGAATAACCAACAGCATTACAATATTTTCACAAAAGGGCATTAAGAAACTATACACATAAAAGTTTAAATATACATTTTTAAATAAGCATAAGTTACAAAAATATAAAGCTAACTAATTATAAAAGTAGGAGATTGTCAATTCCAATCGTAGATTCAGTGGTCACCCATAGAGATCATTTAGAAAGGAGATCCCTTATATTGACTAGTAATTAATAGATGCCAATACATTTCACTGCAGAAGCTTATTATGCTATTCAACTTATGCTAAATAAAATATTTATATTTAAAATGTTACTTTCATATGCAATTATAAATTCAATATCGTAAGCTAAAAAGTAAACAAAACATGATTCACAACATAAGAAAAAAGTTTGGCTTCCTACAAGGCAACACTATTTCTCCAACCTGACTGTTCTTCACTAAACTAATTGCAAATGTTGATCAGGACATCGGTACAATTGTGTGAAAGTGTTGAGGTTACTAAGAAATAGAATAACAGATAATTGATACAATTCATGCTCAAATTAACACAGTTATACTCAGATTAAGCTGTTTTTACTAAAATAACCCAGTTGATAGTCGAATGCCCATGACAGCATAGCACTGGGTATATGTTTAGTTGTCACAGTGGTAGTAGATAGAAGTCTGGTAAGAAGCAATTTAGGGGACAATTACATAACACATAAGACCAGTCCCATAAGAATTAGGAGTATTCCAGACATTGTCTGCTAAGATGACCCACCCACCAATGTCTATGAACCTCGTTGCATGGGTTCTGGATAACCAACAGGAGAAAGAAACATTTTTTTTGGTTGGAGAATCTTTTAAACAAAAAACTATCAATGATGGAGCTGTAAATTAACCAATGTGTTTCTCTCTCTGTTTTAGGACAACCTGATGAGACAGATCAATCTATCAAAACAAGTCTACAACACTTCTTTGCAAGACACAAGGTTCCGATGTGTATTGCTATCACTCATACTAATATGTTTTTTGAAAAGTTGAAAGAAAATGATATCCTGTCTGAAGATGACTTATTGGTACATATTTTTTATTAACTAATGTAAAAATGTATTTTCATGTTAGATGTCAGTTTATTAAAGGGACACTGCAGTACCACATACTAAATAATAATTCATAATCACATTTTAGTAAATATACCCCAAACCAAACCAAATGTACCCCAAACCACTAATTCCTCACTAAAGTGACATTCTGTGTCTGTCCAATCACAGAATTTCCAATGTAACTCAATCAACTCAGTCTGCAAGGCAGGTGGTCTGAGCAATTGCCTGCCTTTTGAGTTTAGCTTGACTGATCTAACCAAACCAGGAAGTAACGGGGCCAGTTGTCTGATTCACAGCCAGGGGGTGTAACAAGGATATTTTATAAAAGTTAAAATTTCTATTGAGATGTGCCCTTTTTGTATAATAGAAAGAGGGCACACTCTTCACAAACTGAATCGCTCTAGGGATCTGGGTGTCCCTTTAAGATTTAAACTATTTTTCTTTTTTGAATTCTTGTAAATTTACTCAAAAAATCTACTTACTACCTACTATATTGCTGCCACTTCCAAACAAAGAAAAAATGCTCCGTAACAAACCATGTACACCACACTGCAATGGCATCAAGACAAAATATTAAAATATACAAAAAAAATCATTAAAAAATGTACATCAATATAACAACAAATATTTTTCATAGTATTAAATCATTTTAAAATGGTATCCAAAAATATTAATTAGTTTCAAAAGCTTATTTAACAATATTAAGTGTTCACAGAGGTTTTAATGACTTACGATTGCAACTTATTTTATGAGATGCACAATTTCTGGCATTTATTAAATTGACTTCTATATGTGTTTGAGAAAAAAAATGTTCTCTGTTGGTTAGAAGGAGAGACTTGTTGGCAGATGACTGTTGTTCTTTTTTGAGTTTTGGATGTCCATCGGGGTTTGGCAACCAGCAATAAAAGAGGAAAACACTGATACAGTGAGGGGATATTGAACGTTTTCCCACTGACAAAGAAATGATCAGTCTACAATCTTAATGGTAGGTGTATTTTAACAGTGAAGGACAGATTAACAAAAAAAATTCAGAAAAATGCATGTCAAAATTTCTGGCCCCCATGTGTCTTTTATATAGGTAACGAACTGAGATTAGGAGCACTCTCTTAATGGGAGGTCTCCTAATCTCAGCTCGTTACCTGTATAAAAAAAGACACCTGTCCACAGAATCAATCAATCAATCACATTCCAAACTCTCCACCATGGTCAAGACTGAAGAGCAGTCCAAGGATGTCAGGGACAAGATTGTAGACCTACACAAGGCTGGAATGGGCTACAAGACCATCGCCAAGCAGCTTGGTGAAAAGGTGACAACAGCTGGTGCGATTATTTGCAAATGGAAGAAACACAAAATAACTGTCAGTCTCCCTCGGTCTGCTGCTCCATGCAAGATCTTACCGTGTGGAGTTTTAATGATCATGATAACAGTGAGGAATCAGTTCAGAACTACACAGAAGGATCTTGTTAATGATCTCAAGGCAGCTGGGACCATAGTCACCAAGAAAACAATTGGTAACACAATACGCTGTGAAGGACTGGAATCTTGCAGTGCCTTCAAGGTCTCCCTGCTCAAGAAAGCACAGGCCCATCTGAAGTTTGACAATGAACATCTGAGTGATTCAGAGGAAAACTGGGTGAAAGTGTTGTGGTCAGATGAGACCAATATCAAGCTATTTGGCATCAGTTCAACTCGTTGTGTTTGAAGGAGGAGGAATGCTGCCTATGACCCCAAGAAAACTATCCCCACCGTCTAACATGGAGGAAAGACTTTGGGAGTCTTTTTCTGCTAAGGGGACAGGACAACTGCACCGCATCAAAGGGACGATGGACGGGGCCATGTACCATCAAATCTTGGGTGAGAACCTCCTTCCCTCAGCCAGAGAATTAAAAACGTGTCATGGATGGGTATTCCAGCATGACAATGACCCAAAACACACAGCCAGGGCAACAAAGGAGTGCCTCCAGAAGAAACACATTAAGGTCCTGGAGTAGCCTAGCCAGTCTCCAGACCTTAAAAATCCCATAAAAAAATCTGTGGAGGGAGCTGAAGGTTTGAGTTGCCAAACGTCATCCTTGAAACCTTAATGAGTTGGAGAGGATCTGCAAAGAGAAGTGGGACAAATACTTATTTCACTCATTGACATGCAAATCAATTTATAACTTTTTTGACATGCGTTTTTCTGGATTTCTTTTTGTTTGTTATTCTGTCTCTCACTGTTAAAATACGCATACCATTAAAATTATAGACTGATCATTTCTTTGTCAGTGGGCAAATGTTCAAAATCAGCAGGGGATCATAATACTTTTTTCCATCACTGTAAATCACAGTCTCTGTTTTTGATCAACAAAATTGAACAAATAGGTTTCTCTGTTCCCACAGGAGTTGAAGACAATATGTAATGTCAAAAGAGTTGTATACAAATCGCTGTGCTTGATAGAAAAGAAAACTCAGCCTAAACGTTTCTTTGATGTCCTTCTACAGAAACCCTTTCTGGTAAAATTTCCAGATTTGGCACCTATTTCTCGAAGTAAGTCCATTATCCGATGTCATTATAAAGGTACAGAATAGAAAAACATGTGATAAACATGTCCTCTTACCTGCCTTGTATTGCACCAACCACATGATCTAAGCCAATATTTCTCTTCGTAATGTCTAAATTTTCATAAGAAACATATGTAGGGAGAATTAGTGGATAATAAACTGAGGAATCTGGTTAAACACATGTACTGTTAGGATAAATCTTTTAGGTAATAGTGAATATGGTGTGGCAGGTGTGGATAAGGGGATAAAAAGAGTATTACCAGATCTTAGAATGGCTAGACTTAACATGACATGAAAGACACCTCTACTAGGTGTAGACGAAACAGGGATAGGCTGTAGTCAGGGTACCAGAAGATGAAATAATGGTAAACACACTTAACACAAGAGCTATAGCTTTAAAACAGCACTCCAAATGCCATGACCTCTAAAACTTCCCACTAAGTAGTCAAACCGTTTGACTATAGATATTAACTATATCTGTGGACATGTATCAAGCAGAAAACATGTAATTTAAGATTTGGTCATCTTTCATTCGACACACCATTCATATATGGAGCCTTCCGGAGCCTTTTTATTCTCTTATATAGAGAAGGGCACAGCACACTGCCTAGTAGCCAGAAAATGTCCAACAGATGGTCTATTATTCCTTCATCCCTTGTGTGTGGAACATGCAGAGGTTAATGAGTTTGCTCCATCCTCTGTTGGTTTGAGTTTTTGGGGAAAATTTAGAATTTCTCAAGTCCTCTCGCCCATATAATAAACCTATTTATCCCTTCATCTGTGATTAGGGTTTACCAAAACACAAGTTCCATTCCTGAGCACCCTTTCATGATGATGTAATTCTACTAATTAATTCTTAACTCAAATTCCTATTAATATTGCATGAGAGTAGGGGATATTTTTTTGACCTTCGTATTCAAAATAACAAGCTCCATAACCACAACAACTTATTTGAAAAAAAATAAAATATTAATATTTACAGTTACCCTGATTTCCTGTGTTGTCATTCAAAGCTATCTGGACTTAATTCTGTATTTTCTTTTTCCTACAGCAGAAAATAGTTCAAATGGAAACATTCTACAGCTATAGAAGTGTTTTTATTTTATGCACATCCGTTAGTTTACCAAAAATTTGCAATTCATTACATGCTTCCTGATTTATTGAATAACCCTCTTTCTTAAATGGTTACTCCAGTGAAAAAAGAAACAGTTTTCATAAAATCTTTTTTCTATATGCAGTTTGTCACACTGAATTCAGATCACACACACAGCATGCACGATACAGAGATCATATTTTGTGTCCTAACCACGGATCTCTCTGAGTGATGTGTACAGAGTTAATATTTAGCAGAAAAATATAAAAACAATACCACACTCAATAAAGTTGCAAAAAAATGTATGTTAGTTTTTATTTGTATTTCATTACCAACATTGGTCAGGTATGAAGAAATATATAAATAAAGAGATGTATGCTGAAAAATTTAATGCATCATATGTAATACCAAAGAATGATATATGCCCTGTCAGAGGATAGAAGAGAAGTATAAAAGCAAAGTGCAAATGCTAAATATGGTTTATCGCCTACACTAAAGTGACAGAGTGCAATCACCTCCTATGTCTCCCTATAATGGAGAAATGAAATTGGATACAAAAAGCTGGGTATGCTACCCTACACCTGTCAAGACAAAGTGCAAACATGAGCTATGGTGCAATACTTCAAACCACCACCATTATAGCATATAATATGAAAACGATCACAAAGAAAAAATAACATAAAACCAAATAGTAGAACTTGGCTGAATCTCCTAAATGCAAAAGTACAACAGTTTTAATACAAAGTAAAGCCCCCCAAAAATCGTATCACGCTTTAAGATAAAGTAGTATCAATACAGAAAAAAAGGTGAACCAGATGGATTACACCACAACCACAGGAATCACCCAGTGGAGCGCTAAAGGGAAGTATCTTACCCCTATTTAGTATTGGGGAAATCGGATGACACTTATCCCAGTTGTAAAAATATAAGTGACAATATTATCTAAAATTAGAGAATAAAACACATAATGGTGCAGTATGCCAGTGAAGTCTAGGTATAGTACAAAGGTGATATATATATCCAACTCACATGGTAGAGAGCCTATAGATCGGCTCAAATCTCACTCGCCCAGGTATATATGGTTATACCAAACCTTGCTCCAGATCCAGAGCTCACAGAAGTTAAGGTAAATAAAAATAAAATGAGAAATAATTTCCTAGTGCAGATCTGTTAGATGAAAACAGTGATCAAGGTGATAGTACATAGAGTTGCTCACCTGGAATAGAGCTAGTTGTACAAGGCTCTATGTATACAAGCACCTGTGCCTTTTAGGGAGGCAAAAGCCCTTCTTTATATGTAGATACAGGAAACAACTTGAAGATCCACTGGATAAATATCAGATAATAGTAACAATTTATTATAAAACACTAAAAAACTACAATAAGTAGAAATACCAAGTGTTAAAATCGATGAAGTGGTCTTCCTTTGACATCCGAGACGCGTTTTGCCGGTCGTCTTTTTCAATCGGGTGATGTTGCTTCCTGGAGAGGCTGTCTTTAAATTTCGCTCCTTTCCTTCTGATTGGCTGCCCTGATATCCAGGCAGCCAATCGCGGGATAGGGGCGTGCATCTGCACGGCTGTCTATCTTAATTACAGGAGTTCCCGGAACCGGAAGTGACGTCACGTATAGATTGGTTAGTCCATCATAAGTCCGTTCTTCATTCAGTTTCAAAAGTCCCATATGTGCATGTCCTTAATCATGATATACTCACTTATGCCCATAGAGGCTTCAGTAGCCATCTTGTGTAAGGGCATTACTTATTCGTATATCCATTTCCAATAGTGCATAAATGTCCCAAATTATTCAGTATTTTATAAAAATAGAAAAGAGAGGAGTATAGTTATTCATATGTATAACAAAGAGAGACACATATCAGTTTATGTTCTACAAATAAAGTAATCATATTGCAGACTATATAATATAGTACAACCTATATAGGGGGGTCAGATTTAAGGTGCATGCTTACTTTGTATGCATGAATTAGTTTGACACATATAATCATATGTTAAAAGAATTCTCTGGGAGTGAAATATAGATAAAAATATGAATACAATATTCAAAAATATAATATTAAAAATTAACTAATAATAAAAATAATATTATATTACAATTTTCAAAAATATAATATTAAAAAATAACTAAACTATATAAAAATTATGTTAGAAAGTGGCAAAGCTCAAAATCGCTATTGAGACCATTTGGTTGCATGGAATTTAAATTAAAAATCCACTTCATTTCCGTTTGTCCCATTTTTCTAATAATATCCTCACCTCTCCAATTAAAAGTAACTTTTTGGATTCCTAAAAAGGTCATTTGGCTTGGGTCACTGTTATGTTTGGTTTTAAAGTGCATTGATAAACTGTGTTTCACATAACCATTCTTAATATTGCGTATATGCTCTTGTATCCGAACCTGCAACGTTCGAGTAGTACGTCCCACATAAGTTAAATTACATGTACATTTTACTATATAGATGACATACTTAGAATGACAAGCGATGACCTCTTTAATTTTAAACTTTTGTTTGGTATCTTGAGGATGTTGGAATTCTTTTATATTGCGTTTGGAGCTTTTTGTATTTCTACAAGATCCACATATTCCACATCTGTAAAATCCACTAGACTCATTAAATGGGTTGTTTCTAATGTTTTTTAGGGAAGAGTGGTTTTGAGTAAGATTACATTTTAAATTAGGGACGCCTCTGTAAATGACTTTTGTTTTTTCTGGGAGAATATATTTAAGCGTCGCTTTTTAAAATTGGCCAATGTTTAGTTAAGATTTTTTTCAATTGTTTAGTCTGGCAATTGAAATTACAAATAAAAGGTACATCATCGGTGTTTGTTTTTTTGTTTTATTTGTAATTTCAATTGCCAGACTAAACAATTGAAAAAAATCTTAACTAAACCAAACATAACAGTGACCCAAGCCAAATGACCTTTTTAGGAATCCAAAAAGTTAATTTTAATTGGAGAGGTGAGGATATTATTAGAAAAATGGGACAAACGGAAATGAAGTGGATTTTTTATTTAAATACCATGCAACCAAATGGTCTCAATAGCGATTCTGAGCTTTGCCACTTTCTAACATAATTTTTATATAGTTTAGTTATTTTTTAATATTATATTTTTGAATATTGTAATATAATATTATTTTTTATTATTAGTTAATTTTTAATATTATATTTTTGAATATTGTATTCATATTTTTATCTATATTTCGTTCCCAGAGAATTCTTTTAACATATGATTATATGTGTCAAACTAATTCATGCATACAAAGTAAGCATGCACCTTAAATCTGACCCCCTATATAGGTAGTACTATATTATATAGTCTGCAATATGATTACTTTATTTGTAGAACATAAACTGATATGTGTCTCTCTTTGTTATACATATGAATAACTATACTCCTCTTTTTTCTATTTTTATAAAATACTAAATAATTTGGGACACTTATGCACTATTGGAAATGGATATACGAATGAGTAATGCCCTTACACAAGATGGCTACTGCAGCCTCTATGGGCATAAGTGAGTATATCATGATTAAGGACATGCACATATGGGACTTTTGAAACTGAATGAAGAACGGACTTATGATTGACTAACCAATCTATACGTGACATCACTTCCGGTTCTGGGAACTCCTGTAATTAAGATAGACAACCGTGCAGATGCATGCCCCCATACCGTGATTGGCTGCCTTGATATCAGGGCAGCCAATCAGAAGGAAAGCCAAACCACGCATGGATTATTGTAACCCTCTCCTGCTTGGTCTTCCCAAAAGCCGTACTGCACCCCTACAGTCTGTAATGAATGCTGCTGCTAGACTGATTTTCCTCTCTAGTCGGTTCTCTCACACCTCACCCCTCTGCCAGTCCTTACATTGGCTTCCTGTGTGCTATAGGAGTCAATTCAAGGCACTAACTCACACCTATAAAGCACTGAACAACTCTAGCCCCTCTTATATCTCCTCACTGATCCACAGGTATGTCCCTTCTCGGTCTCTCCGCTCTGCCCGTGACCACCTCCTGTCCGTTGTCCGCACCCGTACGGCCAACTCGCGCTTGCAGGACTTCTCGCGGGCGGCTCCCTTCCTATGGAATAGCCTGCCTACCGCCATCCGACTCTCCCCTAGTCTTGCATCTTTTAAGAAGTGCCTTAAAACCCATCTCTTTAGGAAAGCTTATGGCCTCCAAGACTAACCCCTACCTCACATACCCGTCTCTTGCCCTCTCCTAAAGGGCAGCCCACCTTATTTGATTGCACATTCCTGTCCTAATGTGTTTTACACCCCACCTCCTATAGAATGTAAGCTCGATTGAGCAGGGTCCTCTTCAACCTATTGTTCCTGTAAGTTTATTTGTAATTGTCCTATTTATAGTTAAATCCCTTTTCATAATATTGTAAAGTGCTACGGAATCTGTTGGCACTATATAAATGGCAATAATAATAATAATAATAAAAGGAGCAAAATTTAAAGAGCCTCTCCAGGAATCAACATCACCCGATTGAAAAAGCCGACCGGTGAAACACGTCTCGGATGTCAAAGGAAGACCACTTCATCGATTTTAACACTTGGTATTTCTATTTATTGTAGTTTTTTTTTATTGTTTTATAATAAATTGTTACTATTATCTGATATTTATCCAGTGGATCTTCAAGTTGTTTCCTGTATATACATATAAAGAAGGGCTTTGCCTCCCTAAAAGGCATAGGTGCTTATATACATAGAGCCTTGCACAACTGGCTCTATTGCAGGTGAGCAACTCTATGTACTAACACCTTGATCACTGTTTTCATCTAACAGATATGCACTAGGAATTTTTTTCTCGTTTTATTTTATATACCTTAACTTCTGTGAGCTGTGGATCGGGAGCAAGGTTTGGTCTAACCATATATACCTGGGCGAGTGAGATTCGAGCCGATCTATAGGCTCTCTACCATGTGAGTTGGATATATATATCACCTTTGTACTATACCTAGACTTCACTAGCGCATACTGCACCATTATGTGTTTTATTCTCTCATTTTAGATAATATTGTCACTTATATTTTTACAACTGGGATAAGTGTCATCCGATTTCCCCAATTCTAAATAGGGGTAAGATACTTACCTTTAGCGCTCCACTGTGTGATTCCTGTGGTGATGGTGTAATCCACCTGGTTCACCGTTTTTCTGTATAGATCTATTTGTGTGGGATTGGGATACCTGCACGTGTGTCGAGCTGCTGTGTATATACTTATATTCTGTATCAAGCACCAATTTACACAGAGCACCTTTCAAAGTAGTATCAACATTCTCAAATCTAATGTAAATGCTTGAGAGATAGATATTGGATTCTGCCTCAGTTATATATTCATCAATGCAAGTAGGTCAGAAAAAAAATATAAGAACATGTATAAATGCCAGCTGGTGCCTTATTATCTATAACCCTACCTAGCATGAGCTCACAAATAATAGAAAGTTAAAAAAGAAAAATACAAACCAAAATTCTTTGCTTTGATCTCAGCCCTCCAGTTACATTCCAATGGGCAGTAGTCATGATGAACCTTGAGTGTAGTAGGTGTATAGTGGATACACTGGTAACCAAGAGAAGTATTGGAACAAGCGTGAGGAATCTCTTTGATCCGTATTTCAAGTACGCAGAAGTGTTACCAAGTTCAATCTGGGGCTGCGTGCACGAGACCTGGCGTCCCTTCGAAGACCCTGGCTAATCTTTAGCTGTGCTGCTTGGGTCTGCAAGATCTGTATAGTACACAGTGCAGAGCATTTTGTCAGCTGTAAGAGATCCTAGTTGCTGTGCTGCTTCCTAAGTTTTTGTTCTAACCAGTTAAATTAAGAGCATATTGTAGTAACAAAAATTGTAAGAATGCTATCCGGCTACACATTAATGGTTATTCGCTAACCTCTAAAATTAAATAGGATGACAAAATGTAAACAAACATAGGTTTGTTGGTCACATTTAAGGTTATAGATTTGAGTGTGAGAACCTCTCCCAATGCACCCCCCCACCCCTGAGTTTTAATTGATGGACTGCACTAGCATTATATTCATAACACCACACTGGTTGAAACCCAATTTTTCCCTTATGAATACATAAGTAACAAACAGGGTTATTTAATAAATCAGGAATCATGCGGTGAAATGGCAATTGTAGGCTAAAATTTGCTGTCTGTTTATTCAAATTGTTTTTTTTTTTTTTTATGTTTACTCTTGTATTTTTTTAATAAGTAAGAACGTTATTAGCACAAACATTTATATTTAATGATCATTATCAGGTTTCTATTATTATTTTTTTATTCAAAGCTAGAATCCAAGCACCATATCCAAAATAACTTATTTGATATGGCTTTTCTGCTAGTAAGCGATAGATGCAGTCATATTCAAGAAGGTACATGACCAAAACAACACAAACAAACAAAAAACTGGTGCATTTCCCGACATCTTAAATCCACCTTTTGCATATGTCAAAAATAGGAAGGTTTACTTCAAAATATTTGAACAGATGTGGTGAGAGCTTATAGGCTATTAACCTTTTTGCTACTGTGTTAATGTGATGGTGCTGGAAGAGTCAGTGCCATTTTGGTAATGCTGAAGTGGCTGCGGAGAATCCATATGGCTAAATCCACATATGCCCCAAAAACTCACAGCCCCACAGGATTATTTACTAAAGTTTGATTTCAAAACAAATTTAAAGTGAATTTCAAACTTAAAATCAGAAGAGATGAACTGACAGCATAGATGACTAGGGAATTTTTGCAATTGGTCTATTTTGATCTTAAATGTTAAATTCCCGGATAGGATGTAGAGAATCAGCATGGCCAAATCCACAGACGCTCATCGCCTCACAAGGATATATTTACATTCTGTTTACTAAAGTTTGAATTTAAAATAAATTGAAAATGAATTTCAAATTTAAGATCAAAGTTGCCGAACCAACAGTATAGTTGATTTTTCCAATTTGGCTTCTTTGTCCTTAAATTTGAAATTCACTACGAATTCTCACTATAGTAAACCCTGACAGTATTTTGATATTTTCATCTGGTGGGCTTAGAATGCACGTGCATCCGCTTTTTCTACAAAACTGCTTAAGAAAATAGCAGATAAAATATACTTATAACGCATAGAACATAGCCACTAATATAATCTGGTGTTTACTTTTTAAAATCATTAAATTAATTTAGATATTCTTCCAAATTATCTGCACAGAATATAAAGCACAACAGTATGAATGTGTGTATACTACTTCTTCAAGAAGTGCATCATTGAGAAGATTTTTTCAAGAGAAAAAAGTTGCAATATCTTTTGCTATAAAAAAACTTTTCCCATTTCTGAATGGATTGCAAGATTTAGCTATTCTGTCAGAAAGAGAATCATTGGTGAGTATTCTCTTCCATTCTTAATATATTAGCCTTACTCCTTCATTACCGAGTGCATTTCATTAACATATGAACAGTAGTGATGTCCCGAACGGTTCGCCGAACGTGTCGCCACAGATGGCGAACATATGCGCTGTTCGGTCCGCCCCCTATGTCATCATTGAGTAAACTTTGACCCTGTACCTCACAGTCAGCAGACACATTCCAGCCAATCAGCAGCAGACCCTCCCTCCCAGACCTTCCCACCTCCTGGACAGCATCCATTTTACATTTATTGTAAAGCTGCATTCTTAGTGAGCTGTCCAGGAGGTGGGAGGGTCTGGGAGGGAGGGTCTGCTGCTGATTGGCTGGAATGTGTCTGATGACTGTGAGGTACAGGGTCAAAGTTTACTCAATGATGACGAATAGGGGGCGGACCAAACAGCGCATATGTTCGCCGTCCGTGGCGAACTGTTTGGCGAACCGTTCGGGACATCACTAATGAACAGCATTTTTAAAGATTACTTAAAAATATGTTAATCCTTTAAAAGAACATTGAAGAGAGTTTGATACCTAAATTGAGTATAAAGGTTTTTATTTTCCTGTATTTTACAGTATAATAATAAAAGTAATAATAATTTGCGATTTTTATAGCTCTTTTCTCCCTGTGAGACTCAAAGCATTTTACAAATAAACAAACAAAAAAGACATAAAAGTTACGAGTTTCTGTAGGTCAGCTGAGCAGACTGAATGCCTGATGGAAGAGGTGGGTCTTTAGCTTTTTTTTTATTTAAAAGTCTGTAAGGACGATACCTCTCTGATTGTGAGCAGTAAATAGTTCCAGAAGATAGGGGCAGTGTGGCTGAATGCCCTGGAACCTGAGTCTGTCTTTATTCTTGGCACTGACAGGAGGGATTTGCTAGCTGACCAGTGGCGTACATACCGGGATCGCAGGGGTCGTGGCTGCGTTCGGGCCCGGGCCTCCAGTGTGGCCACATTTTGCCAGTCTCTTCTTCAGGGCCCCCCAGGCTGGCAATGGCTTCAGTTTGCCGGCGGCAGTACGGGCGCGCGAGGGAGCACTCTCCCCATGAGTGCTCTCTGCCCTGCTCCCTCGTGCGCACCGCACTGATGCCAAAGCCAGAATATGACATCAAATTCTGGCTCCGGCATCAGTAAGCGGCGCGCGAGGGAGTTGGGCAGAGAGCACTCAGAGGGAGAGTGCTCCCTCGCGTGCCCTACTGGCCGCCCAGCTGCCCAGCAGCCCCACTGGACCCCAGGGACAGCAGGAATCACCACAGCACTCCCAAAGGTAGGGAGACTGAGGGATTAAATAAAAAAAAATATGTGAGTATGTGTGTGTGTGTCTGTTAATGAGTGTGTTAGTTTGTGTGTGTCAGTGAGTGTGTTACTGTGTGTGTGTGTGGGGGGGGGCCCACTGATCGATTTTCGCATCGGGGCCCCATGGATCTTGTGTACGCCACTGTAGTTGACCAAAATGAACGGGATGGAATGTAGGGTGTCAGGAGCTCTTTCAGGTACTGTGGGCCTTGATTGTTTATGGCTTTGAAGGTGAGCAGGCCAATTTTAAAATATAAACAGATATATTATGTTGGCACTCTGCAAGGAGATAGGTGCAGATATTGTGGTCACCCTCTAATCAAACCTCCAAAAATATAATCAAATAATTAAAGGAATACCGCACTCAAAATTATGCAAAAAAGTATATTTGTAATATGTTCAAAAAGGAAGACAAAACTTATATTTCCATTACAATGGAAGGGGGGAAAAACTGAGTTACTACGTACACACATAAAACCCATAAATCACCAATTGATACCTATAGCTCATGTAGTATAAGAACAGCTGAATAAAAATTAATTAAGAAAATAACAGGTGATTCATACAAAAAAATTATAATTACAGGTAATGACTCCGGTAGATCCACCCACTAACTCATTACAGTAGGAGTATGTGTACACATTAGCTACTGAAAAAATGGCAAAGAAATACAATATAGACAAAAGAAGAAAAAAAAAATTAAAAATTTATGAGTATCAAGTCCACTTGCTAGGATGGATATGAATGATCTGTATAATAAATAATAATAAAAAAATCAAACGAGAAAAGGCAAAAATAGCAGAAAAGGTTGGATCTCACCCCACTATTTAGATCATCAATCCTGATCAAATGGATAAGTCTGTAAAGGATCACCTGGTAACCCGACCAGTTAACTCCGCTATTTCTCTTCCTTCAGCTGAACAGGAACCATTTAAGATATAAAAAGACCCATTTCCCCCCTGTAACTAGATTGTTTCCCGACTCGTTCATTTTGAGTGCGATATTCCTTTAATTATTCAATTTTAACATATGTTTGCCATTTAATTGGAAGCCAATGAAGGGAGTGGAGATGTTATGTGGCAGGAGCGAGTTTGATCGGTCAGTAGTCTGGCTGCTGCATTTGGTACAGTCTGAAGGTGATGGAGTTCTTTTACTGGTAGGTCCAAGTAAAGTACATTGCAGTAATCTAGCCGAGTGGATACAAATGCATGGATTAATGTTGGCATATCATCTGGTGGAATTAAGTGTTGTATCCTGGCTGTGTTTTTCAGATGAAAGTAGGCAGATTTATATTACGGAGGAAATCTGCTGTTTAAATGATAGTCCAGAGTCAGCACTCTGAGGTTTTGTACCTTTAATGAACTGATGAGTTCAGAGCCTCCAAGTTCCAAGCCAGTTGGGTGATTAAGAGTTTTGCCCGAGCTCACTTTAAGCCAACTAGCATTCATCCATTCTATGAGGAGTGCTAAGCAACTGTTGATACGGCATGTTGGGTCTGTGGGATCTGGAGAAAAGAAGTATAGTTGTGTGTCATCAGCGTAACAACCTTAGTGTGAAAACTGGTCCGTAAAGTCTCACCGTCATTTATACTCTAGTGATGATTAGCAGTCTGTTGCTTTCAATTGATTTCCCTGCCAGAAGCCGCTAGTCACAGATGTAATGCCTACAAATCTACTGAAAATGTAAGCTCATCTTACAAGCTCCCTTCTTTCAAACAGTACATGAAGTTTCAATGGGTCATATCACCCAACAGTCAGGGCGAAGGAGGAGTGAATGAACTGTAGCCAGGGTTGATCCTAGGGTCACAGAAGCCTGGGTGCAGAATTATTTTTGGCACCCCTATGTGGGCGTGGTCATACACACTGACAGACCCACACTGGCAGACACACACTCTCAATGACACACACAATCTCACTAATTTGAAACACACTCACTGACAGACAGACATACACAATTAGTATAGTTAAAACACATATACCAGAGAGGGAGCCACTATCACAAATGTGCAAGTATATTTACCATACAGACGTTGGAATATGACATGTAAAGGAAACATAAGAAACAATATACATAGTGAAGTATTTAATGATGTCAAAAAATAAAGATAATAACAATGGATACACTCACAAAATAAGTGGCACAAAGAGACATATAGCTATTTGTGCTAAAGAGCTTGAGAGGGGGTTGGGTGGCAGCTGCACAGGAGTTTGCGGGAGATGTCCCAAATTTTTATCGTTGCCAAAGTGGCCCGGGAGTGCTTGGGCAGCGTCTCCTCTATGGTGGGGGGACAACCACATCACTGTTTTAATGTCTTGGTTTTGCAGCCAGTGCTGTTCTATGGAGACGGTTTGTGGCTTGGGTGATGGGAAAAAGGCTAGCTAGTACCGCTGCTCTATGGTATAGTTGCACATTGGGCAGGCTCATCCCATCTGTGCTTTTAGGTTGATACAGTGTGGATGTGGCTACTCTTGGTCTTTTCCCCTGCCAGATGAATATGTTGTTTTGTTTTTGGAGCGACGTGAAGTAAGCGGACGGTATCTGTAGGGTAAGTGTCCGGAATAAGTATTGTAACGTAGGTAATATCACCATCTTAACTGCCGCTATGCGGCCTGACAAAGAGATACATTTATTTCTCCAATTGTGGAGAGTGTCCGTGATTTCTTTACTGAGTTTGGTATAATTCAGGTGATACAAATTGGACAGGTTATGTGGGAGTTTGACTCCCAAGAACGTGAGGTAATTTGTTCTCCAGTCATACGAAAATTGGCTCTGCAGGGCGGACAGGTAGCCATCCCCCAACCTCACCCCCGTAGCCTGTGTCTTGGAAAGGTTTATCTTATAGTATGAACATCGGCTGTACCTCTGCAGTATGGAGTGGAATGGCGGTAGGGACGTGTGAGGGTCGGTGATAGTGAGTAAGATGTAATCTGCGAAAAGGTTCAGTTTGTGTTCCTCCCCACCAATCCGGACACCGTGAACTCCCTCGTCGAGCAGATGGACTCGGCTAAGGGTTCTAAAGCCATAATGTATAGGAGGGATGATAGGGGGCATCCCTGCCTAGTGCCATTGACGATGGGGAAGGGTGTGGATTGGAATCCAGATGTGAAGACTCAGGCTTTGGGGTTGCTGTACAGAGATTTGACTACTGAGGTGAAATGTGTAAGAAAGCCAAATTTGGTCATGACTGCCTGCACTGGCAGTTTCTCAAAAGCCTTCTCAGCGTCCAAGGACAATAGGAGACTGTTGGCGGATTGTTTGTGCATGGTGTGTAGCAGTGCAAGGGTCTTCCGCGTGCCATCAGTTCCCTGTCTGCCATGCACGCAGCCCACCTGGTCGGAGTGTATGATAGTTGGAAGAATATCCATCAGTCGGTTGGCGTATACTTTAGCCAGGATCTTTACATCCGAGTTTAGTAGGGTAATGGGTCGAAAGTTGGCACATTGAACCGGTGGTTTTCCAGGTTTAGGCAAGGTGGCTACATTGGCCGCGAGCATATCTGGTGGCATGGATTCTAGTGTGGTAGGTAAGGTAAGAAGCGAGACCAGACAGGGGGCGAAGATGGAGGAGAACTTTTTATAGTACACGTTAGGAAGTCCGTCTGGGCCTGGGGCTTTGTTTAGTGGTAGGTTCTGTATAACTGTGTCTACTTCCGTTTGGGAAATGGTTTATCTTTATTTTTTGACATCATTAAATACTTCACTATATATATTTTTTCTTTTGTTTCCTTTACATGCCACATTCAAACGTCTGTATGGTAAATAAAATTGCACATTCTTGATAGTGGCGCCCTCTTTGGTATATGTGTTTTAACTATACTACTTCTGTATCCTTCTATTTTGGGATTTGGGAGTGATCCCCATGCTGATTGACTAGCATGCACTTGCCAATTGCACTTTTTTCCCCACTTACCGTTTCTTATTTACAGATATACACAATCACTGACAGTCACATACTTGCACTGAGAGAAAAACACTGAGAGACACACACTGACAGACACTCTCAGTGACAGACACACAATCTCACTGATTTAAAATACATTAGCTCACTGACAGACATACACGCTCACTGACAGACACACTCATTGACAGACACACACTCACTGACACACACTCACTGAGTGACAGACACAGATACTGACATACACACACACACACACACACACACACACTGACACTAACTGACTCAAAGACACAACTTTGCCACAATCCCCAATGCCTGCAGTGATTGGAAAAGGTAGTGGTTTTGTTTTCAGTGGGATTGCTGTGCATATATATTCTTGAACAGTGCACATCAGCTTATTTTACTGGAATGAGTACCTTCTCACACTGTCACTGACAGACACACACACTGACAGGTACACACACTCATTGATAGACATCCACTCACCGACAGAGACACACTCACTGACAGACACACGCACTCACCAACAGACACACATTCACTGACAGACACACACTCAATGAATGACATACATACTTACTGACAGAGACACACTCAGTGACATGCAGTTCAGTCATCAAGGGCCAATCTTTTTCGCATCCCTGTCCTGGCAAAATGTTGACTATAAAGCATTGCTTTACTTGTGAATTTACTTTTGTAGTTTACCTCATTAAATGCCCCTTGTGCCTGATTTACATTAGTGAAACTACCAATAAAATCAGAGAAGGCATGTTCAAACACAGAAGAGAATTTACAAATTGCCTCCTCTTGTGCCTACAATCATGCAGTTTCCAAAATGAAATGGCAAGCGACTGATTGTGTCCACACAAATGGATGAACGATGAACAAATAAGTAAAAAATAAAAATTGTGTAAACTTACACAATTTTAATTTTTAAGCTTGTCTGCAAAGCAATTTATACACAACATTGCTATGTTATGATATGTTTATATGTTAACTATGTATCCCTTTCTTCAAAATAATGCTATACTAATATTTTTGAAACAAAAAGTGCTCGGTAGTAAAGGGGTTAAGTGTATCTTATCTTGCAATGCTTCAAGACAAAACAACTAAAGCTTAATTAAGCAGTTCTATAGATCATGCCCCTGCAGCCTCACTGCTCAATTCTCAGCCATTTAAAAGTTAAACCACTTTTGCTTCTGTTTATGTGACCCTAGATACACCTCCTCTGGCTGTGACTCACACAACCTGCATAAAAAAAGAGGTTTGCAAACTCATCTTCCAGCACAGTGCTTACTTTAGATGTTTTTAATCTCCTGCTCTGTTCATTGAACTTTAACCCCTTAAGGAAGGAAGCAATTGTTCAGCTTCTGAACAAAAATAAACCATTCTGTGTTATTTGTGCTATCTGTTTATTCCTCCACAATTTAAGAGTGAGTGTTGAAGTGCATCCATACATTGCTTATTTTAAAGGACTACTAAAGTCACCCAGACGACTTAATTGAAATGAAGTGGTCTGGGTGCAATGGTCCTGTAATTTTAGCCCTTCAATGTGAAACGTTGCTATTTTGCAGAAACAGCAATGTTTACATTGCATGGTTAACCCCTTAAGGACGGCGGGGGTTCTATGCTGTCTTTTTTTAGACAGTCCTAAATACCGGCGAGCGTCCCCGCTGTCTTTTGTACTTACCGGGTCCTCGCCATTCCCCCCATGGCGGTCGCGATCCTGGTGTCTGCCTGGGAGCAGGGTCCTCGCGATCACATGGCCGGAATAGCCGGCTTATGCAGAGCCTGCAGGCTGTCCCCCTCATGCCTGTAAAAAAGTTTGTAAAAGTTATTAAACGTTATTAAACAGTTTTAAAATTAAATAAAAATTAAATAAAAAGTACTTGGACCATACATATGAATATATATATATATATATATATATATATAATAAAAATAATCAATAAATAAATTGAAAAAAAAAGAAAGAAATGATATACCAGTTTTAATTTGTTCTAACTGTATTTTGATATTAATATACATACATAAATTCAAAATACATTTAGAATGACATTATAAATACATATATGTATATCTATCTATCTATCTAAAACATTTTATATATATATATATATATATATATATATATATATTTAGATTCTACAAATATATTTATATAATATTTTTACATAATCAAGTCATTTTATTAATTACAATCTGAGGGACCTGCCCGACAACCCAGGCAGAAAGCCCAGAGATTTTGTCTCATAAGCCCTATATTTAACCCTGTAACTTTCCAGGACACCATAAAAGCTGTACATGGGGTGTACTGTTTTACTCGGAAGACTTCACTGAACACAAATATTAGCGCTTTTAAAACAGTAAAACATATTACAACGATGATATCGTCAGTAAAAATTCATTTTTTTGCATTTTTCACAAACTAAAGGTACTTTCACTGACATATAAGTGTAAGATATAAGTGTTGTAATAAGTTTTACTGTTTTGAAACACTAAGATTTGTGCTCAGCAAAGTCTCCCGAGTATAACAGTACTCCTCATGTACATGTTTTATGGTGTTTTCAAAAGTCACTGGGTCAAATATAAGGCTTGGATTTCCTTTTTTTCACATTGAAATTTGCCCGAATGGTTACGTTGCCTTTGAGACCGTATGGTAGCCCGGGAATGAGAATTACCCCAATGATGGCATACCATTAGCAAAAATAGACAACCCAAGGTATTGCAAATGAGGTATGTCCAGTCTTTTTTAGTAGCTATATAGTCACAAACACTGGCCAAAATTGGTGTTCAAATTTGTTTTTTGCATTTTTCACACACAAACAAATATGAACGCAAACTTTGGCCAGTGTTTGTGACTAAGTGGCTACTAGAAAAGACTGGACATACCCCATTTATAATACCTTGGGTTGTCTGCTTTTTCAAATGGTTTGCCATCATGGGGGTAATTTTCATTCCTGGGCTACCATACGGTCTCAAAGGCAACATAACCAGTCTGGCAAATTTCAGTGTGTATAAACTGAAAAATTTTACATGCTATATTTGACCCTGTAACTTTCCAAAACATCATAAAACCTGTACATTGGGGGTACTATTTTACTTGTGAGACTTTGCTGAATACAAATATTTGTACTTTATTGCAGTAACAGCTAACAGTATTGTGACATTCACAGTTAAAATGCCATGCAGAAGTAAAAAAATAAAAATAATTATGTTTACTATACAAATATTTGATGTGACATGAAATCCCTGTTTCTCCTGAACAAGATGATACATGATAAGTGTGGGTGCACATAATATGAAAGACGTGAATTACACCTGAACAGACATATAGTGCAAATTCAGTCCTTAAGGGGTTAAATACAATTACATAGCGTGGCATATAGACGCACTAACTCTTCCAGAACCAAGTGAAATTCAGTCCTGCACTGAAATGCTTCTCATAGCAGCATTTGATTGGAGGAACATGGTATTTGTCTGCACATACATATTCCGCCAACCAAAGCTTCTCAATGATTGGACGAGATCGCTGAAGACATACTGATGCCTTTAGAGGAGAACTTGGCAGCTGCTGCTCTGGAAATGAGGTGAGTAAATTTAATTTAACTTTAACTTTTATCAGCAAACAAAGGGTGGACAGTCGGCACAGTGATAGAACCTATAGTCCCTAAAGATCAATGCTTATTTTTGGGACTAGATGTTCCCTTTAATATCCTATATGTAGACCTACCACAGAATTAAGTATGAATAAAAAGTGGGAGACATGGAAATAAAATACACTCCTTATTGTTAATTGACTCATATGTATAGCATTTAAATACATTTTTAGTAGTTAACACTAACTGTATACCAATCCTACCCTTAACCCTACACCAACTCTACCCCAATCCTACACTAACCCTAATACTACTTCAATACTAACCTAACACTAACCTTAATGCTAAACCTAATCTTAACTGAGTGGGATTCCCTCTGCCGACATAAATACTGACATCAGAATAGGAGAATCACCATAGTAATTTAAAGGAATTTAAAGGGCTATATGCAGCACTTACTTTGATGTGTACAGCTCATCTATCAGTCGGAGTACACTAAATATGGCCCTAGCTCACAGACTGGAACCTGAGGTATCGAATATTACCTATATGTCCTAGTTTGAGCAAGGATTTAACCCAAAATACGAGGATGTTCCACATTGTCTTAAAGGTGATAAAGGCTACTATTTTCAGGAATTTGTTAAGGGGTTAATGACACATTGGAGGCAGGATCTAGCAAACAATTAAGAGAGCAGGCGTCAATAACTTCTAAATTAAACACACTGTGCAAAAATTGAAATGTATTGAGGCTGTGTAAGTGCTTTTATGTTACTCGCTTCTGTATGGCTGTTTTTTTTCCTTTTAATTCATCACTGCATAAGCTTTTATTAATATTGGGGAGCTGTTAAACATCTGACTTTGCTTCATGTTTTAGCCGCACACTATAGATTGGCAGCATTTTCTGCCCTTTGTTTAGAAACTGTATATAAAATAATAATTGTTTGTTTTATAGAAGCTTCAAACAGATGAGAGGTCCGTTCATCAAGTGATCTATGAAAGCTTGTGCTGGATAGAAAAGAAGAACGTGCAGATTGAAATCATACTTGATTATATATTTCTAGATTGTTTCCTTAAAATATTTCCTGAATTAATGAGCATTTCGCACGGTAAGTTATATAATTCTTTCTGGTCTGCATTCCAAGTTGGTTGAGTTCTCTATCCCACCACCTCTGGGCGTTGCTTGGTCATAAATGCAAAAGGTTTAACATCCATTAGGAGAAAGAGAGACAGAATGGGTGTTTTATAAGAGGATGACTATAAAAAAGAAACGACAATGTTTTTGCAGAATGACAATGTTTTTAGCTGCAGATTTGAAAATCCACACCTATAATATTAACCCCAAGCCATGCTGTATAAGTCCTTCACCCTGCTACATTAAAAATGCTGCTTCCAGAGCAATACCCTACAAATACCCTGACACTGTGCTGTATAATGAACCCAAGACATGGTGCATTAAAAGTGGCACTGTCAAAAATAATACAGTTATCGACATATTCTTTCTCTCTTATGGTGCATGTCCTATTGTCTACACAGAATATGGATCAGAAGATGTTGAATGTGTGGCTCCCATAAGTGCAAACAATGACATATTGAAAAGGATTTTTAAACAACAAAAGGTTGCAATTTGTTTTGCAATAACAAAAAGATTTCCATTTTTGCATGGGTTGCAAGATGTAGGTTTTCTATCTGAACTTGAATTACTGGTGAGTAATGTTATTATTTATATTTATATTTTGTTTAATGTCTTTCCAAAGATTGATTTCTAACTCATATATACATATACTCAGGGCCAGACTGGGGAAAAAATTAATCCCGGACATTTTTAAATCACAGCGGCCCACTGAGAAGGCCCTGTATTTGTTCTATGTAGCTCAAGCAAAATTATTAACATGCTTGCGCTGTGTTTGCTTAAAACAAGCCTCTGGTGTCTCCATAAAGCGTATTGTACATGTGTTTAGAGCCTGTTTGTGGGATTGAGTGTGTGTAGAGTTAGTACATTGTGGTGTGGTGTTTTCTGCAAGTGTCGATTTCAATTGTGTTGTGTTTGTGGTGTAATATGTATGGCTAGGGGCTGTAGAGAATGTGAGTATAGGTGATGTAGCGAGTGTTTGCATAGGGGCTGTAGGTTTGTAGGTGTGTAGAGGATCCATAATTATGAACGGGATCTAGAGTGTGTGTATAAGGGATGTAGTTTGTGTGTCTAGAATGTAATGTGTGTAGGGATGCACTGTGTGTGTGAAGGGTACACTGTGTGTAAGGGGTGCAGGGTGTGCGCTGTGTGTGTAAAGGGTGCAGTGTGTGTAAAGGGTGCAGTGTGTGTACGGGGTGCAGTGTGTGTACAGGGTGCATTGTGTGTGTTTGGGGGGTGCACTATGTGTGTGAAGGGTGCATGGTGTGTGAAGGGTGTGTGTTTGAGGGGTGCTGTGTGTGTGAGAGATGCTGCATGGTGTTTGGGGTGCAGTGTGTGTGTAAGGAGTGCAGTGTGTGCGTGTGAGGGATGCTGTGTGTGTGTGTGTGTGTGAGGGGTGCTGTGTGGTGCTTGGGGTGCAATGTGTGTGTGATTGGAGTGCTCTGTGGTGTTTAGGGTGCAGTGTGTGTGTGTGTGTGTGTGAGAGGGTTGTAGTGTGATGTTTGGGGTGCAGTGTGTGTGAGGGGTGTATTGTGATGTTTGGGGTGTAGTGTGTGCATGTGAGGGGTGCAGTGTGGTGTTTGGGGTGCAGTGTGTGTGTGTGAGGGATGTTGTGTGTGTGTGAGGGGTGCTGTGTGGTGCTTGGGGTACAATCTGTGTGTGTATGTGTGTATTTGGGGTGCTCTGTGGTGTTTGGGGTGCAGTGTGTGTGTGTGTGAGGGTTGTAGTGTGATGTTTGGGATGCAGTGTGTGTGAGGGGTGTAGTGTGATGTTTTTGGTGTAGAATGTGCATGTGAGGGGTGCAGTGTTGTGTTTTGGGTGTAGTGTGATGTTTGGAGTGCTGTGGGGTAAAAATACAAAATATATATGTGTATTTTTTTTATTTTTTTTATTATATTTACCCCCTCCCTTCTTACCTTTGCCTGGTAGAGGAGACCTTGTTGCCAGCCCTAATGGTCTGGTGGGAAATCCTTGGCGGTCCGGTGAGGAGTGAACTCTACCCTGTAGTTCACTTTGGCGAGACCGGAGCGTTGTCATAGTAACTGCTGCAACGCTCCGACCTCGCGAGAGGAACCTATCAGAGCTGCAGGATAGAGCTCCACCGGGTCCTCTCTCCCTCTCTTCCCCGTCTGCATCTCAGTGCCTGTGGGCTTGGGGGAAATAGTTTGTCTCCCCATCCGCCCATGAAGGCACACAGCAGGGCCGGCGCTCTGATAGCGCTGGCTCTGCATGTGCCAGCAGGGGAGATGCTCTGATCTCCCCTGCCAGCTTCGGCCCATGGCCATCGCGGCCCACCGGGCATTTGCCCGGTATGCCCGATGGCCAGTCCGGGACTGCATATACTCATTTAATTTTTTTTAATACTTGTTTCCTAAAGGAATGTAACAGCAATACTTAAGATTTTATTTATGTGCACAATTAGTGAAACTATACAATACAACATCCATAAAATGCACCCCTTCCATCAGTCACTTACTGAAGCAGTATATCAGTTGCAATAACCAAATCTATACAAACAAAGATATGAACTAACAGAAGCAGTTTTAAAACTGCCTTTTGCATCCAAGATCCTTGAAAGAATTGTGTATACGAGATTGACAGACTTCCTCGAATCCACCTCTCTGCTAGACCCGCTTCAGTCTGGTTTCTGCGCTAAGCACTCTGTGGAAACGGCACTGACCAAAGTATCCAATGATCTACTCGCTGCAAAATCTCTCTATCCTAATTCTCCTTGACCTGTATGCGGCTTTTGACACTGTTGATCATCCACAACTTCTTCTCATCCTCCGCAATATCGGTCTACAAGATATTGCTCTCTCCTGGTGCTCCTCCTACCTCTCCCAGTGCTTTTTCAGTGTTTCTTTCTCTGGCTCTGCTTCTTCTCCCCAACTCCTCTCTGTTGGTGTCCCCCAAGGTTCAGTCCTTGGTCCCCTACTGTTCTCCATCTATCCTGCCTCCCTTGGTAAACTCATTAGCTCCTTTGACTTTCAATATAATTTCTATGCAGATGACACGCAAATCTACCTGTCCTCATCTGATCTCTCCCCGTCCCTCTTGACTAGTGTCTCTGACTGCCTCTCTGCTATTTCTAACTGGATGGCTGCCCACTTCCTTAAATTAAACTTGACCAAAACTGAAATTCTGGTCTTTTCCTCCTCTGGTGTTGTTACTCCTGTGTCTGTCTCCCTCCAAGTCAACGGTGCTACCATCAGCTCCACCATGCAGGCTCGCTGCCTAGGTGTTCTCTTTGACTCCGACCTCTCCTTCAAGCCTCATGTTCAGTTTATCGCTAAATCCTGTCATTTCCATCTCAAAAACATTGCGCCAGATGCGACTAAGGTGCTGGTCCATTCCACTGTCCTTTCTCGCCTTGACTACTGTAATCCGCTTCTCAGTGGTCTTACGTGCTTACGTGTCTCATTGACAGCCGCTAGAGGCGTTTGCGTGCTTCACACTGGGAAAAATCACAGTGAGAAGACGCCAGCGTCCATAGGAAAGCATTGTAAATGCTTTCCTATGAGACTGGCTGAATGCGCGCGCCGCTCATGCCGCGCGTGCGCATTCAGCCGATGACGTCACTAGGAAGGAGGAGAGGAGGAGGAAAGCTCCCCGCCCGGCGCTGGAGAAAGGTAAGATTTTAACCCCTTCCTCTCCCCAGAGCCCGGCGGGAGGGGGACCCTGAGGGTGGGGGCACACAAGTATGTTTTCCTGGCACTATAGTGGTCCTTTAACAACAAAACGTGTGTCAGCATTGCATATCCAAACACACCAAATGACAAATTCCATTTAAATACCAGTAAGGCATCATGCACTGTAATCCTCTATGAATGAATGTGGTTCTCATTAATTTGATAATAATTTTGGAGTTTATGGTACGGCTCATCCAGGGACTCCAGCTCTCATAACAACTTAATTGAGATGAAGGTGTTTTAAGGAAAGAAAGTTCCTTTAATGCTGAAACCAGACTGCTCTGGTATATAATATCAATTACCCATATATGATTTTTATCTAAAACCAAACTTGATATGATGTTGACAAACGATGAGCTAATAATGTACCACATACACCATTCATAAACCATATGCACTATTCAAAGACAGCAGGATCCCAAAAAGATGTAATTTACAATGGAACAACTAGAAAAGAGGCACATACATAGATAGAAACCATACATAGACATTCTTAGTATTGTATTTTATTATGCAAAAATCTGAGAGAAGTGATTTATCTGTATAAATTAACAACGGTTTCTGTTTTATAGAAGCTGCAAGCTGATGAGAGATCCACTCAACGTGTGGTGTATGAAAGTCTGTGCTGGATCGAGGAGAAGGAGAAAGGAAGCTTTAAAGTCTTCTTTGTTTACATATTTCAGAAATGCTTCTTGAACTTCTATTGCAAACTAAATATCATCTCACAACGTAAGTTGCATTATTCTCTCTTTCATTAAGATGGAAACAACAAGAATTCTGCTGACCAACTTTTCAATCTAAGATGATCAACCTTGTTTTGAGTTAGGTTCTCAGAGATACCTTTTACAAAAAAAGTGAATACAATCGTTTCCATTAATCACTAGCAGTGGTGGATGAAGTTTTAAGATAGGGATCCATCCTTTGCCACCAATTGCAACTTGTTTTTGTTTAGAATGTCATGATCACTGTCTCATCTCGCACTGTTAAACACCTCCAGGACATCATAGATACTCATTTATAGGGTAATTCACTAAAGATCTGATTTTGGTGAAAATTACCGAATTCGTATTGCACTAGCAGTTCTCATATTTACTAAAGCTAAGTACGGTTGGAATCCGGTTGGCCTAATCAAACCTACAGAAATCAACCGGATGCAGTTGGTGTTCAGATTAATATTGGTGCTTTTGCATCCGAATTCTATACACCAGGGGTGCCCAAAAGGTAAATCCCCAGATGTTGTGAAACTACAACTCCTTTGATGCTTTGCATACCTTTGGAATGTTTTTAGAATGACAAAGCATCATGGAATGTGTCGTTTTAAAAATCTCAGGATCAACCTTTTGGGCACCCCTGCTATACAAAGTATAGGATTCGGAGGATTCACAAAACACTGATTTTAAACCAAACACCAAATTATTGTTAACTTGCTATCATGGCAGCAAATGACCATTTTAAGTACTACAGGGAGTGCAGAATTATTAGGCAAGTTGTATTTTTGAGGATTAATTTTATTATTGAACAACAACCATGTTCTCAATGAACCCAAAAAACTCATTAATATCAAAGCTGAATATTTTTGGAAGTAGTTTTTAGTTTGTTTTTAGTTATAGCTATGTTAGGGGGATATCTGTGTGTGCAGGTGACTATTACTGTGCATAATTATTAGGCAACTTAACAAAAAACAAATATATACCCATTTCAATTATTTATTATTACCAGTGAAACCAATATAACATCTCAACATTCACAAATACACATTTCTGACATTCAAAAACAAAACAAAAACAAATCAGTGACCAATATAGCCACCTTTCTTTGCAAGGACACTCAAAAGCCTGCCATCCATGGATTCTGTCAGTGTTTTGATCTGTTCACCATCAACATTGCGTGCAGCAGCAACCACAGCCTCCCAGACACTGTTCAGAGAGGTGTACTGTTTTCCCTCCTTGTAAATCTCACATTTGATGATGGACCACAGGTTCTCAATGGGGTTCAGATCAGGTGAACAAGGAGGCCATGTCATTAGATTTTCTTCTTTTATACCCTTTCTTGCCAGCCACGCTGTGGAGTACTTGGACGCGTGTGATGGAGCATTGTCCTGCATGAAAATCATGTTTTTCTTGAAGGATGCAGACTTCTTCCTGTACCACTGCTTGAAGAAGGTGTCTTCCAGGAACTGGCAGTAGGACTGGGAGTTGAGCTTGACTCCATCCTCAACCCGAAAAGGCCCCACAAGCTCATCTTTGATGATACCAGCCCAAACCAGTACTCCACCTCCACCTTGCTGGCATCTGAGTCGGACTGGAGCTCTCTGCCCTTTACCAATCCAGCCACGGGCCCATCCATCTGGCCCATCAAGACTCACTCTCATTTCATCAGTCCATAAAACCTTAGAAAAATCAGTCTTGAGATATTTCTTGGCCCAGTCTTGACGCTTCAGCTTGTGTGTCTTGTTCAGTGGTGGTCGTCTTTCAGCCTTTCTTACCTTGGCCATGTCTCTGAGTATTGCACATCTTGTGCTTTTGGGCACTCCAGTGATGTTGCAGCTCTGAAATATGGCCAAACTGGTGGCAAGTGGCATCGTGGCAGCTACACGCTTGACTTTTCTCAGTTCATGGGCAGTTATTTTGCGCCTTGGTTTTTCCACACGCTTCTTGCGACCCTGTTGACTATTTTGAATGAAACGCTTGATTGTTCGATGATCACGCTTCAGAAGCTTTGCAATTTTAAGAGTGCTGCATCCCTCTGCATGATATCTCACTATTTTTGACTTTTCTGAGCCTGTCAAGTCCTTCTTTTGACCCATTTTGCCAAAGGAAAGGAAGTTGCCTAATAATTATGCACACCTGATATAGGGTGTTGATGTCATTAGACCACACCCCTTCTCATTACAGAGATGCACATCACCTAATATGCTTAATTGGTAGTAGGCTTTCGAGCCTATACAGCTTGGAGTAAGACAACATGCATAAAGAGGATGATGTGGTCAAAATACTCATTTGCCTAATAATTCTGCACTCCCTGTATTTACCTGTGAAATACTAGGGGTGGGTCGACCCATGTCCCAAACTTTGGACAACAAGTGGGAGACTTTTTAAAAGGGTACTAGAAAGTTGGATACATCACTGTCCACTCCACTTTATCCCGCCCGTGGCTGTCAGGTGGGGGCTATTTGATCAAATAAACAGGAGAAGTGGGGGGTCAATAAATTACCCTACTTATCCCCCCTCAACCTAATGGGGAATTATAAAGCTAATACGTGTAAAAATCATACTCACCCTTTAGATGTCGTCTTTTTTTGAAAACTTCTTATCTTCAGCCACAAAATAGGCCACAAAAAATTCCAGAAATCTTGACTAATTAGTAATGAAAACAAAAAACCCTCTGATTTGCAAAAAAAAGGGTAAAAAAAATAAATAAATAAAAAACACGCCGCAATAAAATGAATCCTTGTTCATTTATTATTATTATTATTATTATTAATAAAGCGCCAACAAATTCCGCAGTGCTGTACAATGGGTGGACTAACAGACACATATTTGTAACCAGACAAGTTGGACACACAGGAACAGAGGGATTGAGGGCTCTGCTCAATGAGCTTACATGCTAGAGGGAGTGGTTAATAGTGACACCAAAGATAAGGGTAAGGCAAAAGGCTCAGTGCAGACTAAACTCTGATAGTGTTGGACATCCTATATTAGCCTTATTTTTTGTATATGCTCCTCTTTTTGTGCTTTTTTTTATATTACGTGACTTGATTATGTACAGGTACTTATATTGATTAATACACAGTTTTCTGATAAACTATTTGTATAGGGCCAGAGTGCTGGACTTCATATGTAACATTTTCTTTTATTTTTATTACATGTAATAAATATTATTTTTGCATTTGGTTTGCATTGGAATGTTGTATACCATTTTCTGGCATCACAGGTAAAGGGATTAAATTATGTCCCCTGATCTTAATCCAGCTTCCGTTTGCGACAATCTGGCCAGGTGTGAACAATATTTGCATGTGGACAGTTCTCTACCTCCCCAGATCTGCCAGCGTCAAGCTTTTTTTTGGTTTGCTAAGCATAGACCTTTTGGCCTTTTGAAATGCAAATCAACAGATAGACGTCAGGGACAACCTTTCTGATAAAAGTCATATCCAAAATAAAACATTATTTCAGAGATGAAACATTGTGCCTCCTGATATATACTGTATATTTAAAATTCTGATGGTATTCCATGAAAAAGGAGTCAATGTATGACCAGCATACCTTTTGTCGTTTGGGGGAATTGAGAAAATCAGTCACAGATAGGTCTTGTGAGGCGTACTTAGTATGAAGGAGTTCTGACAGTTCCACATATGAAATGTACCAGGTGTACAATAAGAGATAGTGACCTTTCCCTAAATTTACTTATATAAATTGTGTCCAAATTTGCAAAATGTGAGGTGTCATCAAACTTGGATCTCTGTAGTAACACTAACCCTTTCACATTGTCCCTACTTTGGGTCAAATTTAGAAACACAGTGGATATATAATCTGATTGTGACAATACGGCACTGGCGTCTCTGCTACTGAAAGAGCAAAAGTTCAGGCACGCTACTGTCCGTGATTTGCTTTACATTAGTCTGTACTTTCCCAACTAGCAAACACAGAGGCTCACCTAGTTGGCGATTCACTTGGAAGTGATATGGTCCTGGCTTCTCTTTTACTAGAGGTGTAACAGTTTGGACCTTGTATCACCTGTGGGAACTTTCACTAACCTGCCTGGCGAACTTCTACTCTGAGCGCTAGGACTCTACTACTTGAGTCCCTAATCCCCCGGCAAAGCAGGATACACTGCAGAGTTGCTCTGGGTATTACAGGATATTCTATATAACTAAAAACTACTAGAGATTCTTCTATGAGCGATCGCACTATAGCACACTGTAGATAGGTACAACACAGAAAGAGACAAGGCAGCTTCTTCTTGATGTAAAAGTGAACTCCAATGAACTGGTTTATTGTATGAGCACACAACTTTTCTACATTTACAGGCATGATACACTTGCTTGCATAATATAGAGAGGAGTATGCAGATACAATAATTATAGTGTGGAAATGGTCAGAGGCAGGACTTGCAATACCATGGGTTTACTTGACACTAATGACTTAGTCAGAACTTCCATTGTGCTGGCTAAACATCCTACAATGGCTTGCTAGGTACTTTTCCTAATCCCATCAGACATTCTTGCAGCTAGCTTAAGTTATTTGAGACCAAGAGTATACATGCACTATTATTATTATTGGTATTTACATAGCGCCAACGTATTCCGCAGCACTTTACAATAACTAGCATAGCTGTTCCATTTCCCTCCTACATGTTACAGTAATGTAGAACACGAGACTACAATGTAACACTGTCCTAAGCACATGACACATCTGTCCTGCTTCTGCGAGCCTGCGTAGTATATACACTCTAGTTCTTCGCCTGCTTGCATTCCATCGGTAGTGATGGTTGCAATATGGCGCTGTGAGTTCTCGAAGGGATAAAGGGAAATAGGGCAAATAGTTATTCATCACACCGATGACTTTAATATTTACTAGGGGCCAAAATCTAAGTTTAAAGGGACACGATTGTAACCAGAACAACTATAGCTTAATGTTCTGGTGAGTATAATCATTGCCTTCAGGTATTTTAATGCAAGCACTGCCTTTTCAGGGAAAAAGGCAGTGTTTACATTGCCCCTAGGGACACCTCCATACGGCCACTCCTCAGATTGCTACTGAAGTTGCTTCCGGGCTCAGTGCTGCACAGTAGGCAGCAGTGCCATTCAGTGTCTCTACGCACTGCATGGGGACACTGAATTTTCCTCATAGAGATGCATTGATTCAATGCATCTCTATGAGGAGGTGCTGATTGGCCAAAACGGTGTTTGGCCCCGCTTTCTGGCCGATTTTAGCCAATCCAATGCTTTCCCATGGCTTTAAATCTAAATTCTGATCATGTCACCAAGAGGACAGGGCCAGTGCCGGCAGACTCGCGCGGCACTGGAAATAAAGTAAGTTTTCATTTCTTTTAATGGGGCTAAGTGGGGGGAAAGCCACTTAAATGATGGGTTTAGCACTATAGGGTCAGGAATACATGTTTGTGTTCCTCACCCTATAGTGTTCCTTTAATTAAAGTAAATTGCTATTTTACAGAAGATGCTAGCAAAGTGATTTAAATAGAATTTCCTGTTACTTTTTATCTGTTTGTCATTGTAATACATTTCTTTACCTTCAATTTTTTAATGTGTATTCTCTGTGACAATTTTTAATTAAACTCGTGGCAAATAGGTGGGATAGCTAAAATAATTTTCCTTTTATTTCTTATTAGATAAAAGTGTTGCTAGAGACACTACTGTGTGAACCAGGCACTGAAAGAAATAGTTTCTCAATTTCCAAGGGCTGTACACCTCAAGCAGTCCCCTTTCTGTGATTTTCTGTGCTATCATTTTTGTTTTGGCTGGTGTGCAAATAGAGTACCAAGAAAAGTGCAAGGGAGCGCTTGACCAGCTTTGACTGGAGTGATCGATTTCATGCCAGTGGAAAATGAAATTGTAGGTAATGCAAGCTCTTGTGGTCTATGACATGCAACAAACAGGGCAGAGTCATGATTCAAACACAGCTAAAGGAGTGTTAACCGCAAAGCGGATACCTGCAGATAGAATGAGACGATGCAGAGTGCCAGGCTGACAGAGAAAACAAACTAGCACTGGCCACAATTGAGAGATCCCCTACTTCACCTGCCAGTACTGATTCCAGAGACTCATCTGCACTTAGACTACATGGAGTAGAGAATCCCCCTACTATGGATAAAGATGAATGTTTTGATGTGTTTCTATGCAGATTAGAAAAAACTTGCAGGCAATAGCAGATGTCAGTGGACACGTATCTCATTCCTGATCTGAGAGTGCTTGCATTACATGATGTTCTGTTAAGGGAAATATTAGAAAGTAAGACCTTTCAAGTGGAGACAGACCACTTATTAAATCATTGTGCCATGCACCTTGGAGGACTAAATCCTTAAGAGAAAAGGTACAATAACTACTTTGATGAAGAAATACCACTGTAATCATTACCCACGTATAAGTATTTCCCACTTTCCTTTTACAGAAATCAAGACGCAAGCTGACCCTGTAAATATATGTCCTATCAGTACTGAAGAACTAAAGCTAATTTTGAAGAGAGAGAAAACTCACATTTCAGATGCCATAAATCTATCTTTTCCATTCATGAATGGCCTGCAAGACAGAGGTATTCTATCTGAACTGGAATTATTGGTATGTACCTTTAACTCTTATTCAGCTCATATTTATTACCAACTGCATTGTAATGGTCAGTTCTACACAGTTCCCTAATCAGTTAATAGGCCAAAAGCAATTAAAATTAAAAAGGTGCCAAAATGAACCTGTTCCTGAGAGTACTTTGCTTGCCATTAAGAGGAAGTAAGATCACTCAACTTTCTACAGCAGTGCTCTTCAAACCAGTTCTTCTAAGACTAATGTTAGTACAGAACATATGCAGGATTATTTCTTTAAGTCCGAATGGCCCTATAGACCCAATGGAACAAAAACATTTGCTGTTGTACGGGGCCATTTGGACTGTAAAATCTAGACATTGTTTGTGGACTTTAACAATGTCTGAATTTTCCAATTCATTCCTCAAACATTGCTGCTCAGTCGCTAGACTGAAATATCAATACCCATTTTCCTACCCATGGTCAATGGAGGGGGGAGCTAATATTACCAATGAAGGGGGGGTACCTATTGTCCATTCATACTTCCAACCCATGGCTGGTACCCAATTCATTATAAAATAGGGGGGCGGACATGCCACCCCTTCCAAATAATATATCCCCCACTTGAGTGGCTACTAGTCTCCTTTCCCCTAGCCACTCCCCTAAAATAAATTAAAGTCCCTACTTACTCCCTCACCTTAATAATAGTGCAGAGAGTGTCAATGAATCTAAAACTTGTAAAAAAAAATAAAAAATTTAAATTCCTACCATCACAAGTCTTTTTTCTTACCATCAAAATCTGGTCAAATGGCCAAAATCCGGTGAACATTGCCAAAGTGGGCAAACCGTTAATAATCTTCAGTGGTGCAAGGGATAATTAAGTGGCGGCTGGCAAGCACTTGCTCGACAGTCACTACATTAAAATGGTAAAAACAAATTACATAATTAATGAAATAAAGATTTTATTGGGTTTAATTTGAAAATAATTATCCAGTGGTATTAGTTATAAAACCTCTAGGTATATATTATAATTTTTATGTAGTAGATGCATTGTTTGGGTAAGTACTTCACTTATTTTGCTTCCTGAATGTTTGATACATTGATAAAGATATTGAAGCTGGAAGACCATGTAGCTTGGCCTAATTTTTCTCTTTTTCACCAAGTTATTTCTGTTTCATTTACAGAATATTCAAGCTGAGGAAAGGACTGTTAGGAAAGTTGTGCATAAAACTCTGTGCTTGATTGAAGCAGAGAGGACACACCTGTTACAAGATTTCTTTGGCTACCTGTCTCAAGACATGTACCTAAAAATGTTTCCCAAACTTAAAGAAATTGTAGAAAGAATCTTGCAAAGTAAGTATCTTAAAAAGTGAGTCCAACTGCTACTTATTACTTAAGCATTTCAAGACCTTTAGCTCTAACTACTATGACTTCATACAAATAGGAAATGCTTTGAGCTTTGGAAGTTGTCTCTGAAACCTTACCTTTTTTATTCCCTCTCATTTTTATTATTTAATTTTTCATCTGCATTTATATGATGTATTCAGCTATCTAGGAGCTATGAATCGCCTCCTAAATTATTAGAAGAATTCAGTTTTATCCCATTCCTAATAAATAAAACTAATAAAAAATGAAAAAAAATACCTGAATCTCAAAAACCAGATTGGAAATACTAAATCAGCAACAAACCCCCCCCAAAAACGACCCTCCCTTGTTGCTTGAAAAATTCTGGCATTTGCCCTGCTGTCACTTAGACAATATATATATATATATGAATTTTAACCCCCCCCCACCCTTCTGACAGCAATATTCTTGCCCTATAGTGGTTAGTTTATGTTGCATCGCATAATGTCTATTATTGTGCTTTATGGTATTTGATACTTCCTCGTGTCTCAGATTTTCTGTAATCTAAGCCTAGGTTCTTTATTTGCTGTTTTCTTGCAGGAGTAATATTCTGATTCTCATGGAGGTGAAGTGGTCTGGATGACTATAGTGTTCCTTTAAGTGCTGTGTGTTAGGTTCAGAACATAATCCTGGCAACATTTTATAGACACATTTTTCTCATCAATATATTGGAAAGTCAACTTTGTTCATTTAGGAAATAGGTTTGACACACACCAGTGGGACATGCCCTAAGGCTATAGGAAATAGGGTAGGCATACATAATAGTTCAACCATGTCCTCAATCTGCGATAACCAAACTCCCCAGATTAAATAAATCAAAAAGGACTGGGCACAGGTATTCAGGACAAAAGGACAGGACCAAGGTTCAGGGCAAGTTTATTGGATAGGATTGAGCAATCCTGTGTGAGACTTTATCAAACTAACAAAGTGAATAATAACAGAATTTATTGTGCCAGCAATGAACATACTTAAAAACATACTTACAATTAGCAGTGCAGTATGCAGGAACAATCAAGAACATACACAAACAATATGACATGCAAAATCCACTCATTCACATAATGGCCCACTTTGTTATACAAATAAATCAAACATTTCAATAAAACAGATATGAAAACCTCCAAAAATAAAAAATATATAATCCAGTGATTTATATAGTAATACTCATATTTACTAAACAGTGCACAGAGGAGTGGATTATTAAAATAAAATGACTACTGCTAATATAATAGAAAATTATATTTTAGAAGTATTAAAAACAAATATATAGATAGTATAAATATTTAACTAAGATAAAAGAGGGAGGGTATGGCATGCTGAGGAACAATGTATTCTCATTCATTGAAGTCATGAAGTCTAAGACACTTAGTGTCATCCATGATGTGCTCCAACATACAGTATTTATCTAAAAGAATAATAATTAAAACAGGTCAAATTAAAAAGGTCACATCATAGTTGTAATTAAAGGACCACTATAGTGCCAGGAAAACATACTCATTTTCCTGGCACTATAGGGTCTCTAGGTCCGCCCCCCTACCCTCAGGGCCCCCTCCTGTCAGGTTCTAGGAGGTGGAAGGGGTTAAAACTTACCTGTTTTCCCCCGCCGGGCTCCCTCGTCATGGGGAACCCTACTCTTCCTTTTCGCCGTCATCGGCTGAATGCGCATGCGCGGCACTTTCAGCCAGTCCATAGGAAAGCATTCTAAGTGCCACTAGAGGCTGGATTAACCCATAGGTAACATATGTTACTTTTTCTGAAACTGATATGTTTACAGCAGAAAGGGTTAATCCTAGATAGACCTGGCACCCAGACCACTTCATTAAGCTGAAGTGGTGTGGGTGCCTATAGTGGTCCTTTAAGAACTTTGTATGTAACACTGTATGAAATCCACATAACCGCAATGCTTCTCTTTCCTTTAATCTGAGTTCCCTATAATCTCCCTTATGTAGCACACTTACGGATTCTATAATTTGATTCTGTAAATTGTGAAATATTATACTTACTCATACAAAGTGTTCTGGGATGGGAAGATCGAGCAACTGTGTCTGTATAGTTGATCTGTTATGTAATTGTTGGTGTAGTTTTTCCCAACATACGCTAATCCACAGGCACTTCAATATGTAAACAAGAAAAGTAGAACCACAATATACATGCCAAAGCACAATACAGATGCAATTAAACCACAAAGTCCTTAAAATAAATGCCGGCTAATAATCAACTCAGATCACACACACAGAAACACTCAAGCACATATACAACAACTTAACTCTTTGTTTGTTCGTTTTTTATTTTTTTCAACAGATACACCAGGATATCGTCTATCCTGATCTAAAAATCCGCCAGGATATTTTCTATCCCGATCTAAAAAAATAAGAAATCCGCCAGGAAATTTTCTATCCTGATCTAAAATAATCCGCCAGGATATTTTCTATCCTGATCTAAAAAAATAAGAAATCCGCCAGGAAATTTTCTATCCTGATCGAAAATAATCCGCCAGGATATTTTCTATCCTGATCTAAAAAAATAAGAAATCCGCCAGGAAATTTTCTATCCTGATCTAAAATAATCTGCCAGGATATTGTCTATATCAACCCTGAACTCAAATAATCAAAAGAAATCGCTAGACTCTCAACCGAGTCTGTAGCCAAAAACAAACATAATGTTAACACAGTAAAGGAGTTTAAGCATGCATGGGATAGGCATAAGGCTATCCTAACTATAAGATAAGGCTAGGGACTAATGAAAGTTTTTAGAAAATTGGGCAGACTAGATGGGCCGAATGGTTCTTATCTGCCGTCACATTCTATGTTTCTATGTTTCTATGTTAAGCAAGTAGCACAGAGATTTTCAAGCAGACACTTTCACACATAAAACTCACACACAGGACATAGATAGACAAATTGACAGGTTCTATTCAAATAAAGGGGACATGTGGGCATACTCTATACCTGTCGACGTTAACCACAGGAAGCCGAGTGAAGGCACGGAGAATAAGCGAAGTCCAAAGAAAGGCAAATATAAATTAAGTAACTCATTTACCATATGCAGAGGTGATCAGGCTCTTTTTCCAATCTCTGGAAGACTTTTCTCCGGTCCTGAATGTTTATGGCTTCGAACAGAATAACAACAACCCTCTCGTCCCTGTTCGGAATTGCGCCAACTGATTTACATACCAAAGAAAACTTTGATTATTTGTCTATCTACTCCTTTCTAAATTGATTGTGCGCATGTCTTCTGGAAGTAAATCACACCGGGCACATTGCAGGTTTATGAAGAACTCCAGATTGGCCTTTATTCCAGGGGGTGCAATTCCCTTTTAAAGCAGAAATACGTCATGTACAGAGTCACAGTTAACATACAGTATACATTCAACAATTGGTTAACAGTCTAAGGGGTCTTGTCTAAACCCCCCCTACAGGATGTAGTGTCGTCATTACAGACTTCTCCCACCCATATTTCGGCTCCATCTTGGTTACACGATGGGAGTGGGGGAAGTGAGTAGTAGTTACTTTAACAGTGATTCTCTATTTTGTTACATGTGACACATAGCTGTTACTTTGCACAAAGGAAGTGGGGGAGGAGTTTAATAAAGGAAGATGTTCTTTTAACACAGGAATTTGTTACATGAGGCTTGCTCGATGGGAAGGGGGGAGGCTAGCAGGATGGGAGGAATTTGAAGAGAAAATAGTAACTGAACGCATTGTAGGGGGGAAGGGAATATTTACTCTAGCAGCCAGTTTTAACATAGTGAACACAGAATAAATAGACATTAGTAAATAGCCATTTTATTTTAATTCTTCTGTCCATAACAACACAAGCCTTAACTTTGTATTTCTACCCAGAATTTGGATGGTAAAAATAATTTCCCTTTAATCCTGGCATTGCACAAATGCTAGAGGACTGGCTCACATAATGAAAAACAAACTTTTTATTGGACTGTTTGGAGGTCCTGATACCAGGATAAAGCACACTCAAGAAAAAGGTCATCAGCACTTTTTTGTTTCAATAAGTTAATGCCTCTAACATGAAATCTATCCAACAGTTCACTTTATTGTGATGGTAACTGTGAAAGTTCAGAGATGAGTCTCTTAACTCTGAGCATCTGGCTTTTTGGGAATGCTTTAATCATAAAAGTTGGATGGAAAATATCAAAGTGGTTTTCAGGGGCGTACCTAGAGCATTTGGCACCTGGGGCGGATCCTAAATTTGTCACCCCCCAACTTTAAAATGTAAGAAAAAAAAAACGCAAACTGTTTTTAATGTATTTAGCAATGAGCAGTGCTTGTGTGTTTGAATGTAAGCATGTTTTTATATGGAGGATGTAAGTGAATGTAGGTGTGTGTTTGTATGTAGTGTTGGAATTCGAATGCAGGAGTGCATCTGTGTGTAGTGTTTTTTTAATACAATGGTGTGTTTATATATAATACTTTGATGTGTTTGTAGTGTTGAGGTTTGAATACAGGGGTGTATATTTGTGTAATGTTGGCAAGATGTATGCACATACACACACATACACTCACTGATACACTGACAGACAGATACACAGACACACACTAACACACATGAAGATACACAGACACACACACACATATACATACTCACACATGCATATACACAGACACATAGGTACATACATGCAGATACATAGACACACAGTCACACACAGATACTGACACACATGCAGATACACAGGCACACACTGACACAAATACACAGATACAAACACACGTGCAGATACAAACAGATACACAGGTACACACATGCAGATACATAGACACACAGTCACACACAGATACTGACACATGCAAATGCACAGACACACACTGACACAAATACACAGATACAAACACACATGCAGATACAGACACACAGGTACACACATGCAAATACACAGACAAACAGTCGCACATAGATACACAGATACAAACACACATACAGGTACAAACACTGACACTCAAACAAATACAGACTTACAGATACACAGATGCAAACACTCACAGATACACATGCAGATACACAGGTACACAGTGTGTGTGTTTTTATAGTGGATGCACTGTGTGTAATGGATGCTGTGTCTGTGTGTAGTGCATGTAATGTGCGTGCTTGTGTAGTGCATGTAATGTGCGTGTATGTGTAGTGTGCGTGTTTGTGTAGTGCATGTAGTGTGCGTTTTTGTGTAGCCGATGCAGTGTGTATGTATAGGGGATGTAGTGCATGTTTGTGTAGTGTATGTAGTGTGAGTGTTTGTGTAATGTGCGTGTTTGTGAAGTGCATGTAGTGTGCGTGTTTGTGAAGTGCATATCGTGTGCAATATTACAGGTTGCACTCACAAACGTATATTGATAGTAGGCGTATCTCAATAGTACAAGATGAAATGAGGTCCCCAACACGAGAGCATGGGCATGTAGGAGAAGAGTAAAAGAAACAAAATAAGTGCAGATGGTAAATGCTTTTATCATGCACTGTAATAAATTACACTTACAAAATTGTAATGGTATATAGGCATTTTACAAGGTGTATTCCACCGCCATCCTCTATCCAATGGTAGAAATAAGGAGATAAGGAATGTAAGGGATACTACTTGAAGTATTAAAACTATTTATTAGTACAGGAATAAAAATTAACATAACAAACACAAAAATAAAATGTAAACAATCTCACTACAGTGGCCCAACCCTACGCATTTCGTCCGTTTCCAACCGGACTTCCTCAGGGGTAATAACTTCAAAAGTTTTGTAAGTGTAATTTATTACAGCGCAGGATAAAAGCATTTAGCATCTGCACTTATTTTGTTACTTTTACTCTTCTCCTACATGCCCATGCTCTCGTGTTGGGGACCTCATATCATCTTGTACTATTGAGATACGCCTACTATCAATATACGTTTGTGAGTGCAACCTGTAATATTGATTTATTAAGGTATATTGATTTTAATACTCTGAGTTTTTATTTCTTTCCTGTATATTTTGTTTTTTATATAAAAAACATCAAACTTGCAAATTTATTTTTCACAATTTATTAGACCTTCTCTATGTTCAATGGAAGTATAAAGACTGGTCACATTAATTGTGACAAGAATTTCATTACTAGTTAGAGTAAACTCACAGAATTTACATAAAACATCAGTAGAATCTTTCACATAGAATTTAATGGTTGAAAGGCTAGTTCTAAGCAATTTATCTAAATATCTGGCCAAAGTGGAGAACAAAAAAATTAACACCTGCCACAATAGTTCTTCTCAGAGGGGTGACCAAACATGTGTCAATAGCAAATCAGTGTATTAAACTGTTGGAAATCAAGAAGCCTCATCAAATCATTATTAATAATTTTGACCAGGTAGGCTTCATTAAGGACATTATGTATTTTCTATTGAAGTCCTAAATCATGTGGTTTCTTATATGTAAGGGAGTCATTAATTCAGTATTTCTGAAACATTATGGGTAGGAGGGGGTCGCTATGACCAGAATTAGTCGACCATACTAACTCAACATCTTTCGGTACAAAAGAAATAAAAGTCTCCATTCCATGTTCATACAAATTGAGAACAAAGGAACTCTTTTTAGAGAGATATCTTTCAGTCTTAAGCAAGCATTGTCATCAACATCATCACAAGATATGTACAGATTTATAAAATTAAACATCTCAATTTCAAGTTACAAAAATCTTTGCAGATCAATATCTATGTCCGACTGTCTAATATATGTAATAGGGCAAAAGAACAAACTTTTGGGGAGAACTGAAATCTCTGACTCACTTAGTGTTGAAGAACAATGTGATCCAGGTTTGAAACAACAATGTGATCCAGGTGATCAAGGTACAAAAGGTACCATGTGCTCAAGGTACAAAAGGTAGAAGGTTTATTGGAGAATCAAAACACAAACAGCAATTTTTCAACTTCCAATGAGGTCTTTATCAAGCTAACACCACTAATAAGCACAGTCATGAAGGATGCATTTTTGAAAGGTGATCCTCATTTAACTTAATATTGAAATTATTGAAATTGGAATACTGAATGATTACAGGAAATATTAGTATTCTAATGATCCACTAGGGTTATCTATATTTATTCATATCTCAGCAAGTAAACCTATTTTTTCTAATTTGTAAATGTACAGATGAAATCCCTACACAGAGGTTGGGAAATAGAATCAGTAAGAAGCCAGATATCAATGATTCAGAACATTTTGAAAAAGTGAAGACCGATTCAGCCTCAAATATAGGTAAGCAGATTGTCCATATTTTGCAGACTGAATGACCCCGTAGTGCAGCGAATGGTTTTGCATTATTCGGTGTGGGACCCTCTAAATGTTCCATTGCAGCCTTCCAAGCTGACAACTCCATCAAATCTGTGGCAGCCATGTAAAAGAGATGTTAGAACACACATCTGGCTAGGTTTATTTAGAAAATTAATTTAGAATGGTTTTTATCTGCCGTCACATTCTATGTTTCTACGTTTCTATGTTCAGTGGGTACTCTCAAGATTTTGGGACTGAGAGAAAATAAAATCAGATATTTGTAAGTTGAAAAAATTATATCTATAATTCGATAATACAGAGGTTGACAAAAACAGAGAACATTCCTCACTGCTTTGAGGTATTCAAAATGGTTATTTTAAAAAACAAACAAAATAAAGAAAATAAACAAACAACAATTGCCAAGGCTCATCTAAAAAGCTATAGCCACAGCTAACTACTGTATTCTAACTATTCTCCAGCCATGAAGGTTGAATTTTTGAAAGGCGACGCTAGTTTAATTTAATTCATTATTGAAATTAGAATACTGGATATCCTAATATTTGGGGTATCGTTGGAAATAATGTTGTTGTCCAAATTCACTATTCTTTGAGATTGGAATATTTATTCATATCTTAGCAAGTAAATTTATGTTTATGTTTTGTATTTCTACAGATGAACCTCCTGTACTGCAGTTTGAAAAGAGAATCGGAAAGAAGCCATATATATATGAATCAGAAGATTTTAGAAATGTGAAGGCCCGATTAACCTCAAATTTTGGTAAGTAGATTGTCTGTATTTTGCAATCTGAATGTCAGTATCGCAGAAAATGGTTTTGCATCATTTTGTGCGGGACCATATAGACTTTAATTAATAACCTTATAAATGTTCCACTATAGCCTTCCAAGCTGACACCTCCAGCACATCTATGGAAGCCATGTAGATGAGATATAATTAAACACATCTGGGTATCTTCAGTGGATACACTCAAGGTTTTAGGACTAAGAGGAAATAAAATCAGATATGGGGAAGTTGATTACTTTATATCCATCATCAGATAATAAAGAGGTTGACAAAAACAGAACATTCCGCACTGCTTTTAAGATTTCCAAATTACTATTCTCACATCTAAAAATGTAACTATTCTCCAGTCATGAAGAATAAATTTTTGAGGCTATCCTAATTTAAGTCTTTTTGAAATTAAGCTTCTGAATGATTACCGTATTTGGGATGTTATTGGAAGTGGTGGTATTCTCCTGATCCACTAGGGTTAGCAAATTATATTTATTCATATTTCAGCAAGTAAATCTATGCTTTTTGTTTTATAAATGTACAGATGAACCTCCTCCACTGTTGTTGGGAAATGGAATCAGTAAAAAGACAGACATCTATAAATCAAAAGATTTTAGAAATGCAAAGGCCCATACAGTCTCAAGTCTTGGTAAGTAGATTGTCTGGATTTTACGGTCAGAATGACCCCGTACTGCAGCAAATGGTTATGCGGGGTTTCATTTTCTTTAGTCGGGTAGCAACTGCCTCTTTGCATGGACGCGTGCGTTTGCATGCGGGTGGGTAGCATCGTCATTTGTGGCGCCATTTGTAGGTCTGCTTCGTCGTTCAAGGTGAGCCTCTCAGGTTAGAGCAGGAGGGCATTGCCACGGGTGAGCACCCATCTGGGGTCTGTGTACTTGCCTGCTGTTCTCTCCACTCTAGCTTCCTCCAGAAGGCTGTGAATACAGCATCCAGCCATGCGTGGATGTCAAGCCCCTGAGCTGAGTCACTCTGCCTGGTGGCGGTCTCTGACATTTTGAGGTCAGTGAGCTTCGCCTGGGGACGTTGCCAGTCAGCTCGGTGGGGCTCTCCTGGGACCGAGATAACCCCGATCGGTCAATGTGGGGGAACGAGGGACCATGTTCAAGATTGTAGCCGTTGTGGGCAACAGAGGAGCGGCCGCCTCCACCATGCCATCCACATGTGTAGACCGTGAGTGTCGCATTGGTGATTCCTGCAGGGTAGACTGCTTGTTTGGAGCCAATATGTGCCCCTTGATATCACCTTGTGGTTGGTGGCCCTTTTGTGTTTTTTAAGGGCTGCTTGTGGCTTGTAGCCAGCAATAAATGCCTGGAAGAGCAGGAGCAGTACTTTCCTGCGTCCGCTCAGCTCAGCGGTCAGTCCTTGACCTCTGGTGTTGGGATATTTATTCACATCTCCACACATAAATCTGTTTTGTATGTGGGCAGATTAAACCCATACACATAGGCTGTGAAATAGAATCAGTAAGATATTTATGAAACAGAAGATTTTAGATATGTGAATAACTCTGTAAATGTTCGAAGCGTTGGACAATTCCCACAAATCTATGGCAGCCATGTAGGGAATATTTAATTAGCCACGCTTGGGTATCTTCAGTACACCCACTCTCAGGGATTTGGGACTGAAAGGAAATACAATCAAATACGGGGAAGATGTGAAGATGATAACCCCCATCAAGTAATTTAAAGGTTAATAAAAACAGAACATTCTGCATTGTTTTGAGGGATTCAGAATGGTTAATCTCCCAAAAATAAATTGCAATGGTCCATCTAAAAAGGTATAGCCATTGATGCTTACTGTAAGTAAATCAATTTCTTTCTATATTGTAAATCCACAGGTGAAACTCCTGCACATAGTTTGGGAAAGAGAAGAATTAAGAAACCAGATATGTATCAATCAGAAGATTTTAGAATTGCCTATTCAACTTCAGATCTAGGTATGTAGCATTTCTTTTAACAAGACAGTTGTAATACAATGCACAATTCTAACTCCTATAACAGGGTATAAATATTAGTGAACTCTCGTCAATACTGGAAAATCTAACTTTCACAGATGGATACAGTCTAATTATCAGTGGAGAGTTAAATGCTATTATCAAATTGGAATATTCTCTCTGATTCTTGAAAGAGGACAGTCACGGCTACAGGCACCAATACAAAAAACAAGTCGTGCACTCAAACTCCCACTTCTGGGTCCTACACAAACTATTCACCTTACTTTCCTGAGTTTCAGGCAAAGATATCTCCAATGAGACAGAGAGGGATATTTTTCTAAACCCCTACATGCTCATTAACCCTTAGTAGGGAACACATGAGCTGGGTTGCAGCATTGTTAAGTGTAACGTGTGATTCCAATAAACAAAAATAAGTCCTGTGCTCAAACTCCCACTACTCCTTGGCAGCAGCAACGACCATAGCACACATCAGCCCCAATACATGCAGTAAATTCCAAAGAAAAAAGGTTACCTGTGCTCTTCCCAAACCCCTATGCATATTTAAACAAATATGTTTAGTTACTCCTATGGCCATGAGAGATGTCCCACCTGCTACGTCAAGGCAAACCTCTTGGGCCATGAGAGGGGATGCCCACCTGAAAACCCTTTAGATACAGGCACTGATTAATTCTGATGAAGTTGTTATAGTGCCTGGAGTGATCCTTTAAAAAATTTTTACTTTGACATTGAGTGAAAAATTAAATATCGAGTTGGCCGTACGGGTGCGAGAAGCTGGCAAAAGAAGTTCACGGGCAGAGCAGAGACCAAGAATAGTTTACTATCACATTTGGGATGTCTGTAAAAATGGGGGAGTCCTACAAATTCACTAATTCCTGGTGTTGTAAATATTATTCATATACATCTGCATGTAAATCCATGTTTCCTATTTTGTAATTCTACAGATGAACCCATTGCTTGGAGGCTAGGAAAGAGAAATCGTAAGAAATCAGATATGTATGAAGCAGAAGATTTTAGAAATGGGTCAAATGAAAGAAAAGAATGTAAGTCAGATATTAAAGGGCTTTTTATTTGTGATATTAAATACTCTGAATGTCACAGAGCGCTGGTAAAGTATCCCTTTTCCCTTTGGAAAAAATACACTGCAATTTTTAACCATGATAAATCCACTGATTAATGAGCAGTAAAAATATGTTTGTATTAACAGCAGGACAAAAAGTGGAAAAGTTAATTTTAATTCTGTCCGTCTGGAGAGATACTTGACTCACTAACTTGAGAATGTGTTATCAGCCCCGAGCTCCCGAAGCCAAACCTGGAAAGCCCCCAGCTATGTAAAATAAAGCGGACTAAACTTTTCAGCAAATATATAGTTATATATAAAAGAGACAGTGCAGACCCCCAAAACATTTTAGCTTGCTAAAGTGCTTTATGTGTGAAGAGTGTGTCCTTATTTTTTCATTTTACAAAAAGTGCAGGTTTCAATAGAAATCATCACTTTTATAAATAAAAAGCCTTATTACATCACTGGCTGCCAATCAAAAAACTATTCCTGTTACTTCCTAGTTTGGTTAGCTCAATGAAACTAAACTCAAGAGGCAGTAATTGCTCAGATCAAATGCCTTGCAAAGGCTTCTCATTGAGCTGTACTGGGAAGTCTGTGATTAGACAGCCACAGAAATTCCAAGCTGGGTTAGAAGGGTAGGGTTTGCAATGGTTACAGAAAATAGATCTACAGCTTTTGCAAGCTGTTTTACATATACCCCAAATTAAATTAAAATCCTAATTAAATGCATGCATGTTGACATTAAAGTCCTAATTTTGGGGTCTTGACCCTTCATCCCGACTGTCCCCAACAAGCATAGCTAAGCACAACATTAGAAGTGCCATTAGAATGGCCTAAGAACCCTGAAACAGTGCTCACTGCGTATTAGAATAAGTCTGATAATTGAGACTCTGATGTGATCCATATTTAAGTATGGTTTTACTAGCTACAAGCCGTCAAAGATAATAAAGGTTTGCATGTTGGAAAAACATCATGGAAAAACATTGAACTCTACTATCTCTGGGATAGTGCAAACTAGGCTAGATGGTTAGTAGTACCATGTTTAACAGTGGTAGAATTATGATTGTGTGCACTAGAAACCAACCATGGAATTCAGTAAGGCCCTTTTTTAACTTAAACTCAACTCCTTATGTGTTCTTTACTTGACCCCATGTACTCTACTCCTTACCCAATATGACATCATTCCCTGTTCAATATCATAAAGAAACATTAACTTGGCTAAAGTTTTTATTTTCACATATGCAATCCCATAATGATTCTTCATGCAGACTATGCAAAAATGTGTCTTTTTGGACCTATGGGGCCTTCCTTCTTTTGATCTTGTTTTATATTTGCATGTTCATTGTTAGCTTTATATTGACTACTCAAAGCTGTGCTAGCATTGAAAGAACCACGAGATGGCCCTTCCTCCCATCTGGAGGGAAAAAACATCTTGGGGTCTTTTTCATTCATATTTTGATAGGCCAATGTGATTTATTTGAACTTTAAAAATGTTTTTATTTTTTTATTTGTGTGGCCTTATCAGTACCATGTACCATCCTCTGCTACTGGAAAGTTGTAGTGGGTGCATTATATTGGGTCAAAGGTGGACTCTAATTTAATTTTTATGTAGTGAGTATATTTCTAATTTAACATCACATTTGTATATCTTCTATCTACTTCCTTCCCTTATTCCTTCCTAGCGGTTTTCCTTAATCCTTTACACTTCCACTTAAATGTCAATAGAACATAGGGTTGGTAATTGCCACAACCACTTCAAGATCATATTCCAATGTACTAACATGTGACTGATGTTGAATAGCATTTTAGTAAAGCTTATGGTTTTTGCTTACTCAGTGGGATGTATCTTTATATTTCAATAATAAATCATATCAGCCATACATTCTTTATTAAAAATGGAAAAATGTGACATAAACAAAAACTAACTAGAGGTCAAAGGTATCTGCAAGGAAGTTGGAGAGATCTGCAGCTGAGATTGGGGAAACAAGCCATGGGACAATTATAATCTGGGCATTCCCCAAAAGGTATGTGGGAGACAATGCAAACAAAAACATGTGTGGTGCGAAGTCAACAAAACTGTGGTAGTGTGTTTTACTAGCAAGACTGAAATACTGGTGAGGATAAAAGGCAAGATGACTTAGCCTGAAAGACTTCCAGCTATAACTGCAGCAAAAGATCGATCTACCCAGTATTGACTGGGGGTAGCGAAGTTGAAGGTTTGTATTTTATTAAATAACCACTGTGCTAATCCATTCTAAAACTCCATTCTAAAACTCACAATAAAATTCATTTTAATTTCAGGTTGTATCTACACTACAAAATGTGAATATTTCCTAGGGGGTGAATACTCATGTAAGTCAGTGTAAAAATTATGTTCTGGAGAATAACCCCAGTTAAGTGGAGCGCTAAATTAATTAACGTGCCCTGTTGTGTATGAATAAGGGGAATACAATCTTGTATATGACATAGAAACCCCCTCCTGCCAGAAATACATATACAATAGTGAAATACTAAAAATAAAAATAAATGTGAATAACAATAGTATGTAACCCAAAAATGGTGAGGTGTTACACTCACATATATGGGAGCATTAAAGACCAGTCTCTAAACTATGGGCTTTTGTGCCTTTTGGTAGCACTCCATTGGTCTCCACAGACCTCACTACAAATGATGCTGAAGCAGAATAAAAAAAATATAATTGAGCCCATTACAGTTGAAATGTGTTCTGGAGGAGTTTGAATTTACTTTTTTTAAATGTATTTATTTTATTACAGTAAGTGTTTGACAAATGCTACACAATTTTCTGCACATTGCGAGTCCTGAAACTGTGTTTTATGCACTAATACAACTTTCTAATGAGGTGAGTGCCATCACTAATTAGGCAAAGTTCTGTTTTAACCAACAGCAGGTTCTATTAAGGCTCTACATCAAGTGAGCAGGTGACAACTTTCTGCTGATATTCATTAAATTCCAGAAAATACTAAACTATCATTCTGCTTCTGCATCATTTTCATAAAGTTCATAAAGGCTCCCATATATGTGAGTGTAACACCTCACCATTTTTGTTGTATACACAATTATTCTTTACTTGTTTTATTTATAGTATTGGACTATTGCATTTAGTTTTCCTTTTTTCTTTCTACGTTACACATGAGACTGTATTTCTCCTGTGCAGACACCTAACTGGTCTGGGGTAATTCTCCATAACCTTTTTTTACTGTTTTGAATTTTGGTGTTGGGTTAGAGAATATCTACACACGTTTTGTAGCAGCTAGCTATTTTTCACTTATCCAAGTGCCGGTTTCCTCTTTTGGTGTGTATCAACTTAAGAGTATTACTCATGTAAATCACTCTGTATATGCTATTTTGAAAGCAAACTAAACAAAAATGTCTCTTCCACACACTTGTAATCTAATCATGGAGGTCATATAGGACTTATTTTTTCTAACATTTCATGATATTAAGAATATTAATTCTGCAATATTTGCTTTTTATTTTCTCAGCACAAGTGGAAAACCCCAGTGACATTGATGCTATCTCAGAACGTATACCAAGGCAGGCCTATAATGAACAATTCTCTGTGAAATGTGGCACCACAATGGGAACATTCTTCAAAAATAAATGGAATGGAGGTTAGTATGGCATATGTATAGAGTCATTTATTCCAAATTTGTTTTACTTTTTTTCCCTTGTGTCCCAAAATGGCAATATGCTTTCTAAAATAAAATTTGTAGATGTTCCCCTGGTAGCCAATGAGGAACATGGGAATGGCTATTGAGTGCAGTTCCTAGTTAACCCATAATTCCTACAGTGAAGAGATAGATTAAGCAGATTAATCAGTAGTACCTTAATTCTTTCCAGCAAAGCTTCTTCAAGCTCCTTCAAGATCAACAGATGACTAATCTTCATACTTCCCCACAATAGAATTTCAGAGACAACCATAATCAGACAATTGCACTCTACTAATACATTAGATCTGCTGTCATTGAGGGGATAGAGGGGGAGAATACAATATGACATATGCTGTCTACCTCCTGACTTTAAAAAATAAGTGAATATGGCCATACATATGACCATGATGATGTTATGGCTAGTTGTGATGTTTTACACAGTACATATTTAACAATTGCTTTTTGAAAGGCACTTGGAAGTAAATAGAAATCTGAAACGAGTAAGGTTAAAGCAAAGGCATTCATTTCACTGTGGAACAGCACATTGCTACTCCATTTTCTTTATTTTGTCATGGCTGTAACAGAAAAAGTGCAGTATATCGTCTAAGTAGAATTAGGAAAACATTAGGCAATATACTTGGCAATAGTGGGCAATATTAGTCAGTGGCTGCAAGACTCAGTAAGACATTGATATATATTGAAAAAAAACTATGTTGCTTTTTTAAACCATAACCCTAACTAATCCTAGAACTAACCCTAAGGTCACTTCCAACTCTACAATAAGCCTACACCAGCACAAACCCTAACATCAACCCAACACCCAGCCCAAACTCAAATCCTACACTAACTCTAACATAACTCTAACACTGGATAAAAACAGGGGTAGGTGCAGTGCTTCAGTAATCATTAACAAGGTATATGTGAAGAAAACCAGAGAAGAAATAATAGTGTAGTATTTAAAACTGTAGTGGTGATAAGTAAAATAAAAGATCTACACTCACACTTTCCTGGAGCTTCAATACAGCTCCAGTGTATGCGCCTGGGCGGGATAATCCCCGCCTATGGATCAAGTGCAGAGGCAATTCTTTGAGTTATAGCTGTAGTAAGGGGTATCCTCATAAAAAACAAACAAATAAAAATCGTATACGGTAAAGTATATAGAGCTAGGAAGCTACGGTAGTTAATGTACACTCACGTGTAATGGAGCCGTAAAATCTGGCTCCTCTGAAGTGGTATGATCCCCACTCAAGGATACAGGTGTAAATTTAAATTCTTCCCTCCATGTATATGTGGAAATAAACAAACAGAACCACAATAGTGTACACCGTAAAAAAGGAGTGTAAGCAGAAATAAATAATTAAAATCTACTCACATGCTAAAGAGCTAGTTCTGGTTTGCTCATTCCAAAGCGCTTAGGTGGTATGATCCCCACAAGGGATATATCTCCAAACAATCCGACAGCAGCAAAGTTAGATCCAATGAAAAAAGTACTTTAATGTAAAAAAATAATAATAAAAGAAATACAATATAAACTATAAAAAAGTGATAAAGTTATAAACAATACACTTAACGCGTTTCTCCTTGGATAGGCTTTATCAAACACTTTTGAAGCTCCTGGAAAGCTCCAGGCAAGTGTGAGTGCATATCTTTTATTTTACTTATCACCACTACAGTTTTAAATACTACACTATTAATTCGTCTCTGGTTCTCTTCACATATACCTTGTCAAGGATTACCGAAGCGCTGCTCCTACCCCTCTGTTTTTATCCAGTTTTCTGATCGGAAAAGAGAAACTCCATATTATTGATCAAGCTGCTTTGGGACTATTATCACTTTGCTTCCGTGCTGAATTTATTTTTGTGTGATTGTATAACTCTAACACTACACCAATACTAATGCAAACCTTACACCAGCTGTAACCCTACACAAACCCTAATTCTAACCTTACACTATGACCCCAACTCTAACACAGAAATATTCCCTTGTGAGATATCATTGCTGATATCAGCAGAGTGTTTTCCCCTGCTTACACTGCCGATCACACAAATTATTGGATGGTGGGAATGCATTTAGTGAAGAAATAGTATCCAAAATTAAATTATATACTGTATATTACAGGATCATCAACCGATGAGTGTATCGAGTCCAACGGAACATTTTATACGCTCAATGGATTTCAATCTCATGGAGGAAGGGAGTCCTGGAAATACTGGAAAAGAAGCATTACATGCGAAGATGTTAAACTAGAAGTCTTAGCACAGGTATGTAAATAAACAATATTTTTAGCAGTTCAATGAAAATGTTGTCAACATTGTAAGAATAGATAAAATATTTTAGCAATAAATCTACATCGATCAAGAATAGTTACAATACACCAACAAAGCTAGTAATAGCTTTATGTACAATAGTTCACACTAAGAAATTATAACAATAGCTTGTATATAATTTTCTGTAATAAATCATATTCCTGTTATATCAGTAGTCGCCAGCCACAAATGTGGGCAAAAAAAATAACATATAAATCATAAATTGGTTCTTGGGTCTCATAGTGTCTATAAGTCCCTTGGTGTGCCTGTTATATATATATATATGTTAATTATGCTGCCTGTCTTATGTATGGTTGCTGCAGCTACTTTGTAGGGTTGTATTTGTGGTTTTGTCAGCTGTATTAAAATGTGTATGTGAGCGAGCAATTTGTGGTAGCCTTGCAGCGCACACTGCCAAGGCAAACAGTTATACATATAAACTGCTTAACTCGTAAGGGCATGTGCTTCTTGGGCTGTTCTCCTCGTGCTTGGTTTATCATTCACAAGTGCTTGTAGTGACCTAAGATGATGAGTGAATTGGGGGCTGCCCTTAAAGCGGCACTGTCATGCCTTATGGAGGATTCCTCCACTTGACCAGCTCTGACCAGCGGAGGAGCAAAGTGTGCTTCATTTCCACTGGTCAGAGCAATTTTCCCATGATCCTTACCTTCCCTCTGTGTTCCCGCGATGCTTCCTGTCATTTTACACTAAACTGCCGAATTGCATTCTAACTGAATGAGAACAGTATGTTCATTTCTTTTAGAACGCAATTCGGCACTTTATTAGGGATTTATCTACTAAAAGGCTGAAAGACCTAAATTGGTCTTTCAGCCACATTTACTAATACTAAGTAAGATTACTTAGTATTAGTAAATGATCTGCCCCTACTCGCTGTACTGCGAGTAGGGTGCATGTCTGGTAAACAGTGAGCAGCCTGTGGCTGCTCACTGTAAAAAAAAAAAAAGACAGGTGCGGGCCCTAAAGTAAAATAAGGGGGGAGACCTAATGTCCTCCCCCCCCTCAAAATAACTTTCCCACGCTGTGTAAAATGACACAGAGCACTGTGATTGGATAGCTTGATATCCATCCAATCACAGTGCTCTGTTTCATTTTACACAACGTGGGAAAGTTCTTTTGAACTTTCCCACGCCATCAAGCCATCCAATCACAGTGCTCTGTGTCATTTTACACAGCGTGGGAAAATTTTATTTTACAGGTTAGTTATTTTATCCCCCCCTCACTATTTTTTAGGGTGAGGGGGGTAGGTACGGACTTTTTATTTTGGTGGGGGGGTGGGTGACTAGGGGCTTGGGGACCCCTAGTCACCTTGGGGGGGGGGAAATTGACCTAGGGCCCCCACCCGCCACCCAGGGGTGGGGACCGGGGGGGAAGGACATTATCTTTATGGCCCCCACCCGCCGCCCAGGGGTGGGAGCCGGAAGGGGGTGGACAGTAGGCCCCCCCCCTCATTATCATTTGGCCCCCACCCACCACCCAGGGGTGGGGTCGGGGGGGAGGACAGTAGGTCTCCCCTCATTATCATTATGGCCCCCACCCGCGGCGCAGGGGTGGGGGCCGGGGGGAGCAATAGGTCTCCCCCCTTATTTTACTTTAGGGCCTCCACCCGTCGTTTAGGGGTGGGGGCCAATAGTTTTTTTTACAGTGAGCAGCCACAGGCTAGTGGACATGCCATACTCGCGGTATAGCGAGTAGGGGCATTGGGGAGATTTTAATCTCCCTTATGCTATTATGGGGGTCATGCTGACCCCATAGAGTGAGGGAGGGCCTGCTTCTATCTTTACATATTACAAGGAGAGAGCTGCGTGTCAGTAGCTCCCTCCTTGTAATAAACTGAACGAACAAACAAACACTGATACTCAGTGTTTGTTTGTTCGACTGATATTTCTATTCACTCATTCGTCTTTCTGATGAATGAATGAATAGATGAAATTCCCGTTCGCATGTCCAGGTGTTTCACTGGGCATGTGCGGGAATCTCACAGCGCCATCTAGTGTGGGCTGATGACGTGTCCCACAGGGACTTCATCTACCCACACAAAGATGGCTGCGCCCTGAATCAAGATCGGGGCAGAAAATAAAGATTAAAAAATAGGTAATGCGGGGGGCTTAGGGGCATTTGGGGGTGACTAGGGTGTCAGTTAGAGATAGTGGAGGCCGGAGGGGGGTTAAAAAAAACCCCAGGATTCGGCATGACAGTGCCGCTTTAAGTACCCACTGCAGTCAAGCACTAGCAGATATCCGAAGAAATCATACTGGGAATTTTGTCAGGCTAGCTCAGGGGAGGATACTGAGATCTCCCCAGCTTATTTGGCTCTGACAGTCTTGCATATAACAGAAAGTAACCTCTAATGCCATGTATGTATAGGTTGTGAATCTTGTCTGGATGACTGAGCACTCTCTACAGCAACCAGGGTAGTGCATACAGTATCCACTGCAGGAATTGTACCATGCAGAACACAGTGTAACTATTTAATTGTTTGTCTCTTGTGCAGAATGGGATCTTGCAACCATGTTCCCGTACAAAAAATAGAAGTAAGTGCGTGTATATTTCACAATGTGAACTGAAGCATGATATTTCATTTTAATTGGAATATGAATAGATCAGCCTCATTAAAACAACCTGCCTAATATTACGTAAGTCCCATTCATGCAGAACAGCTCTGATGCATCAAGGCATGGATTCCACATGACCTCTGAACATGTCCTGTGGTATCTGGCACCAAGACATTAGCATCATATCTTTTAAGATCCAGCATATCCCACAGATGCTTAACCCCTTAAGGACATATGACATGTGTGACATGTCATGATTCCCTTTTATTCCAGAAGTTTGGTCCTTAAGGGGTAAATTGGATTGAGTTATGGGGAATTTGAAGTCCATGACAATGCCTTCAACTCTTTGTCATGTTCCTCAAGCCATTCCTAAATATTGTTTACAGTGTAGCAGGGTGCATTACCCTACTGAAAGAAGCCACTGCCATCAAAAAATACCATTGCAATGAAAGAGTGTACATGGTTTGCAGCAATTTCTAGATAGGTGTTACATATCAAAGTAACATCCACATGAGTGCCAGGACCCATGTTTTCCTAGCAGAACATTGTCCAGAGCATAAGCCTGCCGCTGCCGGCCTGTCTTCTTCCCATAGTGCTCCTGCTGCCATCTCTTCCCCGGTAAATTATTGACATGACCACCCACATGATATAAAAGAAAAAGGGAATAATTAGACCAGGCTACCTTCTTCCATTGCTGAATTGGTCCATTGGTCCAGTTCTAACTCTCATGTCCACATTGAAGGTGCTTTATGCGGTGGATACGGGTCATCATGGGCACTCTGACTGGCCTGTGGTTACAGCAATTTGAGCTACAGTAGCTCTCGGATCGGATCACATGGGCTAGCCTTTGCTCCCCATGTGCATCAATGAGCCTTTGGCACACATGACCCTAACACTGGTTCGCCTATTGTCCTTCCTTGCGTTCACTTGCAGCCAAATAAATCCCATCCATGGACATTTGCCATTGTAACTATATAATCGATGTTATTCACTACACCTGTCCCTGGTTTAAATGTTGTGGCTGATCAGTGTATAACTTTTACAGAAAACTGCTTGAAAGATGTAATAAATTAGATAACATCAGGAAAGCCACAGACCTGTATTGACCATTCATCAAGAAAATAGTTTATGATAGCTTGCAAATTAGATTTTTCCTACCATTTGTTTTCTCATGGTTTTAAATGTATTAAACAGTATGATATAAATTTGTCCCTAGGTATCCGTAGCAATCCCGACAAGAATGTTGAAGACATGAAAACTTGTGAAAGGGGGAAAGGGTCTTGCAGTTGAACTAAGTTTTGTGGTGGTATATTTTTAATCAGGTCAAATCTGTCCAAACTCAGAATTAGCCCAGATGGTCCAGAAACTCATCACCTATCAAAATGAAATGGCAAAGGAACGTATGGACACAGACCTCCAATGAGAGAAGACCATGAAATAATAACTGTCCCATTAATAGAAAAACTACAGCTTATATGTTACCATTGAGAACAAGACGGGAGACATGGCAGTTTGACAGACCAGCATTTTTACTTTTTCTACTTTTTCTACTTTTTACATTTCCAACATCTTTCTCCTCGTACACCTAAGCCAATGTATTACTTTATCTAATGGGTAATGAGGGGAAACACACAGAGACTCATTCAAAAGGGGGCACCATATTCATGTTCCCCAGACATGTGTTAAAAGTTTTGTCCTAAAGAATGAAAATCAAGTTGTCATAGAAAGCATTGAAATGGTATAATCAATTCTCATCTGTCATGTACATTATGAAATCCTGCTGTTTTGACTAATCACAGTACAGGTGGAGAAGGATCCAAGGTCTACATAACCCCAAAGATACCAGCACAGAAGTAAAGCTTGCACTGTTCATGCACCATACAAGCTTCTACAAGTTACATGAATGTTTTGAAAAGGCACTGATCTACCTTTCAGTTTTAAATGGTCTAATACCTTCAGAACCCTCTTAGGGAAGTAGAGCTAGAAACCTGCACTATTCAGTCCACAAGTATTTCTCCTTATCCATATTTGTAGGAGGAGTATTGGGAGGTGTATTACAGTTCAAAACATTTTTAGACAATGTTACAAATAATGAAAATTGGCCAAAGAGTCGATATCCTAGACTCTATAGGAACAGAATAGGGGGTGACCCTCAGAGAATAGAGAATAAAAAAAAAGGGAGAAAAGAGAGTCTGTTCCTACTACCAATATCGGGTACACACAAAAAGTAAAAAATCTAGAAGATACTTTATTAATATATAAGAGACATCAATCTGAGAAAAACCCCAACAATGGCTGCCTAACTGAATGAAAATCGATCATGGCAGTCAAGGCAAAGAGCACAAAAAGGAATAAAGGATGGGAGAAGGAAATAAAGGTAAATGTATGAAATAAAACAAAACAATAGATAGATTTTATAAACGTCGCATACAGCGATATAAATAGATGGATAATTGTATCTATGAGTCAAAGATAAGATACAATACAGAGGATCCCACTAAGTGAAACTGACAGTATCGTCAATCTATTATATTGATATCTACGTGTCAAAAATAAGATACAATACACGGTATCAATACAGTTCAGCTACAGGAATTCTTCTACAATCAGGATAAAATTAGTCTAGATATAATTGTATCTATATATCAGAGATAAGATACAATACAGAGGGTCCCACTAAGTAGAGCTGCATGCTAACGTTCAATATAATTGTATCTATGTGTTCAGACAAAAGATACAATACAAAATGTCAGTGCAGTTCAGCTACAGGGGATTCTTCTGCAATCAAATATAAACTCAATCTGTAGTTGAAATAGTAAATGCACTTGTTCAGTTGCAATATCTTAATAGTTCTTGTGTAAAAAAGTGGACAGATATTGCTAAATGAAAGCCATATCAGCACACTGAATTCGTATTCAAACGATCATAGGTAAATCTGCTTGCTCGTAAAGATTAAAATACAACGTTATCTAGTACATACCTAATAGTCTAAATCAAAGATCTAAATGCTGGTAATCAGGTATACACAAAATAAAAATAAGTCAGAATAGTGCCTTCAAGGGCACCAGGTATAGGATTGATAATGAAGAGACATAGAGTACTGACACTGATAAATCACAAACTAAAGCTGTGATAGATGGAGAGTAACTGCAAGTTCAAACACTAATTGCTACTCATGCCCTGGTCAATAGGTGAGTCTATAGTGTCCCAAGCGTTGATTTGCCCTCTAAGTCCCAAATTAATAATTATTCTAGTCCGAAATACATGGCTGCTCTAAGGTGGAAGAGAAAAGAGGGTCCCAAGGGACCCAAGAGACAAAGCTTGATGATAGTAATAATGTCAGATTGTCGCGCCCCGACGCGCGTTTCGCCTAACTTCAAGGCTCATCAGGGGGAACTGATTTCCCGGTATGCAGGCATTTAAAAAGGCCACCCTTGAGTCTGATTGGTCACATTTCAGCTCAAGGGTTAAGGGCAAGTACGGTGGCCGAAATGGTTCAAACGAGTGATGATGGAGAAGTCCATAAGTTTAATGTGTGATTACCGGAAATTCAATACCTATAGATATAAAGAGGTGCACATATGGAAATCAAATAAGATTTTTATATAATAATATAATGCAAAAGAGAGGAGAAATAAAAAAGTGAGAGAAAAAAAGTGAAAATTTCCCGTCATTCTCTATAAATCCAAGTAACTACATTAGCAATATAATCCCAATAACCACATTAGCAATATAATCCAAGTTAACCCTTAAAAGGATGGGCTAAAAAAAAAATGTCTGTAGACCAAGAAGTTAAAAGTATTCCTATGGAATAAAGTCTGTAGTTTAACAGTAATATACTATAATATCATAATTACTGTCATGTCAAATCTGACAGGACAGTATAAGCTTGTAAGAGAAAAAATATTCAAATGTAATATTGTTTGTCTTGCAATCGTGCCAATATAAGAAGTAGTTAGATTATAATAAAACTGATACCAGAAGTCTGTAATGATCAGATCCTAATAAAGTTGTAAAAAAATCCATTGAATGATGATTCTATAGAAGTATCAGATTACTTGTGTATAAATGGTGTATAGTTGAATTCCTCATTAAGACCTAAGGGAGCTAAGGTCTTAAACGAGAAAATCCACTGTGATTCTTTTCTGAGCAAGCTTTTATTAAAGTTACCTTTCCTCGGGTTTGGTAGCAGTTTCTCAATTACCTGGAACCTCAGATTGACAGGATTCCCATCATGGAAATTGAGAATATATCTTGCAACCGGAGTAGGAGTGACAGAATTATTGACAGATGTTACGTGTTGCAAAATCCTGCTTCTGAACTGCTGAAAGGTTTTGGCAATATACTGAGTTCCACAACTACAGGTGATCAGATAAATCACTCGTGTAGAGCTACAGACAATGTTACAACACAAAACAATAGTGTACTTTGCATAAACCAAAATTACCTTTTCATATTTTCATCGTTAAAATAACTCAGATTAACTCATATATACATATAACTTGTAAAATCAATCACTTGTGCATCAGTTTTGACATTTTGTGTTACACAATATTTGTGAAATACAATATTTATAGTAGTAAAATTATATAATATATATATATATATATATATATATATATATATATATATATATAAATACATATAACTTGTAAAATGATATATATAGGCTATATATATATACAGAAACGGATTTCCCAAGGCCTTCTTTCTCAGCTTTGTGCATTTTCCCCAACTAGCCTGCTATAATTAATGGGCCATTTGTCTGCCTGGCCCAATTTAAAAAAAATGGCCTCCACTCCTGTCTCGTTGTGTAGTACTGTGTAGGGAACATTGTGGGGAAAAATATTAAAAGTAATATTTTGTGAAAATTTATAAAAAAAAAGTATATATTCTATTAAAAATAAAAATAATTATTAATATGAATATTAATTTGGTGATATTAATTACTATAGGACCACGTCCACAACTTTGATTTAAAGAGATATCTACTATTTTATCTCTGATCCTAAATTCTTGTAGTTCAACTTAATTTATAATGTAACACAATGGCATACAATAATTATAATTCTTAAAAATCCCCCTGATGAGCCTGTAAGTTAGGCGAAACGCGCGTTCGGGCGCGTACACTAGACATTTTTTCGTGATTATCAGGCTAGAATCTTTGAGTGTTTTCATTAACCCTCTTCCCTCTCACTAGCACGGACATATACCTTTGGATCATTTATTACCTGGGACCTTGAGGGGCCATGAGAGTTTGAGACACGAGCCGGTCATATTTATTAGATCGATCAGGATAATATTTGTTACTTGTGCAGTATATACATATTCTTTCAAGTATCTATTTGATTACTTCCTAGCATCAGCACTTCTGTCTTTTTACCATCTATCCTATACCTGGTGCCCTTGAAGGCACCATTCTAACTGTCTTTTATTTGGTGTTCTATTTATTAGGGCTCATGAGTCATTTCATTAAGGCTACTGGACATATTCTAGACAGTGTAGCCTTTTCACTTTTTTGATTAATCTTATTTCTTTTTTCATTATGTTCAAAGACCCATTTGATATGCTGATGTGTTCTATCTGTATAATTAATTAGATTTAATTCTGTTCTTATTTTAGAACTACACGATTACTGCACTAACAATCTCGTTTATTAGAGCGAGTCTATAGTGATAGAATCTTCTGTACTTCAGCAATATTTATTTTGTACAGTGATTCCTTTGTCCTGTTATACATAGTGACTATTATACTAAATAGGAGCATTTAACTCCTTTCAGTGGGCTCCCCCGCATTGTATCTTTTCTGTTGACACATAGAGATTAATTTAACTTAGTCTCAGTTCATATTTATTGTAACAGATTCTATTGAATTCTACTGACATTTTACATTACACTTCATTTCTGATATGTAAGAATCATTACACTTAACGAGTTGTCAGCTTTTCTTAGGGGGTTCCAATGTACGGTATCTATTTTTGATCTATAGATACTATCATGTATTCACTCTCTTTATTATCTTATCGATCTACCATTTCTTATTTCTTATTTTTTGTTTGTTTGTATTTGCACGTATGCTCTTTGTCTTGACTGCTGTAACTGACTTTTTGTCAAATAGATTATAATTACAATTTAGTTGCTGTCCTTTTTCCTGGAATTGTTATTTAACATGATTCTGACTGAGATGTATTTATGTTGCCTTTGGACATACATATAAGGTTAATCTTAAAATCCTTACTCTAGAGTCTAGACAATAGAACAAATAACTAAATTTAGTTTTGTATGTGTATATAATACCTGGTAAATTTGACCAGGTGTCGCTTTCTATGTTTATAGCTTAAATGACCTTAAAACATCCAACATGTCATTCATTCAAAAGACATTAAACATATGTTCTCAATTTATTACCAACACTTCTAAATATATCTAAATATATATGTGTGATAAACGTATTTCCTATAACTATATGCATATTACATAGGGAAAATGTATCTAAACATGCTACACTATAAATATTATATCAAGATTAATATAACGATTATACTAACATTTAAAATATACTTTATAATATATATCCTTCTAACTTAAATTCAGTTCGCTTACTCAGTTTCAACTCCCACTCTTATGTTTCTGACAAGAGAACTCTCTCTATTCTTTGAGAAGTACATACTAGATTCTCACAACTTGGCAGAATCAACAAACGCCATATGTTTACTAGATAATAATAAGAAAAATATAGCGCTTATCTAAATTAATTACAGTCCAATGACCACTCGTTCACCAATTATGGAGTCTCTTTTATCTAAAAAAAGCTAGGTAAAACAGGAGGTATGTGCAGCGCCTAGATAGTCCTTATCGAGGTCTATGCAAAGACAAAAAGAGGGACAAAAAGGAACTAATTGTTTATTATATTAAAACTTCTTTGTATAATATTAGTGGAGTAAAAATATGCACTCACACTTTTGTGAAATTTTAATTCAGCTCTGACTTGTATGCCTGGGTGGAACAATCCTCCCCATAAGGATATAGTGCAGTGGTGAGTCTTCACTTAGTCTTAATGGTGGAAGGTATCCTCATAAGAAAATAAAAAAAACCCAGTTAAAGTAGTACAATGTAGTATATTGAGCTGTGGAGCAGGGGTAGGTGTATATATTAATAATATTTTGAAAAATTCCCTCCTTTAATACCTGCAAAAGATCTTAAATTTCTGTCATTACATACAAATAATTTTTTTTCCTACTTACCGTAATTTTCTTTTCCTGGTCATAGGCCATGGCAGCACAACAATGGGTAGCTCCCTATCCCTAATTAGACTGGAACCTAATTAAAACAAAAGTTATAAGTAACCCCTCCTATTCCTCTAGCCCATTGGTGGGTCCAGTGGGGGTGTGGGGCAACAGGGCAATTGCCCCCCCCCGAGATTCTCCCCTGCCGGCTAATGCAGGGCTGGCATTGTCAAAGTGCCAGCCCTGCAATGTGCCTGCGGACCGGGGAGGGAGAGCAGAGATCTCCCTCCACGGTCTGCAGGCACATTGCTGACAGATGGCAGGGGAGGGACCGGGAGCTCTTACCTGTAGCTCCTCAGGGTCCTCCTCTCATGAGCACGGATTGTTGCTGCGGTTACCACGGCAACGCTCCAAATCTTGTGAGAGTGAACTCTATCCCTGGAACGCGGGCTAGAGTTCACTGTAACCACTGGGCCACCAGGGATTCCCCACTGGACCACCAGGGATCAAGAATTGCCCCCCCCCCCTCCTCCCTCAGTAATGGTAAGAAGGGAGGGTGGGACATCAATATATTTATTTTAATTAAATTAAATTAAAAAAAGCCTCCCTACCCTCCTTCCCCCCATACACACACTGCACCCATACACACACTACACACACTGCCCCACAAACACTGCCCCCATACACACACTACACACACTGCCCCACAAACACTGCCCCCATACACACACTACACACACTGACCATACAAACACTGCCCCACATACACACACACTGCCCCACAAACACTGCCCCCATACACACACTGCCCCACAAACACTGCCCACACACTGCAAACACACACACTGCACTCACACACACTGCCACCCTCACATACACACACACACTGCCCACACATACACTGCACCCCTAACACACCCTACACACACTGCCCCCTATACACACACTGCCCCCATACAAACACTACACACACCGGCCCCACAAACACCTGCCCCTATACACACACTCACACACTGCCCCACAAACACTGCCCCCATACACACACACTACACACACTTCCCCACAAACACTGCCCCCATACACACACACCGCCCCACAAACACTGCCCCCATACACACACTACAAACACTGCCCCACAAACACTGCCCCCATACACACTGCACACCAATACAAACACACTGCCCCACAAACACTTCCCCCATACACACACTGCCCCAAACACACACACACTGCAACTCACACACACTGCCACCCTCACATACACACACTGCAGCTCTCTCACACACACACACTGCCCCACACAAACACTGCACCCTAACACACACACTGCAACCCTAACCTACACTGCCGCCCTCACGCACTCGCACACACTTCACCGCTCACACACACACACACACTGCACCTTTCACACACACTTCACCCCTAACACATACCACTGCTCCTATGCCCTATATCCCAGCAGACATAGAAACATAGAAACATAGAAACATAGAATGTGACGGCAGATAAGAACCATTCGGCCCATCTAGTCTGCCCAATTTTCTAAATACTTTCATTAGTCCCTAGCCTTATCTTATAGTTAGCATAGCCTTATGCCTATCCCACACATGCTTAAACTCCTTTACTGTGTTAACCTCTACCACTTCAGCTGGAAGGCTATTCCATGCATCCACTACCCTCTCAGTAAAGTAATACTTGCTGATATTATTTTTAAACCTTTGTCCCTCTAATTTAAGACTATGTCCCCTTGTTGTGGTAGTTTTTCTTCTTTTAAATATAGTCTCCTCCTTTACTGTGTTGATTCCCTTTATATATTTAAATGCTTCTATCATATCCCCCCTGTCTCGTCTTTCTTCCAAGCTATACATGTTAAGATCCTTTAACCTTTCCTGGTAAGTTTTATCCCGCAATCCATGAACCAGTTTAGTAGCCCTTCTCTGAACCCTCTCTAAGGTATCAATATCCTTCTGAAGATACGGTCTCCAGTACTGTGTACAATACCCCAAGTGAGGTCTCACCAGTGTTCTGTATAATGGCATGAGCACTTCCCTCTTTCTACTGCTAATACCTCTCCCTATACAACCAAGCATTCTGCTAGCATTTCCTGCTGCTCTATTACATTGTCTGCCTACCTTTAAGTCATCAGAAATAATCACCCCATTTAAGTTGTCAAACTGTTCTTAAATGGTTTCACTACTTACCCTAGGATGGGATCCTGGCACTACTGGCGCCATAACTACTACACTGAGCTGTACTGGTTATTGTGCCTGGATTATTTCTTTAAATAATCTACAAGTGCCCCTCCCGAGATCAGGCTCTTGATCTGCCACTGCTCTAGCCTCAGTCTTGTTTCCAGCAATATCCCAGGGCAAGATCTTTGTGCTGCCATTGTCAAGCTTCCTGCCTGCTAACCTCCCGCCGGAGCTCCGAGTGGCGCAGTCCCCGCTGGCATTCCGTCATGCAGCATGTTTAAGTATGCACCCGAATGAACTACTGAATTCAGCATTCACCGAACCGAAAGAAAAATTACGTCAGAGGTCAGATTAGGAAGGTCAAGTACCTTCAACGAATAGTGGTCAATTCCAAGTGGAATTTGACCAATCAGAAGTAAGTGATGCCTATTTATACTTACCTCTCCCATTCCTTGTTGCCCTGTCGTGGTTTCTTGGTAACCCAATAGCGCGTTCCTTCTGTTTAGTTGTTTGGTACCTTGTTTGGCTTTTGTCTCTCGTTTATCCTGCTCTCTCTAGTCCTTTGACCTAGAAACATGGAATGTGATGGCAGATCAGAACCATTCGGTCCATCTAGTCAATTAAAGACCTTGGCTTGTTTAATAATTATTCCTTACCTCTGTCATCCTATGACCTCGGCTTGTATTCTGACTCTGCTTATTTGTATAACCCGGCCATTCTAAGGATCGGTATTACAAATATTCTTGTTTGCAATTCTGTCTGTGTGTTCTGGTTCCCAGATTCATGACAGCCATGGCCTATGACCAGGAAAATAAAATTATGATAAGTAGGAATACATTTTCCTTTTTCCTGGCAATATCCATGGCAGCACAACAATGGGTAATACCCAAGCAATAACCAAGGGAGGGAAATAAATACACAAGAGTTCACAATTTTAAAAACACACATCATAAGGACATTGGAAATTAAAAACTGATTGCCCGCTATTGCCACATTATCAAATTCACCAACTGAATTGTACCAAAAAAGTTTGAAAAAAGCAAGTAAATTCTCATGCTCTATATGTGCAAACCCAGCCTGCTACCCATTGGGTCACTGCAAGAAATATGGTGATGGCATAATCTTGTTAGCCCTAGGATCAGAGCAAGTAAACACCTGGTCACTAAAGGGTTATCTTCAGGGGTACACTTTTAAACAGGGTCGTGTACTGAAGCATCCCAGGGAAGAGAAGTTACCTTTTGCCTCAAGAGAGTTTAACAACCTTCAGGTAAGTCAAAAAGAAAATTTCTCTAGTCTTAGAATAACTAAGTCTGTCCTAGGGGTAGCACAGTAACAAAAAGATGGAGAATGGGAGGGTCTAAGGGGTTACTTATAACTTTTGTTTTAATTAGGTTCCTGTTTAATTATAGATAGGGAGTAGCTACTCATTGTTGTGCTGCCATTGATATGTACAGGAAAAATGTTTTTTAATTTCTGTTTCTGTCAATGGGGTTTATATTGTGATTCACCATGTAAATATTGGACATTGTCTTTTTTATGTCCAAAGTATGTTCTCTTATACGTTCTTTGGGATGTTTGTCTGACATACGTTTTGTTGCTTGTAATAAGATGATATTTGTGGAATACCAAATGTTTTATTTATTTAGTTGTAGGTACAAAATCACACTTGCAAAAGAGTCTTTTAAGAATTATTTTTAAATTGGCAACACTTACAGTTATTAGCTGAATACCAGAATATCACCTGGATTGTGAAAAATGGAAAAGGCCTCAATTTAAATTTTTTGGAGGTTTTTTTTTAGCATTAGCCTTTTTTGATTAGAGCTCAGTTTTGCTTATTTGATTGTAATATTGTTGGCTTTTCTATTAGCTGTTTATGTATTTTTGATTTGCTCTTCTGCTTCTTAGAGTAAACAGGAGGCACCAGTTCTACTTTGAGAATC